ATTTGCAAATTAATGACGGTAACTGAGAATAAAAAAAATAGAAAGACCTGCACAAGTAATCGAAACAAGCTCATGGATAGTGTCAAAGGTTTTTTAATAGGAATTTGATGAAAAAAGTTAATCTGATTCTGCTTTCTAAAATTTTTCGGTAACGTAAAATCCGTCTAAATTGGTCAAAGTTCGAACTGCAGATTTTGCTGGCAATAAGGATGTCACATATTAACAGGCGCTCACAATTATATGCACAGTAGTAGCTGCTGCGCACTGTTACCTCTGTTTTTTACTAAATGTCTATATAACCTGAATCAAGTAGAGACTGTGAGATTCAACATTTTTTATTCAATACAAAATAACAGAATTATTCTAATTTGAATCCTCGTCTTGCTTTTCGTTCAGCAAAAACTTCCATCGCAGAATCCAAATTGAGTGCTACTGATCTTTCAATATAGAGGTTAGAGAAGTTATTGAGTGTGTCTTTAGCCAAAGAAGCTCGATGGTATTTTTTAATCATTTTCATGACACGTTCAGCATTAGCTGAACCGATAGGCAAAGTCAAAAACAATCTGAATAAACTGCAGCTCTCTGGAAAACTGTCTACAAAATTGTTTGCAATCATGAACTTCAAATAATCTAGCGGGCTGTCATTAGTAAAATTACGATTTTTCGAAAAATGCAGGCTCGTAAAATGTTTTTCCATCAAATTAGTGACGATGGTTTCTAATTCGTTTTCTTTTAGATTGACTAATTTCTTTGGCATCAAAAAACCAAACACATCATTCATCTCACGAAATCCTTACGTTCTTGCAATTCTGCACTCATTGAATCCAAAACTTCGTAGTAATTTTATTCGATGTTTTCCGTGTGTTTCCAGTGACGAGTCAGCAACTTTTTCGTCACATTCTTTTGATTTTCCTCTTTCTCACAATGGGAAAACCAGGATTTTCCCATTCCATCTCTTCCCATTTATTCTTAGCCTTCAGATCAAAATTATCGTATGTGCTCCTAAAATCTTTTAATTTTTTTAATGCTGCTGAAATGCACCTTTGAGCTATCATCAAGTCTATTTCGTTCTTTTGCATTTGAACCTGCACATTATTCATTACGATCAATACTGAATGACACCATAACAAATTCAGGAAAAAGTTTATGGAGGAAAGTAGCGATCTTGCATTCATTAGGTACATCTCCGCCAAAAGCGCCCACTCTTGAAATTTTATCTTCTATGCAATTGATAATACATTCAAAAAATTTCTTCCACGATATTATCACGAAGAAAATAGATATGTCATCAAATCAAAAAATTCACAGTATTGTGAAAGTTTATGGTTATAAGCATTGAAGACGTGAAAAGACTGTAATAGAGGCATTAGAGTCTTCATTAGACTAAAAGAGGCTGATTCATACCACGAAGATATTTATTTACTGAACATTATATGCCAGGTAATAATATATCACTGTAAGCACAAAATGAAAAAATAACCCCTCCACTCCTTGAGAAATAAAAGGGGTCACTCGGTCATTTATCAAAAAATTTCTTAAAAAATGAAAGCGAAATTTTCTTATTCAAACTGAATGCTAACGCGCTGTTTCATAAACATTACGCAGATGGTCATTAAAAGAATATAACAACACTCTGATTTCTTATCAATTTTACATTCAGACGCGCTGAACAATATAGACACTAGAGCTGATTTTGCTGGGGGAGCCCTGTGACCACCCTTTTTTGGGGGCCCAGACGGCAGTGTCCATTTTGCCATTACTTAAATCTGCCACTGTCACGGACAAAACCACAAAAAAGTTGTTGCACTGGATTCAAAGGAGATGGTGAATATTAATATTAATCGATTCGCAGGAAGACAAAAAAGAAGAATCAATTTTGTTATTTAACAATAAATTGTTAATTTTTAAATTAGGTTTAATATTTTAATCACTTTTAGGCTGTACCCTAAGGGTACAAGGGTAGAGTTGTTATCTGCCATCCGTCCGCCAGTCAAGTTTTTTTAATTTTTATGTCTGAGGCACTGACGATTATTTTTGACAACAAGCTTCATACAGTTTAAATTGATACGTAATGTTTGAACTTCTTTTTGATTGGTAATTTGTTTTGATCTTCATAAATTTTAAATTATCGTTTGAGATTATTTTTGGTTAAGTTGTTGTTGTTTCTATTCTGTTAACGGACAAAATATTAGCACTTTGTTTCTGCAAATGTAATTGCAGAAAAAGTGTTCGCGTGTATCAAGAGAGATATCCGAATCGACGAATTCCGAATCGTCAAAAAATATCATATACAGCAGACGCTCGATAACGTAAAGACGGGATAATGAAAACTTGCGCTAATGTAAACACAAACTTCGTTCTATGGGATCAAACGGAACGCGCGATAACGTAAACAATGTGTACGCTCGATAACGTAAACAACTCTCGGCGCACGGAAACAGCGCGACGGTAAAATGCTGAAACCTCGATGATTTATGTCGGGCGTCGGGGAGTCCCCGATTTATGATGTAGAGTGTAGGGGATTCACCTCTGCGATAAAATACGACAAACTCGGTCAGTCGTATGATCGTTTAGGATACGTTTATACGTACGTATGTATTTCATTTTTGAACTTAAGTGAATACATTGCACGCGTTAATATATTTTACGACTATGGCATCCACATCCTATAAAAGAAAGTGTTTAAAGTTGAGTGAGAAAGTGAAAATCATAGACGAAGTTGCACTAGGTGCGGGAGTGACACAGTTAGCAAAAAAATATGGAGTATCGAAAGCAACAATCTGTAAAATTAAGCGTATGAAAACTCAAATTTTACAAAGAACGTGCAATACATTTGGAGGTCCGGGACAAAGAAAAACTTTAAAAAATGCGAAGGCACCTAAAATGGAAAATTCCCTGTATAAGTGGTTTTTAAAACAACGGGAAAATCATGTCCCAGTTAGTGGCGAAGTACTTAAACAGAGAGCGAGACTGTTAAATGAAAAACTGAAATAAACTGAAAATTTCGTAGCTAGTGATGGCTGGCTACAACGATTCAAAACAAGATATGGAATTCGACTGCTGTCTATACCTGGTGAAAAATTATCAGCACAACCACAATTAGTGCAACCATTCAAAGAAATATTGATGAAAACAATTACCGAGCTAGATTTAAGAATCGAACAAATTTACAACGCAAATGAAAGTGGCCTTTATTGGAAAATGTTACCAGAAAAAACCTATGCTGCATCATTTGAAAAATCTGCCCCGGAAAGAAAGCCGGAGAAACAACGAATAACGTTTCTAGCCTGCACTAATGCTAATGGTTCACACAAAATAAAGCCACTGGTAATTGGGAAAGCAAAAAATCCGCGCTCATTTAAAAATGTTAATATCCCTGGTGATTATGAATGTTCAAAAACCGCTTGGATGACTAGCAGTATATTCCTGAAATGGTTCCACAGGTGCTTTGTCCCTCAGGTATGACAATCAATTATCACAAATGCTCTATTCATAATTTGAAGATGCGTTTTCAATTTGTAGGTAAAATGTTTCCTAAAACAACAGCTTCCAATAAAAGCGTTGTTACCATTGGATAATGCACCAAGTTATCCTTCCGAGCAACACCTGAGGAGCAGGGATGGGTCAATTTTCGTCATGTACATGCCGTCCAACGTAACACCGTTAATTCAACCGATGGACCAGAATATAATAAGACTCACCAAACTATACTATAGGAAGTTTCTACTTTCGTCTGTCTTATCAAAGAATCCTGAAAACTTATGTGAGGCTTTAAAAAAAGTAACATTACGAGAAGCTGTTTTAGATTTACATATGGCCTGGAATGAACTTAACCAGCAAACTATTCAAAAATGTTGGAACAATCTCTTTTGTACCAATAATGAAGATGATGAAGAAGACGATGTTCCCTTAAGCGTAATTAGAGAACGTTTGCGATCCAATAATGATAATGTTATTAGTGTGTCATTGGATGTTGTTGATTTATTGAAAACAGTGAATCCCAACATTGTTTGTAGTCCTGCTGATATTAATTTATGGAACGAAGATAAGCAGACGAGTGATGCTGATAAGGAGGAGGATATGGACAGTGAGGATGAGAACGATCCCATTGAAGTCAGAAGTGTAGTGACTGACGCAAGCTATACAAGTTTTTAACCAAGCTTTAGATTGGGCTGAAAGAAAAGAAGTTCCATACACAGATATTTTAGTTCTTCGTAAATTACGGGCGCAGGCATTGGAAGACAATGCTAAGCGCAAATTTACGCAGACAAAAATTGTTAATTATTTTTCTTCTAATTAAAAAAATACTTATCGCTGTTAGAATATTTGTTTATTTTGTTATAAATAGTATGTATTAAACGTTTCTTTTAATAAATCAAATATTATATAAATCACGTTCGCTAATTTAAACATTTCGATAATGTGAACCACACTTGGATTAAATTAGTTTATATTATCGAGCGTCTGCTGTAATATATAAATATCAGAAAAGAGCTCCGAAAATATTTTTTTTCCTCGAAAACTATGCATGTTTTTAGACAAAAAATTAGGTAAATAAAAGGAGCCTTCAAATAAAAAAAACTCCGAATCGTCGGACAGGTTGCGAAAAAATTCTGCTATAATTTATGTAGAGTAAGCGTTGTTTTCACCCTTCTCGAACCCTCTAAAGTTTCTCGTTAAACTTAAATATTAGAATGTCTACCAAAACGTATGTGTTCCAAATTTCATTCAAATCCGACTATCGGTTCCCAATTTTGTTCCAATTTTGAGTCGTGGCACTTCTATGTAAATATTGAGGCACCCTGTAGAATCATGTCTCTCTAGAACAGTATAGGTGTATTTTGCGATCGGCACTCGGCAAAACTCAACTTTGTGTATCCAACTGCGAACAATAAAAGATACTTTTTCGGACAAAAAACTAGGTACCCTCACATGATCCTCGAGATAACAAAACGGAGAATATTCTTACTGAATTTACTTGATGGTATTATTAATTCCAGAAACGAAGTCGGCAAGAAGCAAACAGGTTCCAATAATGGGAAAAAAAGCCTTGCTGCGAAGATCAAGTCTTGAGCAGTCTGACTACTTGGTCGTACAAGAGCTGATCTTGGAAAAATATAGTACCAAGATCAAGCAATACCTTGAGAGAAATCGCATGAGAAGAAAGTCGAGATATGAACATTTTGAAGAATATCTATCCTCCGGGCGACACACGCCCTCCAGTATTAGCTCTCTTAACAGCCTAGACGGGTAAGTACGTTGATATAGAACCCCTAGATAACATAACGCCCTTGTTCATCACTAAATTTCACTGGACTCCTAATGAAACCGCCGATAAAGATATACTAATGTTTCAGTCACCTCGGTGGCCTTTTTCAAGGTACAACAGCTCCTCATAGATGACGCTACGGTATCCTTTTTATTATTTTATTTACTTGACTTTCAAATTAGATGGTGTTTACCCCAATCGTGGGACTCCCCAATCAGCAATGTTACTCAGATTTGAAATGCATCCTCTTGAGCTGGGAAGAGTTTGTAATAGTTTAAAATTCCTTTACAAACTCATATACAGTGATGTTGATTCTTCAGCTTTCATGTACCGTCCCGCATTTCCCGAAGATTTCTCGCTTTTTACTTAAAAACACCAGATTCTAATGTTATGATTAAGTCACCCGTGTACTTTATGTGCTCCAGCTTTAACACCTTAGCTGATAATTGTGACATTCATCATGATAAAGTCAAAGATATATTAGCTGTATTCAGCCACTACTACGAGGGATGTCTTTTTAAGTTTTGCGTATAGAAACATAGTAGGCCGCGCGGATCGAACGTCAGTACTGAATCTTATCCTCACTCTTTAGTAAACTTAAATTCAAAGTTCCACAACAATACGTGCAGTGTTCTCACTGCAGTGATTTTTTAAGTGTCACCAAGTCATTAGAAAAATGGAACTGAACCGAGAACATTTTCGCGCCATAATTTATTACAACTTTCAGAGACGTTATCGCAACAAGAATGCCTTGCTGAGTTACTGTGTGTTTTCGGCAACGAAGCGCCATATCAGTCGACAATTTCCCGTTGGTATGGAGAATTCAAACGTGGACGGGTGAGTCTTAGCGACGATTTCAGAGTGGCTGCACCAAAAACGGCAGTCACCCAGGAAAACGTCGATGCTGTGCGCAAACTCATCATTGAAGATAGACATGTGACATATCGCGAGATTGAGGCGTCCCTGAAGATCTCAAGGACTTCAATTCAAAAAAATTTACATGAAGAATTAGGAGTAAGAAAATTAGTTTCTCGTTTGATACCCCACCGGTTGACTGAAGAGCAGAAAGCAGCCAGGGTTAATTGGTGTCAAAAACGCTTGACCATTTCAATTCCGGAAACTCAAAAAATGTGTACAGCATTGTTAGTGGCGATAAGTCGCAGATTTACCGTTATGAACCAGAAAATAAACGACAGTCGGCTGTTTGGGTGTTCCAAGGTGAAGAAAAGCCAACAAAAGTCATCCGTTCTCGAGTGTTTCGAAAAATATGGTCGCGACATTAGTATCAAAAGCAACAATTCCTCTTAATGAGCAAAGAACTGTTACTGGGGATTGGTATATCACCATTTGTTTGCCAAAAGTCATCACCGAGCTTCGAAAAATCAACCCCGAAAGAAGAATCATCCTCCACCAAGACAATGCAAGCTCGCACACAGCCCAAAAAACAAGGGAGTATTTAACGGAAGAAAACGTGGAATTATTGGACCATCCTCCATATAGTCCCGATCCTAACGATCTCTTTACTTTCCCGAAAATTAAAAACAGACTGCTTGGTCAAAGGTTCCAGTCACATGTGTATTAATCTTCGTGTAGAATACTTCGAAAAACAATAAAGTCATTTAAAACTACCCAGCGTGTTGTTTTATTTCCATATGCAAAACTTAAAAGACATCCCTCGTATTATTCAATTTATAACATTTAAGACATGTAGGTGAGTAGGGTAGCTATCCATTTTTTTGTTTCATTTTTTTTTCAGAAACTGAGCGAGCTATGATTGTAGTTAAAAATACTGTAACGTCAAATGATATTCAATTACGTTGTCCTTTAAATGGATGTATCTGTTGGGCAATAAATAAATATATTATATTATTATATTATTTCGGATAATTTTTTGGACGCAGAAATATAGCATTTGGTTGACTATCTTCAGGTTATGTTAATCAATGCTATTAATTTATTGGCTCAAACTGAAAACAAGTAATACGTGTTCCAGTGCTGAAACAGATCGTTCTGAAGAAAACATCCAAAATGTTACCGGTAAGAGCGACTCGACGTCATCCGTGTCAAGTGACCTGAAAGAAGAAAGATATACACTAAGCAGCACAAAGCCTGAATCGACGGATAACGGGGAATTAGCTCAAAACAATTCTGATAGCAAAGATGAGGATTTAGTAAAATATACTAAGTGCAAAGAGTGGGGCATTACTATCCCCCAGTACGAGAGACAAGATAATCATGACAATATACAAACTGGTAAGACATTTAAAGCTTTGATATGTGAAAAGTACCGAGTCAAGTTCAAGTAAGGGCGTACCCAGCTCAGAAAAATTGTTGATGAAAGTTCTACAAATCATATCTACTTTAATATGCTTGATATTTTTCTTCCTGTTTGGATTTCAATGTCTTAACCATTGATACATAGTCTTCCACGATGATTTGAGAATTTATATGGATATGGAAACTACTAGGATTACTGTTTTGAAACCTTCAGGCAAATATTGCACGAGATGCTTTTTAAAGTGATGATTTCTAGGCTATATGGTTTTTTCAAATTTTTGGGCATACATCTCTCTCAAAATTCATACAAGGTGCTCATTCTTTCAGTCAAGTTAGTAGGCAAGCGTCCATGTAACCATTGTTACCATTGGTAACAGTTAAAAATCTTAAAAATAAATATTTTATGACTAAGTACTATGAAATAATTTCATTTTGGTTGGCGGTTGTTACCATTTTCATTTATGGATACACTCGGTAGTCCGTCGGGGACCTTCGGTGCCGGCTCGTGCCTGATCGCGGTCGCCCGAGTGGGTGGGGCGCTGCGACTATTATGTGGGCTTGTTACCATTTTTTGATTTGGTTACTCATTTCTCACTCGTTCGTAGCCGTTTTGGTTACCGGCTGTAGTGTGCGTGCAATTAAACATGGATGAGTGTCGCTGCGTAATCGATCAACTACTTGAAAAGTCATTCTCCTTTTATAATTTTTAAGAAAAAAAATGAGATTATTGAAGATAGAAGACCAACACCTATTTTAGATAATTTTAAAAAGGAATAAAAAACGTAGTTTTATATTTTAAATTAAGTTGGTATATGGAAACTCTTGGTTATGTGGTTGAAAAAAAACAGATTGTATTGTTTCCGATGTCATCTGTTTTATACAGAAAAAAATGGGTGGACCAGTAGCAGAGTCAACAATTTATATAGTTTTAGGGCTCTAAAGAGGAGACATGAAATTTCTCCGTTACATGTGAGATGTGTAGCCAATTTAATTCAGTTTGGCAAAACAAGAATCGAAAGTTGTCTTAACCAAGATTTTAGGCAGCACACTTCGAGATACCGTATGTTTTTTGGAAAAACAGTAATTACCCTTCATTTTGAAGAGGATGACTCTGACAATAGAGGAAATTACAGGGAATTGTTAACATTCATTGCCAAAAAAGATCAAAAATTTTCCGAACATCTAGAAACATCGACTGTTTTTTCGGACGAGTTGGATTAGTCATAGCATAAGACGATGAGGTATATCAAATGCCCCAGACGCTCAGTTCAGGAATGTTTACCTTAATTTAAAAATAGTTTAAATAAGATACCTAAGATAAGCAAAAACTTATATTTGGGAGGTTCAAAATAAACTTTTTTTAATAAGATTTTTCACATCTGGTTTTGGTAACAGTTTAGGAAAAGTCACGCGTCGCCACTGCAATCGCGAAAAAACTTGAGCGATTTTCAGATATAACATAGTAGGTACACATCTTTTGTAGCGTTTGTAATAAGTTAGGCATGCAGGGTGAGTTTTTAGTATATATATGTATATAGTATACGTACTATAAAATATAATCAAAAAAGTTTACGGCAATTGGGGACACCCTCTACAGGGTGATCCATAATGGCATAACAGAAACATTTCTGGTGTATTCTAATATGCCACTTCAATGGAATAAGTTTTCATATAGCTGGGTATAAGCACATTATACTGATTCCGGAAACAATTTCTCTTTGTCGATATTTATTCGTTATTTTTTCACTATTACTTCAAATTTCGTCATATATTCAATAATTGTTTTATAGAATATGTAGAAGAATATTTATCTGTTTTTTTCTAGAGTGATTTGAAAAAAAAGTCTCATATATATATATATATATATATATATATATATATATATGGGTCGGTTGAATAGTGACAAAGTGCGTAACGATATATTCTAGAAAACTCACTTGAAATTTTGGACGCTTCGTGTATCTCCGGGGATCCACGGAAAAGGAAAGTTTTTCCGAAATCGTTTCTAATTTTATCTGAATTCGTTTGAGATAGGATTGCAAAATAAACTGCACATCAACGTTGCCCCTTTTTACATCTACAAAGTAGCATAAATAGATAATATGATTTTTCGACTCGTATTACCCGTCTCAACCTTGATTCTTTTATGTATGCTTTTTTGGACAGGCGAATAGTTTTGAATTCTGATTCAAAATATTATAGCATGTCATACATTAATATTGTAAGAGTATATTAAAAATAAAGAATTTTCCTTAGTAAGCCTTGAAATTATCATAGTCATTTATTCCATACAATTTCAAATAACATGTTACACATTTAAACTAATCCTAATAATTCCGCATCTAATAGATATTAATTCAGTTTGTGGGGAACTTTCACTTAATTTTTTTATTTCGGAGAGGGTGAAGCCCCTCCCCAGGTACGCCCATGCATTCAAGCATTCGAAAGCAAATTCCTTACAATTATTAAACATGAAATAGCAAAACTCTTTCAAATGAGAGCTACTTAAGTTTTGAATTTGACGTTTTTACACTTACCATTATGTTTATACAGGATGTTCCTTAATGATATGCGAATATTTAAGGGTGCGAATCTACTACATGAAAAATTAATGTTAGTTTGCTTTATAAACTATGCTCCAGAAATGTTTCCTTACAAAAGCTCGGGGTGTTGAAGTTTTAGGAAAAAAATGGAAATTACTTAATATTTTCAGAACCGCTTCAGATATTTCACTGATATTTAGTACGTAGTGAAAGATAATAAAGTTGCATATTTTTCAATGCAAAAATAATTTTTAGCTTTAACAGTGGCGTGCGTACGGGTATTGACTTCGATAATTTTCAAGAAGGAAATGGCACGCCAATGGTTTTTTGCCAAATAAAAATATTTTTGAATTTTCCGTTCAATTTAAAACAAATGATCTTTCTCGAATTGTTTTTCTTCGATGTGCCGTTTTTGCGTAAAAAAATAAAAACCGTTCTATTGTCTAACTTGCAAAATTATTATTAATTTCATTGGAAAAATTAAACACATTACACAACAACTGACAACATAAACATAACATTAAAACCAACGAAATGATTACAAAAATTGTTGAAAATGGCCCCCTTCACTTAGTATGCATGCTTCCGCCATCCTCATGGAATTGCGCACTCGTTGAAATATCCCTGGAGTGTTTTTTATTCTATCACAAGCTGCAACTATTCTTTCTCTTAATTCCTCTACAGTGTTAATGGGACTTATGTACGCTAGTGTCTCAAGATAGCCCCATAAAAACAAATCTAAATTGTTCAGGTCTGAGGACCTTGGTGGCCATTCTTGGGGCCCACCGCGGCCAATCCAACGATTTGGATAAACAGTTTGTAAATAATTACACTGAAATGCGCTGGTGCACCATCATTTCTTATTACTAACGGAACATCATCAAGCTGCAAACGCAACTGTTGATGAAGAAAATTGGGGTAAGTCTGTCCGTCAAGTCGTCCCGGCAAGAAGAATGGGTCAATAAAGTGGTTGCCAATAATTCCTGCCCATACGTTAACCGAAAATTGGTGTTGGAAATGAGTTTCGGTTACGGCATAAGGCTTTTCTTCTGCCCATAAATGATTATTGTGGAAATGAGCTTCGTCCGTGATCAGAATCATTGATTCAAATTGCGGATTTTGTGTAAGTTTTTGAAGATACCACTGTCAAAAGGTCACACGCCTTGAAAAATCAATGGGAAGTAATGCCTGTAAGGATATAACAAAAAATCCACTAAAATTCTCCAAACAATTTGATGGCAAATATTTAAGCGTCTAGCGATCTTCCTCGCACTTAGAGTTCTACCTTCAGATGTTCCTTTTCGGACAGAACCATTTTCAACGAGCCGACGATGAATATTAGAAAAGGTTCGACTATCTGCCAAAGCACGATCGGGATATCTCTGGTGATAAATGCGTCTGGCTTGCTCACCATTACCGTCGGCAAGACTATCTACTTAATGCATTTCCGCCATTTCTGCATTTGAATAATTCACCACTATTAACAAGATTGTAAAAACTAAATAATGAAAAAGATGTCACAGCGAACAGATTTGAATAACAAAGACTCGTCAGATGTTAAAAGCCTGTGACATATTCCAGTACAACTAGATATTTATTGCTAAATTGCATTCTTCAATTACTTATCACATTAGTTTTCTCGGACAATAGAACGGTTTTTATTTTTTTATTCAAAAATGACGCATCGAAGGAAAACAATTCAAGAGATCGTTTGTTTTAAATTGAACGGGGTATTGAAAAATATAGAACTTTATTAACTTTCACTACATACTGAATATCAGTGAAATATCTGAAACGGTTCTAAAAATATTAATTAATTTCCATTTTTTCCCAAAAACTTCAACACCCCGAGTTATTGTAAGGAAACCTTTTTGGAACATAGTTTATAAAGCAAACAAACATTAATTTTTCGTATAGATTCACACCCTTAAATATTCGCATATCATTAAGGAACGCCCTGTATGTGGTAATTAAATTTATGTATTGACTATGTTTAACTTTGTTTAATGCAAAAATTGTATTAAATAGTTTTCTCCACGCACAAGAATTAAATTCTTCTGTGGGACTATTTCAGTTTATTTGCATATATGTCCTAATTTTGGATAAATTGTAATAGTAATACGTGAATAAACTTATATTATATACAGGGTGTCCGCAAAGTTGGGGGTTTCCTTTACACGACGTGTAGATCTTGAAAACATAATCAATTTTTCTTAGTACCATATACACCAATGTCTTAAGGGAACCGAGATAAAGGGCTCTGCAACATCAAAAATATCTGAATACCGTCCTGTAGCCGCGACATCACCAACTGGTACAAGGTCACTGGCTCAACCCGACGACAGAACTGGGTCGGGGTCAGTGTGTCAGGTCAGTATGCAACCTTCAACCGACGGTTACGGTCACGCGTGTAGACGAGAATCCCTCAACAAGCACTAGAGACGTCCAACGTGTACAAGCCCTTCAACCTGACGATTTTCCAGCAATAGTGCGGTTTTGTGAGTGGTTTTTGCATCAACATGACAATAATCCGGACTTTTTGAAGTGCATATTGGTGACAGACGAATCTACGTTCACGCGTAATGGGGTGAATAACTTTAGCAACACTCATGTTTGGTCAATAGAAAATCCGTACGCTGTCCGTCGGGCACATTTTCAACAAACATTTTCGGTGAATGTTTGGTCTGGCATGGTGAACGGTATGCTCATTGGACCATTTATTCTCCCAAATCAATTGGACGGGATGCAATACCTAGACTTTTTACGCAAAATTTTGCTTTCCTTGTTAGAAGATGTGCCATTAAGTGTAAGACAATCAATGTGGCTTCTGCGTCTGCTCGGTAGCGCATCAGCTGATTTCATTTTCTGTTGGAGCGGTATCATTTCGGGCAGAGACGTACTTAGCCCTTCTCGTCAACTGGAGAGTGAGTACTTTTTCCTTTATTTTTTTTTTTACTTGGTCGCCCTCGTTTCACTACACATTACCTTTGTTATTTCAAGGGTAGTTGTTTCTGAAAAGGAAAACCCCAACTTTGCGGACACCCTGTATTTATTATACCTTGTACTTAAATGAAAATGCCTACTCGAGTTTCGATTGTTTGTGAGTAAGAGTAACGATGGTATGGAAGTATAACGTCAGTTGCTACTTGACTATCCACTTGAAGTGTTTTTCGTCTTCAACGTATACATATCTTGAGTTATATTTAATATTTTTTAGGTGTGGAAAATGCAGCAGATATAAAATATGAAGCCTCAAAGAGCCAAATCAGCATCAATCTTCTGAATTTTATGAAATCTGTAGACGATTCCAATGTTCACAGCCCCGCAAATAGTACGATGACTTCCACATATAGTGAGACAAAGTTCATTGCAAATGCGCTAAGTGGTGTGAACCTGTCTCAAGAGCATGAAGACAATAACGTGAGTATTCTTAAATATTTTAAGCTTAGTTCAGATGACTCTCGTCGACGTGGCGTGGATTTATTTATATACTTATACATAATTACCCAATGGACTAATTTTACAGAGCAATATAATGGTAACTTAACTGATAGCATGCATACAAGAACCACATAAAACTAACATTAAAAAATGTCGGGCAAAAGCTTATGGTCAGGCCAGCAATTGAACGTCTTTATTGTAGGGACTCTAATTTGAAACTCAACAGCAGAACAAATTGACATAAGTATAATATTTAAAAAGCTTCTTTTGTACATTTTCTAAGATACTTATAATGGGTTGTCCAATAGGGACGCAGGAAAGTAAACGTCAATTTGACATAGACGCCATCTTTGTTTTCTGTCACCGACATGTCATTTTGTTAGTTGAATGTTTACCATTGATCGCTATGGAGTCGTATTCGATTGAAGACCGCATTAAAGTTATTCAAAAGCACTACAAAAATCGTGCAAAAATAAAAAACACGTTTCGCGCGCTTCGTGAACATTTCGGTCGCAACAACCGCCCAAACGAAACAACCATCGGTCGTCTGGTGCGTAAATTCGAGGCAACAGGTTCTGTGGCAAATCTGCCAGGCTCTGGCCGGCCAAGGAGCGTTCGCTCACCGGAAAATATTGCTGTTGTGAAGGAGAGTGTGAGAGACGATCCGAAACAATCAACAACGCGTCGATCCCAAGAATTGGGCATTTCGAGAACCAGTTTGCTCCGCATTCTCCACAAGGATTTGAAGGTACACGCCTACAAGATCCAATTGACGCAAGAGCTGCGTCGGGCCGACCATTTTTCGCGCCGAACGTTCTCAGATTGGCTCCTTGAACACCGCCAAATTGATGCCAATTTTTCATCAAAAATCATGTTCAGCGACAAAGCGCATTTCACTTTGAATGGGACGGTAAACAAGCAAAACTGCCGCATCTGGGCGAACGAAAATCCCCGTGAGTATCAAGAGCAGCCGATGCATCCTCAAAAAGTGACTGTGTGGTGTGCATTGTGGTCAAAAGGCATCATCGGACCTTACTTTTTCGAAAATGCGGCCGGGGACGCCGTTACCGTCAATTCTGAGCGATATCACGTGATGATCGACGGGTCTGAGCGTTTCTCAAAAAAAAACTGAGCTGCCAGTAAATGCGTCTGATATAAATAAAAAACAAACATATTTGGTTTCACGACACTTTTTTTCAGAGTACGATTAATTCAGTCTCATACGAAAGCCTCAATGACGAGAGTATTACCACATCGAAAATTTCTGATCTGATTTCGAAAGATTCGACACTAACTAATGGTATTTCGAATGGACAACGATTTGTCACTACAAACTCAGTTTATGAAACTGAAGCATCTCAGAATAACCATTTGGAATTGGGAAAATTGACCGCCGAGCTCTCTCTGCAAAGTCAAATGTTTCTTCAAGCGTCAAAGGCCGTGAAGCATTGCAGAGCCAATGATATGCTTCACAGCATGGGATACATTGAGGCTGAAAGAGTTTTGCTGCTGACAAGTAAGTAATTTCTTTTTGTATTGTCTCCCCGATACGAGGGATGTCTTTTAAGTTTTGCATATAGAAATAAAACAACACGGTAGGTAGTTTTAAATGACTTTATTGTTTTTCGAAGTATTCTCCACGAAGATTAATACACATCTGCATGCGCTAGAACCAATTTTCGAAGCACTTATTCCACTGGTTTGCTGGCAGATCCAAAACGGCATTTTTGAATGCTTCAACTGCTTCTTCTGGTGACTGGAACCTTTGACCACGCAGTCTGTTTTTAATTTTCGATAAAGTAAAGAAATCGTTAGGACTCAGATTGGGACTATATGGAGGATGGTCCAATAATTCCACGTTTTCTTCCGTTAAATACTGCCTTGTTCTTTGGGCTGTGTGCGACCTTGCATTGTCTTGGTGGAGGATGATTCTTCTTTCGGGGTTGATTTTTCGAAGCTCGGTGATGACTTTTGGCAAACAAATGGTGGTATACCAGTGCGCAGTAACAGTTCTTTGCTCATTAAGAGGCATTGTTGCAATATGACCCGCTTTTGACACAAATGTCGCGACCAACTTTTTCGAAACACTTCGAGAACGGATGACTTTTGTTGGCTTTTCTTCACCTTGGAACACCCAAACAGCCGACTGTCGTTTATTTTCTGGTTCATAACGGTAAATCCACGACTCATCACCACTAACAATGCTGTACACATTTTTTGAGTTTCCGGAATTGAAACGGACAAGCGTTTTTTGACACCAATTAACCCTGGCTGGTTTCTGCTCTTCAGTCAACAGGTGGGGTATCCAACGAGAAACTAATTTTCTTACTCCTAATTCTTCATGTTTTTTGAATTGGGGTCTTTGAGATCTTCAAAGATGCCTCAATCTCGCGATATGTCACATGTCTATCTTCAATGATGAGTTTGCGCACAGCATCGACGTTTTCCTGGGTGACTGCCGTGTTTGGTGCACCCCCCCTGGGATCGTCGCTAATACTCACCCGTCCACGTTTGAATTCTCCATACCAACGGGAAATTGTCGACTGATGTGCCGAAAACAGACACTTCTTGCGATAATTGTGTCTGAAAGTTGTAATAAATTATGGCGCGAAAATGTTCTCGGTTGAGTTCCATTTTTCTAATGACTTGGTGACACTTAAAAATTCACTGTAGTGAGAACACTGCACGTATTGTTGTGAAACTTTCAATTTAAGTTTACTAAAGAGTGAGGTCAAGATTCAGTACTGACGTTCGATCCGCGCGGCCTACTATGTCTCTATATGCAAAACGTAAAAGACATCCCTCGTAGCACAAAATATTCATTTAATATTTAATAAATATATCTAATATATTTTTTTATAATAATTATATTTTTATTAAATATTTAATCAAAATATTTCAAATAATTTGACCTTCATCATTTGGATTTCGAAAACGGTACCAGATACGAAGTCGATTAAATGGGGCTAAAGTTGCGTATAGTCAAAATCACGAAAGATGACTTTTACGTCATACCGTAAATTGTTCCGAAGTAATCAATGGACGTACGTCGATGATAAAATCACGATGTCAGGAACACAATGACAACAAATGTATATTATGATTTTGGGAAGTTACCTTAATAATAACTTTAGTGGCGAGTTTTTGTTTTGAAAAAAACACATTGAAAGAAGAAAATCAAAAAGATATTTTGGAATGTCTCAAACGATTCAGAGATGAACTCCAGACAAGATCGAAGTCTCTTTGCTGTTTATTCTATATGTCAATGATATGTCGAATGTCCTTAGCAATTCTTTTATAAATTTGTTTGCGGATGATACATTAACTTCAGTTAGTGCTTCAGTAAGTAACGAAATTGTAGATGTAATGAATAGTGAAATGAGCAAACTTAGTTTATGGTTAAAAACAAACAAGATTAAATTAAATGTGAGAAAAACGAAATGTATGATTGTAGGTTCGAAGAATAATTACGAGAAATTGGTGGATTTAAATATGCCAGCGTAAATTGAGGAGAGGTACTTGATTTTGTAGATAGTGTTAAGTATTTAGGTATTATAATAAATCAGCAGCTAACTTTCAACAAGCATGTTGACTATATGTGTCGGAAATTAGGCAAAAAGATAGGATATTTTCGTAGAATTTGTGAGAATACAAGTCCCTGGTGCACAATACAATCATTTTCCTCATTTTACCTATTGTGCATCACTTTTGATTACATGCACAAATGAGCAAAAGCAAAGGTTGCAAATTCTATTAAATAAATGTATGCGGATTTTGTTAAATTGTAGCAGGTATACCCATATACAGGATATGCAAAAGGTATTAAATACTTTAAATATACACCAAATTATTCAAGAGGCAAATTTAATTATTTCATATAAAATTATCAATAATCAGGCTCCACCTTATCTTGAACAGCTTCTAAAAAAAGATGTGAAATGCAAGGTTACGACATTAGATCAAAAGAAAATTTAGATTTAAAGGTTTAGAAAAGTCAATGTTTGTTGAAGATCTAAAAATGTGCAGCAATCTGCCTATTAATGTAAAAACATCTAGTTATGCTAAAATTTTCAAAAAGAGACTTCGGAGAGACTATTTTGGTTTGATGTGACGACCTCTTTGTAAATGTAACATATTTTTGTAAATAATATTGTTTGAAGTAGCTTAAAGCTAAATGAATCCTTTCTATTATATTCTTTAAGACCTAGCTTCATTGTTTGGCGAATACTGAAGAACTGAAATTGGCTACATCCAAATTTACTGATTTTTATGATGAGCTCTCAGAAACAGAATTACTTTTGGAGATACCAAGACTGCTAAGACACTTAAAAGCTGCTAATGTTACATTTTCTGATTTTTTAAAGTTTATTGTAGAATGGGATTTTACAGAATCTCTTCCAAATTTTATGATTGCACTAAAATAATTGTCCATATGACGGTTTGCGTGTCCGTAGCTTCAATCTTGACATATTAGCTATCGAACACGAGGCAATACAAAATATAAATTTTGATGTTATTTCCGATTTTGCAGCTGCCAAAGCTAGAAAAAAGAGATTTTAATTGTTAGATGAAAATATTTTTTCTGTACTAGTTTTTATTGTTTTTTTATTTATTCAATATTTTAAATGTAAATATTAAATGATCCAGGACGTTTATAAATTATAAAATTTATTGCTACGCCACTGGGTTACGCTCATTGTTGGACCATCGTAATTCTCATGAATACATGAGAGTTAATTATAATTTTTTTTTTCTTTGGTGAGAGGGGAATGCGTTTATGCACCATACCATAGCTCGAGCTACGGCGTGTGTGGGACTCCAGGTTGTCTTGAGGAGACCACCTAATACCCACTAAACCCTAACCTCCGCCTGGCCCGACTCATCAGCGTCTCGGTAGGCCATGTGTTGTGCGTGACCTGCGGTCTGCTACAACGCCTCCTCATGTGTTTCAGTCTCTGGGAACGCCGGGTTGGTGCCCTTTACCTCGCACAGTTCTATCGATGTCCTTAAGCGAGCGTCGATATAGTTTGCTATGTTCTCTTGAAACTCTTGTTTTCGAAAAATCAAGAGTTTCAAGTCCTCTGCTACTTGTATGTTACCTGGTCCTGATGGGTCCTGGTCCTGGTTGGTCCTGGTCCTGATGGGTCCTGGTCCTGGTGGTTCCTGGTCCTATTGGGATCTGGTCGTTGGCGTCCTGGTCCTCGTCCTCTGGTTCCACACCGTGGGGGGGGGGGGGGGGAGCAACCTAGTCAAGGTTCCAGTTAGCGGGTGCCAACTGGGACCTTAGTCTAGGGTACTTGGCTCTGCGGTTGCGAGGCCTCTCGTCCGGATCGTAGTCCATGAGGAGTCGTAGCTGCTCGTTCGGGTGGTCCTGAGCTTTCTGGAAGGTCTTCTCCGCCTTTTTCCTCATGTACTCGTGAATGATGTCCCAATGCAGGTCTCTACACAAGGTTGAGTTTCTTACGTAGGATGGTGCACTGGTGGCGATCCGGAGTAGCTTCATCTTTAGAGCAGCAAGTCGGTTGCGGTAGCTGGGAGCAGCGTACCCCCAAACCGCGGAGGCGTAAGCGAGCTGAGGTCTGGCGATGGCCTTGATCAGCCGTAGCTTGGTCGCTAGCGGCATCCTTCTGTCGTCTACCCAGTAATGGGTAGAGTTGGGCCATGGCTGCTCTGGTCTTTGCGCTGACAGCTTCTATGTGATCTTTCCAGGTGAGGGACTTGTCAAAAACGATCCCCAGATATTTGACTTCGCTCCACTGGATATCTTCGTCGAAGATGGATGCTTCGAGAGGTCTTGCAATCCTTCTTCGTTGGATGAAGATTGCCTGCGTCTTCTGGACGAAGTATAAAATGTCTAGGTCAAAGTCCCTTTATACCTATCGGAACATCCAGTATTTTATAAAGCGACAATATATCTAATTTCATTTTGTATTTAGCTGCATCGAAAAAAGCACTGAACGAAGAAATCCACTCGCTGCTATCGAAGAAATACTCCGGTAAAAATGAGCCCAATATCCGCAATGGAGAAATAAAGATAGAGAACATGACAATAGAATTTGGTAGCCCAAGGCCAAGCAGTCGCCATGACAAAATCTTAGAAGTATTTGTTGTGCTGGTCAAGTGTGGCAAAGAGGTCCATGGAAGTAGAGTACTGCAGAATAAGTCAAATAAATTCAAATTTGACAAGGTTATAAAGCTCGGGAAACTGAGAGCAGATTTCAAGATTGGCGTCGAAATATATTCAATGGCAGTGACGCTTCAGGAGGTAAGTTTGATAATTTATCGAAGATTTACGAGGTCTGTAAATTAAGTAGTGAGATTGATTTTTTTAAAAAACATTTTATATAATTACAATTTTGTACTGTCATCCTCAAAATAGTTTCCATTTTGAAGCCACACAGCCACAGTGCTGGATCTCGAATACTGGGACAGCCTTCAGCTCTTCGGTTACTCATTTGAACGTGATTGACTGCTCCAAAATGAGTTCCCTTGAGGTGATTTTTCAACTTCGGGAAGATGAAAAATTCACAAGGACTCAAGTCAGACGAATAAGCAGGCTGAGGAGATACAGGAATGTTTTTCGACATTGCTGTGTGGCAAGGAGCATTATCGTGATGAAAGACCCAGTTGTTCTTGATCTAATGAACGGTGGTACGAGTCAAATTTAACTCTTTCTCGATCATTCTGGCTGTCAACAGACGATCTGAAAGCACAAGATCCCGGATTCTGTCGATATTTTCATCGATTCTTGAAGAGGCCTTCTGCCTGCTGGCTCATCTTCAATCGACTCTCTCCTTTCTGGAAATGCCCTAAACCACCGAAAAACCGGGGGCAAATTCTTAACCCGAATTGCCATTTTATATTCTCTATAATGCCCATTTTTTCAATCCGCGCGGTTTTTATTTGCCAATAACGCAACATTACTTTTTAGGATTGCCAATACAACTGTCCAAGTCCTATGAATATTTTCTACGCCACCAGACACTCCAAGAGATCCAGTTTTATAAACGAAGATGCGAATATCAACGTCACATCGGCTTTTACTCTAATAAGGAACTGCGATATCAGAATAACAGGTAAATTTATATAAACGTGTCTAATTACTGTAGGGTATGAAAAGACATTCAAGATGAGTCCTTGTCTCGACTGTGACGCGGGGGGTAAGTTTGCTCGTGTTTTAGCAGACTGGCTGGTGGGAAGAATCAATAAGAACGCAAAAAATAGTCCACAAAAAGTGTATTTCCGCGCAAAGAAAAAGTACAACAGGTAGAATGAGTGCATTTTGAGTGGTTTACAGAAAGAGAAATTCGCCCAGAGTGATCCCAGGGCAGGAATGCACGTGTCACCCCATCCAGTTTTTATAAAAATTTGCAGAATATAGAAAATAACCTTATTTTTAACGCTTAACGCAGTGACATTATGAAAAACGTGTTTCTCATTAGAAAAAAAATATCATTTTGGTTTTTGAAAAAATACCATTCAGTGCAAATATTTTGAAAATGTTTCAGTTAAATGCTCCCATCAGTTATATAACAAATCCAAATTTTCATAATTGTCCAACTTCAACTTTTCAAATAATCGCTGGTTAAATAAGTCCGTATCAACTAAAGAGATATCGATGGTAGATCAGACAAGAAACCTCTTATTTAAAATTAAGGTGACTCTGCATATTTAGCAAGTATACACATTCACCATAATTTCCAATAAAAGGTTTCTTGCCTGATCTGCCATTCGTATCTCTGTGATAAATACGCAATTTCTCATCGAACTTGGTCTGGTTAGGTAGGCCCCAAGTTCATAGGGGCCCCCAGAGCAGTACTCTACATCAAATGTAACCTCCGTTCCTCCCGACAATCCACATCTTTTTCATCGGTATACTCGTACTTAGCTCCTGAGTTGGAAGCACAAATTTTATTTATTGTCCCAGCGCCCGCGGCACAGTGCGCCGTGTGTAGCATCTTAGATCTACCCCTGCTCAAGTAGCCTTTAGCCTGCAACGTTTCATTTGCTTGAAACAAGATGTAAAGTTGACGCACACGACGCTCTCAGCATCAGGCCTCGGGAGACTAGGGAGCCCCACAACACGGTTCCAGGGCCCACCGAGTAGAAAAGGTTGTGTTTTGAGCTTCATGACTCTCAATCGTATTTGGGCGACAAATATAGAAATTTTGACATACAAAGTTTGGAGTTTAGAGTAGGAAGCACATATTATATTTATTCTCGGGTCAGATAAACTGCGTTCTGGGGCCCCTGAGTCCCAGGGCCCGAGGCACAGTGCGTCGTGTATACCATCTTGGATCTACCCCTGCTCAAGTAGCTTTTAGCCTGTTTCATTTGCTTGTAACCAGATGTGAAGATGACGCACACGACGCACTCTGCGTCAGGCCTCGAGAGACGAAGGACCCCACAACAAGGTTCCAGGGCCCACCGGTTAAAAAAGTTGTGTTTTGAGCATCATGACTTTGAATCGTATTTGGGAGACAAGTATGGAAATTTTGACCTACTAAGTTTGGAGTTTAGAGTTAGAAGCACATATTATATCTATTCTCGGGCCAGATAAACCGCGTTCTGGGGCCCCCGAGTCCAGTGCGCCCTGTGTACCATCTTGGATCTATCCCTGCTCAAGTAGTCTTTAGCCTACAAGATTCCATTTGCTTGTAACCAGATGTAAAGTTAACGCACACGACGCACTCTGCATCAGACCTCGTGTGGCGAGGGAGCCCCACAACACGATTCCAGGGCCCACCGAGTATAAAATGTTGTGTTTTGAGCTTCATGACTCTCAATCGTATTTGGGAGACAAATATAGAAATTTTGACCTACAAAGTTTAGAGTTGGAAGCACATATTATATCTATTCACGGGCCAGATAAACCGCGTTCTGGGGCCCCTGAGTCCCAGGGCCCGAGGCACAGTGCGCCGTATGCACCAGCTTGGATCTATCCCTGCTCAAGTACCCTTTAGCCTGCAAGGTTTCATTTGCTTGAAACAAGATGTAAAGTTGACGCACTCTGCACCAGGCCTCGGGAAATGAGGGAGCCCCACAACACGGTTCCAAGCCCCACCGAGTAGAAAAGGTTGTGTTTTGAGCATCATGACTCTCAATCGTATTTGGGAGACAAATAGAAATTTTGACCTACAAAGTTTGGATTTTTGAGTTGGAAGCACATATTATATCTATTCTCGGGCCAGATAAACCGCGTTCTGGGGCCCCTGAGTCCCAATGCGCCGTGCGTACCATCCTGGATCTGTCCCTGCTCAAGTAGCCTTTAGCCTACAAGGTTCCATTTGCTTGTAACCAGATGTAAAGTTAACGCACACGACGCACTCTGCATCAGACCTCGTGAGGCGAGGGAGTCCCACAACACGATTCCAGGGCCCACCGAGTAGAAAAGGTTGTGTTTTGAGCATCATGACTCTCAATCGTATTTGGGAGACAAATGGAAATTTTGACCTACAAATTTTAGAGTTTAGAGTTGGAAGCACATATTATATCTATTCTCGGGCCAGATAAACCGCATTTTGGGGCCCCTGAGTCCCAGGGCCCGAGGCACAGTGCGCCGTGTGTACCATCTTAGATCTACCCCTGCTCAAGTAGCCTTTAGCCTGCAACGTTTCATTTGCTTGAAACAAGATGTAAAGTTGACGCACAAGACGCACTCTGCATCAGGCCTCGGGAGATGAGGGAACCCCACAACACGGTTCCAGGGCCCACCGAGTAAAAAATGTTATGTTTTGAGCTTCATGACTCTCAATCGTATTTGGGAGACAAATATAGAAATTTTGACATACAAAGTTTGGAGTTTAGAGTTGGAAGCACATATTATATTTATTCTCGGGTCAGATAAACCGCGTTCTGGGGCCCCTGAGTCCCAGGGCCCGAGGCACAGTGCGCTGTGTGTACCATCTTGGATCTATCCCTGCTCAAGTAGCCTTTAGCCTGCAAGGTTTCATTTGCTTGAAACAAGATGTAAAGTTCACGCACACGACGCACTCTGCATCAGTCCTCGGGAGACGAGGGAGCCCCACAACACGGTTCCAGGGCCCACCGACTAGAAAAGGTTGTGTTTTGAGCTTCATGACTCTCAATCGTATTTGGGAGACAAATATAGAAATTTTGACCTACAAAGTTTGGAGCTTAGAGTTGGAAACACATATTATATCTATTCTCGGGTCAGATAAACCACGTTCTGGAGCACCTGAATCCCAGGGCCCGAGGCAACAGTGCGTCGTGTATACCATCTTAGATCTACCCCTGCTCAAGTAGCTTTTGACCTGAAAGGTTTCATTTGCTTGAAACAAGATGTAAAGTTGACGCACTCTGCATCAGGCCTCGGGAGACGAGGGAGCCCCACAACACGGTTCCAGGGCCCACCGAGTAGAAAAGGTTGTGTTTTGAGCATCATGACTCTCAATCGTATTTGGGAGACAAATGGAAATTTTGACCTACAAAGTTTGGAGTTTTGAGTTGGAAACACATATTATATCTATTCTCGGGTCAGATAAACCACGTTCTGGAGCACCTGAGTCCCAGGGTCCGAGGCAACAGTGTGTCGTGTATACCATCTTGGATCTACCCCTGCTCAAGTAGCATTTAGCCTGCAAGGTTTCATATGCTTGTAACTAGATGTGAAGATGACGCACTCGACGCTCTCTGCGTCGGGCCCCGGGAGGCGAGGCGGACCCACAACACGGTTCCAGGACCCCTGAGTAGAAAAGGTTGTGTTTTGAGCATCATGACTCTCAATCGTATTTGGGAGACATTTTTTCCGGAAAATCGTTCGATAAATAATTTACTAACGAGATATCGATGGTAGGCACGAAACATTTTATGTAAAATTAGGCGAGTTACATATTTTGCTATTATGTACATTCACTATAATTTCCAATAGAAGGTTCCTTGCCTGATTTACCATTCCTATCTCTGAGATGAATACGCAATTTCTTACGGAGGTCGGTCTGGTTATGTGGATAGCGATTTAATGTTAGTTTACTGTGAGCGTCTTCAAGACCACTCCGCGAGTGTATTGGAGTATTCAGAACGGCGCCGTAGTCCTCGCTATTTCCATCAGTGCTGCGTAAATTTATATCATATATCGTACAAAATATGTCTGGGTGGGCACAGTATTAATTATTATACAATTAGAACATATGAAATGCCTTACCAAATAAATAGGAGATTCATTTTCAATTTCATGTTTACTTTTTCGGTGCTGTTTTGCTTCATACTAGTAGTCAAATAAAAAAATCATTTCTTTAGGGGTTCCAAAGGACCCCTTTTCTATCAGAAATTCGGACCTATCTATGTCTTGTTGAACAATGTCACCACCTCTCTGCCATTTAAATGTGTGTTGGTAGAAATATTTAAGATTTTAATTGTTTCAGATTTGGCCAAAATCGACGGAAACGGTATACTGATGTTACAACTACAAAATTCTGACAAAAAACGTGCATCGACTGATAAAGTATGTTTGAAACTACAGAGCACGTTGAAATTTAACAGCTGTCTCAGAGGATTTCTCACAATAGGGACAGAAAATGAACACAAGTGCATTATTTGGAACCGGCGATGGTGTATGTTGAAGGGTAAGCTACAATTGAAATAAAATGAATTGGGTGCCTGCAGGCCTAACTTATTATTTTTATATAAAAATAAACGGGTATCAGTGAAAATATGACATTTGTTTGATTTGAACCTAGGAACAATTATTTGAATTTCGATGACAGCGAAATATTTGTTGACCCCACATGACACAGATTTCACGACAAAGACGGCGATTATTTTCCAGTATCAGGCAGATGATGTTTCCCCTTTTGTCCACCGCATGCGCGCCGATTGATTTAGTTCCCCTCACTATGCACTTCGCTCCTGGCGAATACTGTATTTGTAAACCATGGAGCCTATATAGCAGAAGAACCAGCGAAATGAAAAAAGAAACGACCCTAAAACTTGACGCCTGACTGAGGGCGCAGTGATCCAAGCGAGTACCAGCTACTTCGCATGCGCAGAGTATCTGAGGTTATAGTACGAGATCCCGCTTGAATCTGCAGGTTACTGTATTTTATATAAATCTTTTTATGAGTTATAATATTAGAGCAGATTATAACAGGGTTGCATTTGAGATTCTGCTATTATTAATCATTCATAAAAATCGGATTTTATAAAAAAAAGCATAACTGCATATTCAAGCGCTCGGAGCTTAGGCTATAAGGAAGGTGTTCATATGGCGGATCTGTCGGAGCACAGCGTTGTCAGATGGATCGGACAGAGTTTCTTCAGAACAAGCACAAGAAATCCCTCAGCTTTTTCTAAAAAAAAAATCCTCCAAAACACGGTTAATTAATGAGAAGGTATAGGTAAAGAGTGGGGGAATTACTATCCGCGAAACATGTGATTTCCTCGAGATCCAGTTCCCAAATTTAGGGAAAAATCCCGCAACATGGCAACACTGCGAAAGCACTCTTGATAGTCCAGGCGTCAAGTTTAGGGGTCGTTTTTACAGTACGAACAGCATTGCCGTAGTTTCTCCTGCTGGGCTAAATGTTCTGGACATACACATATACTAAGTGACATATAAATCCGAACACCCAGTTTAAATCGTTTTATTTTAATAAAAGTCGGTGAATGTATTTATCTTACTGTAAATAACAAGTGAAAAAAATGTCAGCCTTATCAGTTGGACATTCCGGTTTTTATACTGCTTTTTTTTAATTCACTAACGCTCTAAAAATGAATATTTCAGCCGCAGTAAAGAATCAATGTTGGCGGATTTTGGTTCTTGACATCCTTTACGATCGGTTACGATGCCTAGAGTACGGAGACCTGTACGATTTCGTCAACTTAGTGAGTTTGATAGGGGCCGTATAGTGGGACTTCGGGAAGCTGGACTTTCTTTTCGGGCAATTGCAGTTAGAGTGCAAAGAAGTGTAAACACTGGTTAGGTGTTGTCAGGCATGGCTTCGAGAAGGCCGTACGCAAAGAGCAAGGGGCACTGGACGCCGCCGTAGAACAACAGACCGTAAAGATCGCCGCCTAAGATTATTGGCCTTAAGGGACCGTTTCTCCACTACCAGGTCCATTGCAAATGAATGGTTTGCAGAACACGGAAGACCTGTTGGCATGCGAAGTGTTTACCGACGAATGAGAAGTTTTGGCTTGTTTTCATACCGGCCACACTGGGTCCTCCCTTTAACTCGAGAACACCGACGTAATCGCCTTGAGTGGTGCAGACAACGGTCACTCTGGGATCAGGAATGGAACAGTATTGTCTTTAGTGACGAGTCTCGATTTTGTTTAGGCATGCACGATGGTCGTGCCAGGGTTAGAAGGCGACGTGGTGAAAGGAGGAATCCACAGTTTTTTGTTGAAAGACATGTTTATCACACTGTTGGAGTTATGGTTTGGGGTGCTATAGCTTATGGTTCCAGGTCACCTTTAATCTTCATCAGAGGTAACATGAACGCGCAGCGTTATATCCACGAAGTTCTAGAACCCCATCTTTTACCCTATCTTGACACCCTGGCAGATCCAACTTTCCAACAAGATAATGCCCGACCACATGTTGCAAGAGTCACAATAGACTTCTTTCAACATAATGATGTCACATTGTTACCATGGCCACCAAGATCTCCCGACTTATCCCCAATTGAGCACGTGTGGGATATGATGGGTAGGAGATTGCTCAATTTCAACGTCCTCCTCAGACTCTAGAAGCACTTCGAGAAGAGTTGGTGGTTGCCTGGAATGAGATACCACAGGAGGACATTGACCACCTGATCAGAAGCATGCCTAGGCGCGTTGGAGAATTCGTAGCATCCACACATTATTAAAGGTCAAAGGGCTTTAAAGTAGTGCAATCATTTTGAAATTTTTATCATTTACTTATTATGCTTCATTAAGTACTTATACAAAATTTTATTAAAATAAAACCATTTAAACTGGGTGTTCGGATTTATATGTCACTTAGTATACAATTTCCTTAGTCAGACAAGTTGCAAAATAGCATAGCAATTTTCCTTTTAAGAAGATTGGGTATTCTTCAGCATGGCGCTATCCTTACAAGGAACAGTCACCCCTCAACCTCGTAATTATTATCAGAGTTTCTCAACGAAGGAAAAGGAAATCCCATAACATGCGGCTACAGCCCGAGAGGCGGCAACGCTATCACCTAACTATGCTAGAAAGGCATTCAGTTGTATGACATATGTAATTTCACAGAATACATGAGTAGGTATTTCTTACAGTATTTGCCTAAGGAAAACGAAATATGTAAATTTTAATTTTTAAAAGCTCAAGATGGATATTTAGGTCCCATCTAAAAAAGTCTATTTTTCATGTTTAATACGAAACGGCGAAAACACTAACGGGCAAGATGTGACGTCAGACAAATTGTAAACGAAGAATGTCATGTGTGTGTCACTCGTGGACTAGGGTTGTCGCCCATTTCTAAAAAACTTCTAATCGACGTAAAAGTCACCATTTTCTCGTTTTATTGAAAAAAAAAAACAATTATAAACATTGGATTCGTAAAAGCTGCAAATTAGTCAAAAATTGACTCACGATGGTTAGTAATTTTCTTGTCTTCAACTCAGATTTCTTCTCTATTGAGCTGAGGAACATCAAGACTCCTATCTATATAAGTACAGTGCATCTGATATAGTGATAGAAATAAAAAGAAAGAATAAGCAATGCACTTATGTCGAAATCACGAAAGATGACGATTACGTCATCATTTTAGTCTGTAGTAAAGACAAACGACAGCGATTTGTGAATATATTTAATGAAGTTTCTGATATGTTAGACAGAGACAAAAATATTTTTATTGTCTAAGGCCCGTATCGTCAGTCGTCCCTACAATTGTAGGGCGCCTTTATGGCCTCCTTGATTGTCATAGTTTTCTATTTTTCCATGTCAGTGCTCTATTTTGAGGTTATGTCACAAACATCTATTTGCATCAAATTGTGCTTGCTTTTGAGTTATATCATATTTTATCAGCCTGAAATTTCCTACAATTTAAAAGGATAACATATCTTCACAATAGGAGAGCGCTGACGCTGACACGGGACAAGTGTAATCTAGAAATTTTTGAAGGAGAGAAAGCAGTATGACAATCAAGGAGGCCATAAACGCGCCCTACAATTGTAGGGACGACTGACGATACGGGCCTTAACAAACTGTATTGGTAATTTGCATGTGTCCGACAAAGATAAACGATGTTTTCATATTGCATGATCGATCATATTTGAAAGATTAGGTTATGTTAAAGCAGGTTATGTTGTTTTCGAATAATACTTTGGTCTTTGGTGTTCTTGACTTAAGGTATTCTACTCATAACTGTTTTCAAAACAAAAACTCCCCACTAAAATTATTATTACGGTATCACTCAAAACCATGAAATAAAATGAAAATAAAAATAATCAGTGAAATAACTTAACTTCACAAAATCATAATATAAATTTGTTATGTTTCTGACTCGTGATTTTATCATCGACGTACGTCCATTGATTACTTCAGTACAATTTATGGTATGACGTAATAGTCAGATTTCGCGATTTTGACTCATACATAGGTAATTATTATTTTCACAAGTCATTCAAAATAAGCTCATGCGTTATAACCTCTGAATAATTTTTACTAATATTGTATTTTTTCTTCCGCACATCTGCAAGGGAATCGTACGGTGATGGTTACATCCGAGACAATAAAGTATGCACAGTAAAATGTAAAACATATTCCGAACATATCACAGTCGTACGTTTATTTACTTCGGGCAATCCAACCAACAGCATTCCTGGGGTCTTCATCGATGCGTTTTTACATTCTCAAACGATATAATAGCGATAATTGCTATATTTTCATGTAAACTAGTATATGCTTAAAAGTTTGAGAGGTTATGGTGATGTCAGCTGCTGTTTACAATTGGTATGACGACAGAACACATTAATATAGGCCAGCGATTTCGCCTATATTTTTAATTTAAAGTTTTACGGTCTTTTAGGCCTGACAAAAGTATAATAATAACTTTTTAGGTTCAATGGAACAAATATTAACTATTTAAGACCTACTAAAAAAAGTGCCAACTAGCCTTTTGGACTGGATATCTTGCGGTGGAATGTTACATAACGCAAAAAGGCATTTTGAAAAAAGACATGGAGCAATGGAGTAAATCTGACCAGTTCCATTTTTTATATAAAATACAACAAAATGAATTGCTTAAATATTGTAGGGCAGCCTGTATAGACATTTTCTTTTCTTAGGTTCGACCCTGGAATACTGGAACCATCCTTCAGAGGAGGAATTCGCCAGATATGGATCCATAGACTTAAGAGATTGTTCAGCAAACTGCATAGGGATAGCAGAAAGGCAACTTTGCTCTAGACCTCGGACCTTACTGTTGCCGATCAAAAAAGACGACACGGCCAAAAGATATTTTTTGGCTACAGATAACAACACGGAGCTTGAAGCGTGGAATAAACAACTAAATGTAACTGTACGCGCTCTGAAACTGTGGAGAAATTCTGAGATATGTTGCAACGCTTAATTTCGAAACTGTAACCATGAGCGCCCATATAGCAAAATCTAGGGGCTTACAGGTTGTGCAGGATAAAAAATGCTGAGAACTAGCCAACCCGTTGCCACTTCTTACCCAAGGATTGGGTATCTTAAGAATATTTCACTTTGAAGCAAAAACCAGGGGGGAATATGCCCCCCCCCCCATGGGCGCCCATGACTGCAACCTATACGTCCCAAAGGACAATATTGACGCAACTTTTTAAGTGAAGTTTTTTTTTGATTTTTATTGTAAGAATGCTTATTCTAACTATATGTAAGATGTTTTCTAAATATGAGGTGAAAATGTAACAGGGGCTTAAGGCTATTAACAACAAAGTGACTTTTTTAAAAGCCAATGAATAAACATTCTCAGAATAGCCCAGTGAAGTGTTTCACCTTGTATGTTCTTGTGTGTTTTCCTATTTTTAATCAGTATTTTTAGTTGTATGTAAATGTTTTAATGTTGTTAAATTTTTTGGTATTTCAAAATAGATGCTTTTTTGTGTGAAATACCTGTGTATTTTTGTGACCTTAAAAAATCATAACAGACAAAGCGTAGAAATAAAATACCATCTTAACGCGGTTCCCACGATCAGGAGGACCATCTCCTGAGGTAACGGGGGGATGAAAGTATGCCATGATTATACGTAACCACCCGCCATATTGGGCAAACATTTATTTCAGTTTTCCATCTTAAAAATCTCTACATACTTTTGATCATTAAAATATGAATCAAATACGAAGCCCATAGAAATTGCGTAACTACTTTGCACGATAATCACAATAAAATTTGCTGCGCAAGTAATTCAATAATAGCCCTATATCACAGTGTAGAAGTTTATCATATACCTGTATATGAAATTGACAATGGCCGATATGTAAGTAAACAAGATGACTGTAATGTGTTAGTTATATATTCTTCACTTCGTCTATACAACATAAGAAATAGTTTGGTTGCAATAAAGTAGAATCACGTAACAGAATAGTTGTATAGTTGACAAAAACTGATGAATCTTGCACTGACGCAAATGTCCTATAGCGGCTGCAAGAGGCTTACACTTTTGTTGTATAACTGTTACCTGCAGCCCTTATACAACCTCTTAAATGACTGAAGCGATGGGCTGGTCTTAGATTGTCGTCGGCGCTACTTTAAAAAAGGAAAGGGTGACTGTGGACGCGTACCGGGATAAATTTCTATAATAACAGAGTCGGATTTCGATTGGCGATCTAGCCCTAATAATCCCCATTATAAATATCCGAATGTATTTTCCACTACTGACGGCAGTTGCAAATCTGTTGGCCCTCAGTGTCAAACCTATAACGCAAGTACAGATTTTTTAAGCACTACAATGTTTTATGACAATGATTATTAACCCATGAAACGGCAAAAACGGAGTTTCAGCAATTTTTTTTTGTAGTTTCGTTGCCTATAGCGCCGCCGCCACTGGACTGAAACTAGAAACCTCTGGTATAGTAGTAAAATCCGAGCGGTCATTTCCAAGCTATAGACGGGTGAAGGATTAGCAGACAGACTGACGGAAATTATTGAAATAGTTTTTCGTGATGTAGGTATCATATAAAACCTAGAACACATCTCATTTTCGAAATTTTTCGAGCCACTGACGTGCGAAGTAAAACGGCTTTAAGATGGAGAAGTAAAAATGTTCAATTTGACGAAGCAGCCTACACGTTAGGAAATCAGTATATTCACCATCTATAGTTTCATTTATTGGTCAGTGTAAGACAGATAGATCAGAGAGACAACCGGGGCATAAGTTCAGAAGTTACATTTACGTAACTAGTTACGAACATATACAGGGTGTCCCCTTTCCTTAGACTATCTTTGATAGTGTGATTGTGCAGTGCCGCTATGTCCGTGTACACCGTACAAGAATATGCTAACATGCACCTCATTTATGGGGAATGCAGATGCAACGCTAGTGCTGCAGCGAGACTTTACTGTGAGAGGTACCCGAATGCAGCTCGTCATCCAGATCATCGAGTGTTCACAAATGTGCACCGCTTACTGTTCTCAGAGGGTCCAACTACCAAACCAATCACACGGTGAGGGAAGATCTTTCCTTCCTTACGAAGACGTGGTGCTAGGAGCTGTCGAAGAAGACCCGAGTACTTCAATGCGTGCAATAGAACTAAAAACAGGTGTGCCCAAAAGTACAGCCCATAGAATCTTGCAAAAAAACGTGCTCCATCCATACCACGTACAGCGTGTTCAAGCTCTTCTGCCCCGGGATTATGAGCCCCGAGTTGCTTTTTGAGGCACAATGTTAGAAAGACACAGGAAAGATCCACAGTTCTTTGAAAAAATTTTATGGTCGGATGAGACCACATTTAAGAAAGATGGGTACATGAACCTGCATAACTTGCACGAGTGGCACGTCGCAAATCCACATTTGATGAGAGAAGATAAATCTCAATATCGCTTCAAGATAAACCATTGGACAGGAATTTTAAATGGTAAAATAATCGGTCCGTTTGAGTTCCCAGAGACTTTGACTGCTGAGGTTTATTTAGGTTTTTTGCAAAATCATTTAGAAAATTTATTGGAGGACGTGCCACTGAGTATTTACAGGGACATGTGGTTTCAGCATGATGGCTGCCTAGCGCACTATGCACTCTCAGTGAGAGAGTATCTCGTTCAAAACTTTCCAGGGAGATGGATAGGGCGGTCTGGTACAATACCGTGGCCAGCCCGGTCACCAGATTTGAATCCGTTAGATTTTTTTTACTGGGGAACTGTAAAATAAAAAGTGTATTTCAAGCCGATTCAAAATGTAGCTGAGCTACGGCAAAGACTATTGGAAGCAGCTGAGTTTGTTAATAACCGTGGATTCGCTCGTTTAATAACCCGATCTTTTTTAAGATGTCGAGCGTGTATTACGGCTGAAGGAAAACAGTCTGAGCATTTGCTGTAAAGGTAAATCATCATCAGCAGCATGTTGACGCCTACTGTTGTGCAAACAGTTATCCTTAAGGGTCCTTGTGCGTTTTCATAATCGCTGTTTAATTAGGAAATTTTGAAAAGTTTTTCTTCAAATAAAAATTGTGCATAAGTTAACGAGTAATCTTCTAAGTGTTATACCATTTTGGAATCCTTATTAAATGCGCCAACTTTTAAGGTTACTTGCCAAACTCTCGTAGTACATTTTTTTCCAGTACAGCCAGTTAAAGTTGAGCAAAGTTTTACTTTGGAATACTTGGTTGGGAAATAAGTGGCAATTTTTCCTGAACGAGAAAAGTTGGCAGTAAGGTTGAGACACCAGTTTGAAGATGCATTATTCATCATTACATTGTAAAAATAAAATCCAAAAAAAGTTAATATTTGTAGTAACAGGAGTTGACAGACTGCCGTAGGGTGTGAAATTTCTATATTTTTTCAAAGACCTATAATTTTCAAAACACATACATAAAATTTTTTTAAATATTTTTCTGATAGCTGTTATGACTTTGCCTATCACCCAGTTTCGGCTTGACGTCGACTTCTGGGACCCTGTATACTTTGCATCAGCGATCGCGATTATGAACACCTATTTGCAGAATGACATATCGATGGCTTAAGTTCTAATACGACGTATCCCCGAAAATGTAGAAATCGAGATTTTGATGGATCTCAAATGAAATATGGGTATTTCTATCGTGTGACAATTTGTCGTAGCCAACCTGCTAATAAAACCACCATTTTTGCGCATAGTCTAATATGTCGTATCTAAATCAGTTGTTATTTTCGGTTCCAATAAGCTGTATCCCTCAGCATCCACTTGCTCACTGAACCTGATTGTGTTGGTTGCTAGACAGTGCTCTCTTTATTTGACTAAATAATGATATCCAGGGTTTTTTTACGTGTCTAAGAAATCTTAACAGAAATGTATACAGGGTTTGTCCGGAAAGTAATAGGCCTGAGTCGATTTAAAAAGATTTATTGAGCGAATCGTTACAATTCTTTAAAAACTTTCAAAATAGGCTCCTTCTGCGTCGATACAGCGCTGCCAGCGCGATTTCCAAGCATCGAAGGCGTCACGGAAGGCATTCTCCAGAATAGCCTTGAGAGCCGCGGTGCATGCTGCTTGGATCCCCTCTGTCGTCTCAAAATGCTTGCCTTTCATCGGCCTTTTCAGGCGAGGAAACCAAAAAAAGTCCGGGGGGGGGCACATCTGGGCTGTAGGGCGGCTGCGGAAGCGTTGAGATGCCGGCCTTGGTCAGGTAGGTGTTCACAGGAAAGGCGGTGTGAGCCGGGGCGTTGTCGTGGTGCAACTTCCAGTCGGCTGCGATGTCTTGTCGGACCCGACTGACCCTTCGTTTGAGTCTCCTGAGCACTTCCACGTAAAACTTGGCGTTGACGGTTTGTCCAGGAGGAACAAATTCATGGTGAACTATGCCTTTGATGTCAAAAAAGACAATGAGCATCGTTTTCACTTTGGATTTGCTCATTCTTCCCTTTTTTGGGCAAGGAGACGCCGTTGTGTGCCACTCTTAAGATTGCCTCTTTGTCTCGGGATCATACTCAAAGATCCACGACTCGTCACCTGTGATTACGTTATTCAAAAATTGGGGGTCACTTTCACACATGTTCAAATTTTCTTGGCACACTTCCACTCGCCGCAATTTCTGGTCGTCAGTGAGCACTTTTGGGACCATCTTCGCGAACACCTTGCGCATATTGAAATGCTGTGTCACAATGTCATGAACCACAGATTTTGGTAAATTTAACATCTGGGCAATTAAACGAATACTTAGTCGACGGTCTGAGTTCAAAACTTTGCGCACACGAGTCACATTCTCGGCGTTTGTCGAAGTCGAAGGTCTTCCAGCACGGTCTTCATCAGCGACCTCTTCCTGGGCCTCCAAAAAGGCCTGGTACCACCGAAACACAGAACTTCTTGCTAAAGCAACACCTGGGTAAGCCTGTCTCTGTCGCAGATTTACCGAGTTTCACACAGAATTTAATCGCGTACCTCTGCTCTAACGAACGCTGTATTTTCGGCTTGCACCACTCACAGAAACACGCCGCGCGAAAATGCCTGTCCTGCCTCTCCAAGTGCTCGGAGACAACTGACCAACCGCTCATTCGTTAGCTAGGAAAGCCCTCTACCGAATCCAGTCGGTGCGCGAACGCTCCGAAGTACACTCATGGCGGAATAAAATGAGTCCTATTACTTTCCGGACAAACCCTGTACTTCGATTAGAAAGCGTCATTAGTTTAGTGCTCAGAAGTTTGATTAAAAAGTGAAGATTTGTTTCAGCTTATTGGACCTTGTAACTGTTCTGTTAATAAATTAATAATAACATGAATTTTATTCAAAAATCAAACATTTCTTTAAATTTTGACTGAAATATATGTAATTTCTTAATATTCAATAAGCTGATGATATTTCAAGGACAAGCTGTCATCTCATACTTTGACAATATTTTGTTTTCAACGTTTCATAGGTATTGGTTGCTGAAATTTAGTGATTGGATGTTGAAGCACACTCGCTGTATTTGACGGACTGTTACCCTATAGGTGGAGAATAACGGACAGTTAATTTGACAACCTTGGTGAAATCCACCCTAAATGAACAATAATCCCAATGCTAATGGGTCTTTTAGATGTTTATTTCTGCTGTTCTTTAACACTCGGATTTTTGACATCCATACTACCATACAGGGTACTCATAGCTCCATTCTGTCTTTCACTCACACATAGGCTGCGTTTTATTTTATATACTCCAGCTACCACGAAGGCCTAAGGCCTAAACACCCATTAGGTACCGTGGGGCTATAGGGGGATACAGGGGAAAGGGGGGGGGACGCCACACGTACTCTGGCGAGGGAACACGTGTGCATGCACCATGCACACATTCTGGCTCCGCCTACGAGATCCGCCGGGTGGTACCTTCGCGTTCGACAGTCAGAGACCGTCTACCACCTACATATTGACATGATTAACACTGAGCTGCTGGACTTTAGCGCTACCTTGAATACGCTTCAGCGGGTTGTATTCATTGTCGGTAATCATCAGTTTATTGGAATGACATTATTAAAAATACTCAAGGGTTGTGTTTGGGTCGCAGAGGATCGGATGTTACCGAACTATTCCAAAAAGTTCGCTAGTTTACGCTTCATCATTAATAACGTAGGGAGTGGTTCGGTACTGCGGCATGAGAACAATTCAACTTTGAAGTTGAGTCATTAATTTTCAGATAATGATTGTAGAAGGAAGATAAACCAAAATATATGTGTAAAAATTAAAAAAGAATTAAAAAAAATGTTACCTTGTTTTATAAAATATCCTCCCGACAAGTATTTCAGTGCGGACCTGTATTTGATCGTGCGGTCTTGCAGCACATACCCTCCCGTGTGAGGACTTAAGTCACCTGATTCACGAGCCCTTTGTACTACATTAACAAAGGCACTAGGGGTTGGTTGCACTCGATTGGGAAACCGATCCACATAAATCCGTGTTGCCGTAGCAGCATTTTGTAAAATCAGAATCATGTCCACAAGTTCAGCATTTTCGTAAACATGTGCCATTTTTTATTTCGTTTGAGCCACGCAGAAACACCACTCACGCGTTACCGACTGACACATCAAATGAATACAACTGAATAAAATAAATGAATAAAACATCGTGATAAGCGTTTCAAATTCTTTCGCTTTTTTGTTTCCGATTATATCCGTTGTTGCCAAACACGAGCACATATTATTATTGAGACAGGGCGGTACTCAAACTTCTAAAGGGCTATAACTTTGTTACTTCAATTTTACCACAAAAATGTTAAAGGAAAAAAACATTTCTTTTGATCAGATCTACTCACTGTTAAAATAAATGACTCAACTTCAAAGTCACCCTGTAGATTCACTTGGCGTATTCTATAAAGTGACATCTAGCAAATGAGCTACAGCATTACTCTAAATAAACGGAGCGAGTATGAAGGAGAGTCTGCTTTGAATGTAATAATTCTGTTGTGGTCAGGTAGTTGCGGATACCAAAACAAAAACAGCATATTGTCCAATTCCGTGTCTCTATTGGTATAATATAGTGATTGAGCAGAAGTATCAGGAGAAAGGTCACATTCAAATGGAGTGTGACTCAACTCATTGTGTCATTGAAAGGCGCCTTAGAGGGAAATACATACATTTGCCTAGCGATTACATAAACCTACTTAGAGATGCGATCATTCCCTTTTGACGTAGAGTACCCAAACCATTCGTATTTTCTGAATTTCGAAGTACAACTGTAAAAGGTACAATTCCATACGTCCAGAAAATAAGAAAAACTATTTAAAGCTGCCTAAGATATGATAGCACTGGCCAAATCTGCTACAAATAGGAAATCAACGATCCTTATGAAGTCTTGCCTCAACGCCAAAAGCAAATTGATATAGCCTATAAGCCCAAATAGCTCTACGAGACAAGGCTTAAGATAGCAAAAAAGAAATGGGGTCATTTGCAACGATTCAAAAAAGTAATCTCGGAAGATGTAGACTTTTACGATGCGGCACGGGTATCATGTAAAAAACCTACAAAACGTCAACTTGCAGACTAGGATCGTTGTGAACGTCCATTTATGAAGGAATCACTCAACTAAACTACACGCATTATTGGTTGCATATTTTTGTGAGGCTGAGTGATCCGTGTCTGTAGTTTTTATCTCTGAGAAGAAAGTTGGTTGAATAACAAAATCGCATCTGGATAATTATTTCTATCTCTCTCATTTTTTAAATCCAGCAAATTTGTATATGTAATTTCCAGAATGGATAAGAAAAAGTGAATGCGCAACTAATTTCCAGCTTTGAATCTCAATTAAGTGTATTTGAGACAAGAACCCAATGTAATTATCATCAACACATACAAACTTACAGCTTAGACCTCCAGTAATGCCATCTCAGAAGCAGATTTTACATCACATATCACATCAGAGCCAAAGATTGATAACAAGCCTCATGACGTTTAGGCAACACGTACAACTAAGTGCTACGTCAACGTCTAAGGCCCGTATCCAGTATCGTCAGTCGTCCCTACAATTATTGTAGGGTGCCTTTAGGGCCTCCTTGATTGTCATAGTTTTCTGCTTCTCCGTTTCAGAACTCTATTTTGAGGTTATGTCACAAACATCTATTTGCATCAAATTGTGCTTGCTTTTGAGTTATATCATGTTTTATCAGCCTGAAATTTCCTACAATTTAAAAAGAAAACATATCTTCACAATAGGAGAGCGCTGACGCCGACACGGGACAAGTGTAATCTAGAAATTTTTGAAGGAGAGAAAGGAGGATGACAATCAAGGAGGCCATAAACGCGCCCTACAATTGTAGGAACGACTGACGATACGGGCCTTAGCGAAAAACCTACATAATGTCAAACAAAACAGCATAATGTCGAAAAAAAAACGGCATAATGTCACTTTTCAAGATACGTGATACCCGCGCGGAAGAGATAGAATAAACTAGGAAGTCAAACAACATCGAAGAAGAACCAGAATAGTCGTCGGCGGACAATGATAAACTAAAAAATGAAGGTATCGTAGCTAAGAGGTAGGAAAAAATTGTTACTTGGCTCACTAACAAACCAAAATTTTAAAGTGTTCCAACAAGTCTACAAACTCGAGGAAGGTAGAGAAAGTGAGTATCCAAAATTGATACAGTCAGGGACACCTAATTTGGAAAATGGCCGTAATCAGAAAAACGCAAAAGACAGTAATATGTCATTTTACATTTGGTCTTGTATAATCATTTTTTATGAAATCTATTTATTTCTGAAAAACAAAGGGGTGCAATAATTATACGAAGAAACAAAATTGACTCATCCAGGATTCTCCTACTCTGTTGCTTGTTACCGAGCTTGTGTCTACTGTAACAAGTCGCCAGTCTGGATTTGTTTTTATTACAAGATAACAATTATTGAAGTTTTCTGATCTCATATTTTTATGTTTTCCTTTGTTGTTAGCAAATAATAAACGTTTATATAACTTTAAAATGCTGTTTCTAACAAAATTATATTCACACAACATGCTGTATCCCAATTAGTTTCCCGATTTTTATATAGAATAAAAAATACAACCCACTGTGGAAGACAAAAAGGTCGTATCAAACATAGTGATCAAATGCTAATACTTCTTAAGCTACATACAAGGCTGCAGTGGTCTCTACTTGTCGATGTTTTGTCTAAAACCGATCAAGCTAATCTCAAATTTGATAATGAAAACATCTAACAGCTTTAAATAATAAAGTATTCTTGAATAAATCGTTTTGTCTTCGTTCTGTAAAACTCGCTTTTTGGGGATACACCATCGATGTATACGATATTAGTGAAATAGGGCCACCAAATTATCTGAATACGTCCTTCTTAGTCCGTACATATCGCCGCATCGCTTGGGTTGGCAGCGCGAAACAGAAGACAAAATTCGTGCAAAATCCGATTTGTAGAGGTTTGCGCGCTTCGAAACTGACTCTTTTTTTAATATTTTCGAATGAAATTTTTGCGGTGTGCTGAAAATAAAACCCTACAGGGTGTTATCGAGCCACTTTTTCCAGTAGCCTCATTTTGAAAAGATCGCGAAGTTCAACAACAAAGTAAGCATTTAAACCGACCATCAATCTTGTGCAAAAACAAAATTCCAAAAAGTGGTCCGGAGCACCCTAGGCAATTGTCTTCTGAACATACTGAATGAATTTCATTAAAAAATATTGAAAAATGGAGTGTCGGTTTCGAAGCAGATGAACCCTTGTAAATGGCTTGAAACTCACTGCATCGGAGCCGCCGTGAAGAGCTGGGTAGCGGATATTTACGTACTTGTTCACAATAACTACAGACAGAAAGAAACGCAACTTTTTGTGAAGAGCAAGTGTATTTTATTTCCTCATAAATTGATAAATCACAAGTAGATTAACATTCAGATACAACTTTAAAAATCCAAAATATAATTAATTTCCTGATTTAGTAACTATTGCACATTATCCATTAAACAAAAATTGCTCCTCACTTTTTCGTATTTTTTCTATAACAAAATATATTCTGTTAAACGTATGCAAAAATTTGTTACCCGTGAAAAATATGAAAATAAATCTGAAAAATATTAATGCATACAAGTAACAATACATCTGATATGCCCCCCCTTTATCAGTTAAAACAATTATGACAAACCAAAACTTTTCACAGAATTTTGACATCAACTGACATTTTTTACATTTTTTGTACATCCCAACCGAAACGAAAATAGACGTCGAATGTGCCTACAGATCAAAAAAAAATTAAAAAATGCATAAAATCACAAAAAGTATAAATTACCATGACACATTCAACGGTAGATCTTTTTACAATAACATCACACTGAAACGGTCGAAAAGATCCTCAAACGACCATTTCCTAAAGAATCTCCATCCTGTAAAAGATTTAATCAAAAACCTTCATTCCTGCAAAGCGCAGAAGAGTGTTTTATATGTAAAGTCACAGGGTAAAAGAAATACAAGCCAAGGTAACATCGTTACCCATCATTTTTATGAAGGCCATTATAAAAACAAGTTGAAATAAACTATGGATAGTTCAAGAAAATATATATAATAGTATGCGCAATAATACTGCAAGGCTATAGAATCTCAATAGGTTCACATCATACATTTAAAAATTCATGTATGTGAAATTACCAACCACCCTGAGTATGTTAATGATCTCTGTTCAGTTTGAGTAGTTTTTTAATATCTCCTATTTCAATCTTTTTCTGATGGCAAAAATATCAAACTGTAATACTATTTTCCACAATGGTCACAAATAACCTTGATATGCATTACTTTTACCTCGCAACTCCAAATACAAAATCGCTCATTTTTTCCACAAATCATCATCGTATCACCCGAAACCCCCGGAATAAGTCTTTCATCCTCACAAAATCGGCACTTTGGAGTCCATTTTCTCCTCGACGCGCGCATTTTCCGCGGTACCGCCACAGACTCGAGACAGACGTCGCGTTCGATCGCGGCAACGATCGGACGGAGATTCGATGTTGCGTTTTTCCGACCGAAATCGCCACCGAACGCCACGGCGAACGCGGCGCGTGAAGCCGCCCTTAGACAGCCCGAAACCGCACGGGTAACAGGATGCGATTTCGAGAATGCGCGCCAGAATGTTCCCACTAGACCGGTCAATATTTCGAAATAAGCGTGATCCTTCAAAAGGTCTGGTTGGATCGATTTGTGTCTACGTTGTAAATGTAGGTATTGATTGAGTCTACTTGAAGGTTCCTAATACTAGATTCGCGCGTCCGAAAAATTATCCGAGATGAAATGAGACACCATAGCGTCATAATAAGAATTTTTCACTGCTATTTTTCTATCTGCAATAATTAGAAATCTACTTTATAGATGCTGTTACAGCCCAACTTATGAGCATATAGCTACAGCATCATCTACTAAAAACTAACCTTTTGAAAGTAGATTTCTAATTACTGCAGAGAGAAGAAACAGCTGTATCAAATTATCATACATATCGCTACAGTATCTCATTTCTGATATTTTCTTGGAACTCGAGAAACTAGTATTATTTTTCGACTCTCAAGAAAATCACTCGCAAAATGCGCATTTTTTCTTCCTCGTAACTGCAAAATCAATCAATTTTTCCTTTCGAAGCTGTCAGTATCAACCTTGAACAGAATTTTATCTTCTGCAAAATTGAATGGAGCACATTTTACTAAAAGCTGAAAAATGCGTATTTTTACCAATATTTCCAAGATCATGCATTGAGTACATGATTAAGAATGATAAAAAAAAATTCCATCACCTACAAAGTATATCTATAAAAAACTGAATCAACCTAACCTTTTATAGGGTACAACCGTATTGACCAGTATGATTTTTCACATACACTAGACAAAAAGATTTGCTTTGATGTGATAATAAATAAATAATTATATATTAATATTAAATAATAATTCATCAGTTCATATCGATTCTCAAAAATTCGTCATTCCAGCATATTTTTTTGGAGTCAGCATCAAAATTAATAGTCTTATTTATAGAAATAGCAATATAAATCCGGAACATATTTCAATGAATTTAAAGATCGGTTGACCTCCTGGAAACAATCTTAGTTTTCTCTTAATTTTCATTCACAGATCTACTTACTACATACAAGAATGTAACAAAAACGAATTTTCATTATATACATTTTTCGTCCATTATTCTTTTCATATTTTTCAAAGAAACCATAACATATTTTCAAAAGGGCAACTACCTGAACATGCATTATAGAGAAGATGTATGACTGCTAAACCTGAGCAAAAATGTCATAACATTCCACAGTGCAAACTTTTTTGACAAAACGAAAAAATGTATGGCGATATCATCCAAAAAAATCTGCTTTTCTATAAGAAAATTAATTTCGGATCCTAAATATTCACTTTGTTCAATCAGCGCATTTCTCGATATTTCAACAATTACTTTATTTGATCCGTTAGATTAACTTCATATTCCACAATACTTGTACTTTGATGCTCATTCCCAGTTGGACTTCAATTAACCTCTAAGGGCCTATCCATGCACGCGATTTGCGTCGCGCAACAGTGACACCCGTATGTCAAAAATTGTCAAGTGAGACAAGTCAATGGCCCTAAAGATGAAGCGATCATTCACTATCTGGCGTTGACTCGAAAAAAATCAAAAAAGATCAAATTATCACAGACAGTCTCAAAGAAAAACGATAATCGCGAGTGTGGAACATCCCTTAGCGACTTCAATCTAAGATCAACTTCCCGTGCTGCATCCGCCCCGCGCATCATCAGTCAACACGCCGACCATTTTACGCGTTATAAAAACCATCCGTAAACGAAAAATATCTTTCTTCTCTTTGCTAAATAAGTAAATAAAAGTTTGTACAGCAGTCCTTTCGATTAATTCATTTATAAACTATGTACACGCACACTCGCACTTCTCTCATCGGCCATTATTCCTGACAACGGTTACTTTGCATTTTTTGAGCTGGAGTCGCGCTCTTCAATTTCCTCGTCCTGCCCGCCTAGCTCGACGACGTACAGTTTGGGATCGATCACCTGAAAATAAAAATAGGTAGGTTGAATCTGCACTTCCCACACAACGCCAGCATCAGTTCAGCACAAATTAACCAACCCTGAGAAAAAGGTAAGCTACAAACACGTATAAGAAGTCAGACAAGTAGGCCTATGCAATTGGTCCATAGTCCCCACCCATTTGGCAACGTTGCTATGACTAACCTCATCACTCGCCCGCGGCGCTTCATTTACGGTAGAGACGCCGTTTTGGGCGTTGGGCTACCTAGTCTAATCATATTAGCAAAATTTCCCGAAATAATTGTAAAGTCTGGTTTAATTGGTGCAAGTTGTTCAAGGGGGTATTTAAATCATGGACGCATAAAATGGGTACACCAATTTTATCGAGCAATATATGTTCAAAGAGCATTTAATAGCAAAATACACGTGTTTACATTGCCGTTATGAATCACAAACCATTCCGAAAGATAAATGTTATTTTTATTCGAGAAACAAAAGTTACGTTTTTTCTTCTAAACAAATTTAAACATTTCTATTTGTGAGTAATTGAACCACTGCGCTATGATATTCGGAAAACATGCGTTACTATACACATTTTAAAACAAAGCGGATGTGTCTATCATCTTTTGTTGCGAATTACTCACAAATACGAAACGTTTGAATTTGTTTAGAAGAAAAAACGTAACCCATCCTTTTTTGTATAAAAATAACATCTTCCGGAAGGGTTTCCGGTTTATATCGGCAAGGTAAACTAGTGTATTTTGCTATAAAATGCCCTTTGAACTAACCTTGTATATTATAAACAGATATTTAGGATAAACAATTAAAAATTATCAAAAACTACTTGACCAATCTACTCCAATCTTGTTGTGGATACTTAGAAGGATGAGTCCTACGAATTTGAAGAATTTCAAGTATCTGCAGGAAACCATCGTCGCATTACCAACAAGTGCTAAAACTTGCACTTTGCCTCGGTTTTCGGCCATAACTTTTGTGCTATTGGTCGGATCTTTTTCTGAGTGGTCTCATTTTGTAGGACTCATAAATACCTAAAAATCTTGTTTGAGGAGTTTTTTCGTTCCTACCAACACTTTCGATTGAATCCCAAAAACACGTTTTCTAATTCTTTGTTGTCGAATAATAAGTTTTCCAACAAGAATTGGTGTACCCATTGTATGCGTCCATGTTTTGAATACCCCCTTGAACAACTTGTGGCAATAAAACTAGACTTTATAAATATTTGGCAAACCAGGGGGATTTTTGTCTAATATTAGACTAACCGTACTACCGCAAAGTACTCAACTTTCTACCTTCATTTAATGAATTTCACTCATTCATTTATGCTGGCCCTAAACGCGCATTACTACCATTATTTCATTAAAAAATGACGGGTTGGGGGCGTATAAGTATACCACCATTAGAAAATTGAAACAACTAACCCTCAATTTTTAACCCCTACAAAACTTTTTTCGAAAATGATCAGGATCGTCTGAAACGTCAAAAAACAAGTTTGGGCGATTTTTTTACTTTTTCTCCGCCGACGACTTCAATGACGAATGTTAGAATTATTTAGTTGTTAGTAAAAAGATCCCACAAATGTTATACTATTTTTGAAAGAGCATCAAATAGCTATTTTAAGGTCATTTGCTGATTCAGTCTGGTACATTTTTTCACAGAAATTAGTCAAGGTTTTCGCATCGATACAAAAAGTAATTCTTAATTATTTTTTTAACATAGCGTGCTAGTTTACAATGTAATGAGTACTCAGTTGTCTCAACCAACTATTAATTGTACCTCAGGGAAAAAAATCACAAGTTAGACGTTCTTTATAGCGATAACTTCCAGAAAAGGAACAAAAAGTAGTTTTTTTTTAAAAATTAAAAGTGGCAATATCTCAAAAACTAGAAAACTTTTACTAATGTCATGTTGATTTTATGTGATTGACCTGAAGCCAATCTACCTCCCATGTCACTCTGGCATGTTATTTCTGAGACATCCTGTATAAAGCTATTGTAATCATTCTCATAAACGTAATGATTTTTGTATGCAATGGGAAACCGTTAATAAATAAATTACCTTAGGTATGGGTTTAATTTCAGTACCCAATTCTTGTTCGATGCGATGCAACGCGAACCGATCATCGTACGTGATCAGATTGATCGCGATACCCAAATGGCCGAAACGACCGGATCTGCCGATACGGTGCAAATATGTTTCCGCCATCTTCGGGAAGTCAAAGTTTATCACCACGTTCACGGCCTGAACGTCAATACCTGCAATCAAATCAAATATACATTTTATATAAAATTTATACGGTCCAATATGAAGTTTTTCATGTAATGTTGCACAATGATATCGAATAAAGTTGATTTCTTTAAATATATCGGGTTTTCACATAGGGACTTAACAACCTTGAACTTTCACTGTGAACGCACCTTTAAATCAATTACCGAACTGTCAATGACCACAATCAGTAAAGAAAACATTTTCATCATGGTGACACGAACGAACCACGCTGACAAATAATTAAAATTCACTACCGAAATTCCGAGTCGGTGACTGCAATTTCTAAAAGCATTAACGCCAATTTTCGGTCGTAATTCTCGTCCCACTAGACAAGCAATTCATAGTATAGGAAAAAAATTTGAGTCCACACATTCGCTGATGGATGTTCCTGTGCCAGTGAGACAACGGGTTGGTAAAGTGCCGAGAATATTGCTGCCGTTCAAGCTTCCATCGTAAACTAACAGCAGACGTCGATTCCACGACTGTCTTAAGAATTGTGGATCGCTCAGACCACACTATGAACCGACGTACGTTCTCGAATTGGGCTCTAGAAATGATGCAAGAAAATGACCAATTTCAACGCAAAAAATGTTAGGCGAATTTTTGGCTAAATGGCTTCGTCGCCCGTGGTGGACATATGAACGAGGTCGAATTCCATACATAAATGTTTTGAATATACTTAATAATAATAATAACTTTTGAATAGTTTAATAGCACTAACGGGACATATTTTAAAATAAAAAACATTAACTGGTGATTAATTGTATCAAATGCCTCAGTGTAATCTTCACTCCAATAATTAAATTTTCGAGATATGTCAAATGGTTTGCGTTTTATTTAAAAAGAAAGTTATCAAGTCCTTAATGGAAAACTCTTTATTTTCAGGGAAAATTATATTTTTTCAGATTCAAAATGTATGTGGTTCATTATGCTTGTTTGCGTTAGTATGACCAAAAACAAGTTTGTACATGTGTACAGGGATCAAATCAGTTTGCATCTAGCCACCTACGCAATCTGGTATAGGTTTGAACGACGCACAAACTTCAAGTTTTCAACAAAATAAGTTTAACACACTGACGTTGTAATGTGTACTAACAGCGTGCAAATCGTATGTTAGAAATGATAGAATCGCCACGTTGCCTAGTAACCCGAATTATAAGTCCGCCGACGCAGCTCAGGCTTGCTGCATTGCCATCCTCTTTCTAACATACATATTGCACGCTTCCGCATTACGGTGTCAGAAAAATTTGGTTTTCCCTGTATATAAGTCTACCACTGTCTTTAGCCACCAATGTTGCCAATGTTGTCGTAAGTTATGGTCTTTATTTTTCCGTCGTTAAGAAACTATGAAAATACGAGATCTTAGGAATAACCATGAGGGCAGTTGGGCGATCAATTTTCTTTAAAAACGTCCAATTTCCAAATTCAGCAAAGGATAGGGTACCTTCCTGGAGAGTATAGTTTATCTGAAGTCACTTGAAACACTGTGAAATACCGGGTGCGTTTTATATATATCTATATTTAACACGCTCTGTTGCTGCAAAAATCGCCAAATTTCGCAGCAAATATCCCCCGTATAAGATCAAAGGCAGTTTCACCGGTCCACGTGGAGTAAAGCACGCCTATGCGTGGACATAGCCAATGAGAAAGCGTGTATTTCAGAGCTCCGAAAAAGTGCAGGTGGCTACTGAAAATTGAAACAGTTTAGCCAGTGCCGTGTAGCGGTGAATAAACGTGTTTTCTTTAGTCTGTCCGTGTTTTTTCATAGATTTTATTAGTTTGTGTGTTTTTGACTTTTGAATACTCAGTTTACTTGTTGATTTAATTGTTGTGTTGATTGTTCTTGTGTGTCCTAAATATGGCTCTTTGGAGACCTTGGGAAAATGCCCCAAGCCACGAGGAGATGGTTGATGAACCTGTGCAAGCAGAATTCTTTTATAAAGATTTAGAGGAACAGACCCAAAGAGTAATCCTAAATATGTATGATTGTTTGAAAAACGAAAATCCAGATTCCTCGCAAAATCAAATTTTAAACAGAATTTGTATCCTGACAAAAATCAGTCGGTCTACCATTTATCGGGTTATAAAAAGGGGAGATGTAGTCAACCATTCCTTCCACAGAAAGCGCATAGGGCAAAAATTAAAAAGAATAGACGTGGGTTTTCAGGAAGATATTCGGATTTTATAAAGAAAATTTGGTGCTCACGTTGGAAATGATACGGGATAAATTAAAAGATTATCTTGAAGATTTTTATAATTACAAATGCTTAGACTCACTGCACTGTATTGTAAAACTGTGTGGTTTTCAATACAAAAAATTAGATAAAAGAATGGTGATTATGGAGTCGTCTCGAATCGTTGAATTGCGCCAAGAATTTTTGCACAAAGTTAAAATCTATAGAGAGCAGAAAAGAAATCTGATTTACCTGGATGAAACGTGGTATGATACCCATGATGTTGTGCAGTACGGCTGGGTTGACGACAGCAACAAGTGCATTTTAAATGCACCATGCAACCGTGGAAAACGAATCATTATTCTCCATGCTGGCAGTGAAAATGGATTTATACCTAATGCCTTGCTGTTATCTGCCAAAAATATCAAAGAATCATGTGCCGACTATCATGAGGACATGACCTCCGACTTATTTGAAAAGTGGATAGAGCAGCAGTTGATACCAAACATTTCCCCAAATTCAGAGATTATTATGGACAATGCGCCATACCATTCCCGACAGAAAAACAAAATTCCGAATACAGGCACAAAAAACAAGACATTATTGATTTTATGAAGGATAAGGGAATGGAAATACCACAAAAATCAACCAAAGCCATATTATTGGATCTTATTAAAAGACAAAAATTTGAAAAAGAGTATGTTGTTGACAATCTGCTTCAGCAAAATGGCCATGAAGTATTACGTCTACCTCCCTATTACTGCATTTTTAAGCCGATTGAGTTGGTCTGGGCTGCTTTAAAAAAAAAGTAAGAAAACATAATCAGACCCGTCAATTAAGTGAATCGCTATTGGCCACAATAAGAGATGCAGTATCTCATATTCCTGCCACAGACCTATGGAAGCAGTGTTCTAGGCATATTATTGAAAAAGAAAATGAATATTGTGTTTTGCCTCCTGTAAATCCCGTTGTAATTCCTCTACAAGATGACTCTAGCGACAGCTCCGAAGGCGAGGATGATATATAAATACCTATAATGTAAGTCTTTATATACCTTTTTATATACCTACCTGCTATGAAAATATTTGCCTATGTCAAACGTTGGAATTCTGTAATTTTTCCATTTCTTAACTTGCAGTCAACATAAATTAAACTCCCAATATAAGTATTTTTTATCCCAAATCAAAAAAATAAGATAGTAAAATCCATTTATTGTGATATAAAAACATTATTATTATCGTTCTAAATAAATCACCGCACGCCTATGATACGTCATGAAATTACGAAGGACGCGCCGACCAAAGGTTTTTATGCTATCAAGTGACTTCAGATATACCATACGTTTATACCCTAGGCAAAATGATTATCGCCATCAATATAGTTTTTGGTCGTTTTTTCACTCACCCCTAGTGAACAGATCCGAACAGACTAGATTCCTGCACAGGCCCGCCCTGAAGTCATGGAAGACGCGATTCCGATGCGCCTGCGCCATCTTTGCGTGTATGTAGTAACAACAGTAACCAAGCTCAGTGATTTTTTTCGCCAGCAATTCCACTCGCTGCGTCGAATTGCAGAATATTATGCTCTGGTTGATTTGCAGTTTGGAGAACAGCGTGTTCAGGCAGTGGACCTTCTGTCTTTCTTGGACGAATGCGTAATACTGTGTTACACCCTATTTAATGAAAAACCGCATTAAGATCGCTTCACCTAAACAACCGTTGCCACCATATACAATACTTATAAGAAATCTCTTTCAAATGAGGTTTTCCAAAACGAAAATAGTTTATTCATAATCCGCCTTCCTATCATAAGTCGGTAGCTGTATCAACGAGATTGCCAGTTGCTTAGCAGTTCCTTCAGTGTGAACATAAAAGCAACACAACCAAAGTCGAAACAGCGCCTAACAATTATCCTCAGAAATAAGACATCTAAAAATCTTTGTCCACTATACCCTATGCATGACAGAGTCTCCACAATGCAAACCGAACGTGTTTGGACAATGGCCTCACAAAGAGAGATCATGGAGGTTAAAGTAAATGAGGTTTTGTTGACTTTCATCTTTGAACTAATTCAAGCATGGACACAATTACAAAAATTCGTATTCTTGTCATATGCATACAAGTAGAGAACTGGTGTCGAATAAAGCCAAAACTGGTGCAACATTATTTACAACTAAGCAGAGCGAAGTCATTAAACCACAATGAATTGTATAGATGATCATCAACTGCAGTTGAGTGACAGTGTAAAGTTCTTAGGCATCTACAGGGCCCAGCACTTGATGCGTAATCTTTTCAAAATGCCATAAATTCGGTTTGGAAAACGATTTGTGTGTGTGAAAATATTCGAAAATGCAGAAATAATTCACTTTGGCTCGATATGACCACCTCTTGCCTTGACTATAGCGAATCACAAGCTGCCCGAATGTGACTTGATATTTTGGCCCACTCAAGGAAAATGGCTTTATTCAGTGCGTCGAGGCTGGTGTATGTCTTAGCTCGGACCTTGCTCTCAAAAATGGCCCAGATAGCCATTGTGTGGTCGAAAAGTTCGGATCGTTGTTTTTCAACCATCCTAGGTTCATTCGCGCTGTGTGAGACGGTACAGAGTCTTGTTGAAGTGTCCATGGCCTGCGTCGGGAACGTTTGTCATCAACCCACGGCTTCAAGGCAGCTTCCAGAACACTGTCCGGCGGGTACAGCGGTCCAAACCATTATTTGTGGCGCGTGCTGCTTCCGGGTGACCAACCGGTGGCTCAAATTCTCGTAAGAACGTTCGTTCAAGTAAACCCTATCGTTTTGAGAGTTTACAAATTGCTCTATTGAAAAAAATTTCTCGTCAGAAAAGACGATGTTCGGAAATTGAACACTTTCAGCCAAGCGAAGCAGCTCCTTAGCTCTCTCAAGTCCAACTTGTTGCTGCTTCGGTGTAAGATCGTGCGCCTTTTGGAACTCGTAAGGCTTGACCTTGTGCTCACTTTTCAACATGCGTCGCACGCTGCGATCGGATATTTTCAATTCTTTAGCCATTTGATTTTCACTTCGTCGTGGATTTCGCTCAAGTCACTTCTTCACTTTTCGAACCATCTCAGGTGACGTTGCACTCTTTTGATGACCACCTCTATGACGTTTAGCGATGCTACCAGATCATTGTAACGTTTTATGGTGCTGGTTGTGATTTTTCCAGACAAATATAAAGCAATCACACTATTGGAATGCTGATAATTTGGTTTGTGTTCACCTTTTGGTTACACTTGTGTGCCGGACCCTGTTTATTGATGAATTTTTAGATTGTGGGTTTGAGGGAACATCAAGATATCGAGTATGAAAATATTGTACTAAGCTAATTTTGAAAGTTTTCTATAAAGTATGAGATTATACATCTGATAAAGGGACTAAATTTCATTGAAACTTGCAGGGGACTGTTTAAAACTGAAAAAATCATGACTATATATGCCATCTATAAATATGAGACATATCTTTTTTGAAAAATAAAAATTTATTTTAGCTTGAGGTGCAAACTGTTTATGATACTCGAATAATTAATGTTAATTATCCAATACATAGATTATCTTTCACAGAAAAAAGCCCCATTTACATGTGATTAATTTTTTTTAATAGTCTACCAAATGGAATTAAAAACATTCCAAAATCCGATGAAAGCTAGCAAACTCACAACACTGGGCAGCAATCGAAGCAATCCAATGTCATCGAAAACTTAGAATCATGGATTCGGGTTTCATGGACTGAAGGCTGTTAATTTGAATTTAATATATGTACCAAAAATTTAAAATAAGTTTGTTATGTTAGTAAGATATAATATTTTTGCCCTTTACCCTATGTTGAATACCATATCAGTAAAATATAATCTCTATCCTAAATCTATTTTCTTATTTTTCAAATTATAACATTATAATTATATTAAAAAAAAAACAATACATTAATTGACAAATGTTTACGTAAGCATGGGGGTAGGGGGTAAGAGCTTTGCTTACTTTTGCTGACAAGCGGGATGGGGGGGTAAATAATTGTAATAAATCTGCTTAATACTTGAACGGCCCCTAGTATGATAGAGAATATGGTGGGCAAATACCTTTATAATTTATATATCCAAAATTGAACTTACTTTTAATGTGAGTTCTTCCATGAGATTGATCTCGTATGGGTCACGCAGGTGCTTTCGCATAAACTGCTCGACTGTCAATGGAAATGTTGCTGAGAACAACAATATCTGACGTTCTTGTGGCAGGTTTTTTATCACAGTATCTAGCATGCCTTTGAAGTCCTGGGATAGAAGCTTGTCAGCCTCATCCAGAACCAGTATCTTGCAATGATCCATCACAGCTACACCTGTAAGATGCGATATTTTTGGTTTCGCTCTAATTTTTAACGATTCCAGACCGCAATTCGATAGACCGATAACTATAATAACTTACCTTTTTCCATTAGATCGAGTATACGACCGGGGGTGGCAATTATCACTTGGACTTTCTGATATATACGCATAATGTCATCTCTAAGGTTTGTGCCACCTGTCGTAACCATGACGCGTACCTAAAATCCACAAAGATAATTAATATTTGCCAAAACTTTTATATTCACCAAAACTGTATGATTTGATACTTACATCCATATGTTTTGCGAGTTCAATACAAATTTGTGACGTTTGTAAGGCTAATTCTCTGGTAGGCACAATGATCAGTGCCTGAATACAGTCTTTTTTAGGATCAATTTGTTCCAAAACAGGTATGCAGTATGCTCCAGTCTTACCTGAAATATATGACCAAATTATCCAAGTGACTAAAGTCATGTTCTATGTGAAAACTCTTATTGGAGCAATTAAATGAAAAAATGAAAGCATATTTTCCAAGATGGGAAACATGCTGTGTATCTCAAAGTTAAAATTTGTACCTGTTCCATTTTTTGCTCTAGCTAGCACATCTTTCCCTGATAGTGCGATAGGAATAGAAGCTTCTTGTATTGGTGAGGGTCTTTCCCATCCTTTTTCGAAAATCCCCATCAGTAAGTCACGCTTTAAGCAGAATTCTTCGAATTCATTTCCTTTTGTGTCTGTTACATCCTGTATAATCCAAGAGAAAAAGCATCCATGAAAACTTTGTTCATTAATTTACAAATGTGATGTTTGGTAATGTGTTAGTTGATCAGAAAAGGATTATCATTTATAAGAAAAATGAAGGGGAATCCAAGAGCTCATCACCAAAGCAAAGGTTAACAGCCACAGAACCTTATATACTTCTACTTTATTATTACCAAAAATATAAATCTAAGTTTCCCTAATAAGGGAAATGTTATATGACCAATTTTGTCAATATTTACTGATAGGTACCACCAGTCTTTACTAATCATTGGATTGCCACAGAACGTTATACATCAGTATTAACTAACACCTGGCTATCACAGTCAATAAATAAATTCCATTATAAATACTCAGCAGTACATATTGATTATGTGATACTCACTTGAGAAGTGCCTGGTATTCAGATATAAAATATAACATACATAATATTTAAAAGTTTGTTTACAGAAATTCCTTATCTGTAAGTGAAAGTGAAGAATGTAATCATCTACTTTTTCATAGCCTTAATGAAAGTAAGCAATTAAATTGTAACCCACATTTTCAAAAACTTTTTAATGGGAATGTATATGAATTTTATAAATGTGATTTGAATATACAGTAATAGAGAAAAGTATATAGATAAATATGAATATTTACCTAAATACTTTTAGAAAACAAATTCATACATCATTGCTCCATAAACAAATGTGTTATTAGTAGAAAAACTAAATTCCTTGTTTTTACATTATCTGCAATGCACACAATACAAGTCTGAATATAAGCACCTTTTTATGAGGGAGAAAAATATGTAGACAAATTCTTTTCAACATTAGTTTAGATGTCCTAGTGGACAAAGATTGAACCCCAAGTAAACTTTGCCTACTGTCAAACATGGAGGCGGGTCTGTTATGGTCTGGGGGTGCTTTTTGGGGTTTGGGATGGGACCTTTACATAGAATAGATGTCATTATGGATAAGTTTGTATAGACAGACATACTAAAGCATGTCATGTTACCCTATATAGGAGGCAATATGTCCTTAAGATCAATCTTCCAGCAAGATAATGACCCGAAGCACAATTCAAATCTCGCAAAGAAATTCTTTCTGGATGAAAAAATACCAGTTCTCAAATGGCCTTCATAGTCTCCCGATATAAACCCCATTGAAAATCTATGGGAATACTTAGATAAGCAAATACGAGAAAAAAATTATTCAAACAAGGATGAACTTTTTACCGCTTTAGAGCAAAAGTGGAGAGATGAATCTTATATCAAGAAACTTCTACAATCTATGCCAAGACGATACCAGATGGTGATTGATAATAATGGTTATGCTACAAAATATTAACACAAACAGGGTTGGTTTTCTCTAATTCAATGAACTTTGCTTCTTTTTTCTATAATTGTTTTGCTTTGTATATATATTTTTGTCCTTCATAGTTCCAGTTTTTTTCAATTAATATTTTATTGGAGGGAGTCCAATGAATTTATTTATATATGAGTGAGTTATTATGCTATAACAAATTATGTATTAAGGTTGGTGTATTAATAAAACAAGTTAAAAAAGAAATACAGCACAATATTAATTTGTATATATACTTTTGTCCATTACTGTATATATAAAAAGGTGAAACGAAAAAGAAATAATTTTTATAGTGCATATGAAAAGGGTAACAAACTCATATCATACAACGTTAAACTAGTATAGGAGTCTAGTATAAAGGCTGTTCATTTAAATTCTGTAAAGTTTCAATAGTCATAGAGGGTATAATATTACAGCAAACTACATTCACAGACAGATTAAAAATCTTTGACAGGTTTGACTCAGGATACCCAACATAAACTATTGTTATCATCAAGACCATTTATTTGAAATCAAAGGAGTACAATCACTAAGAGAAAGTAGGAGTGGTTCTTTTCTCTAGCTAATGATCCAAATTCTGACAATTGTCAAACATGTCTTTGGAATGGATACATTTGCACCAAAATAATGTTTCTGGGTTCTTCATGCCAACAAATATTCCATCACAAAGTTAAGACTGATGGACTATTGTGAGACTACATTTCTTCTCTCAATAATGACTAGTGCAGTGGTGAGGAATACAGTTCACTTTTTCTGTTATTCTACTCCCTTATTCCAAGAATTAATGACCAAGTGTAAGTATTGTATTTGAAAGCAGTTTAAAAAGATGGTGGGTGCAATGGAAAAATTGTGGGAGCATTTAAAAACATGGCAAATGTGTAATAAAAAAATGACTTAACCACCAATCTGGTGGATGCAATTTAAAAAGAGTGAAAACACTTGAAAAGTATGGGATGTATCAAAAAATGGTGGATCATTTAAAGATATGATTGGTGAAAAAAATATGGTGATGTTTTGAGAAACAAATGTAGAGGTATTTAAAGATATAGTTTAATGAACTGATTTTGAAAATTTTGTGAATGCATTAATATTGTATAGGCAACATGAGAATATTGGTGGATGCATTTAAAAATATCTAGGGGGCAATTTAAAAAAGGGGGGGTGAAAGCAATTTGAATGAAGACTATTTTAGAAAAGGGGATGCAGGCAATTTGGAAAAAGGGTGGAAGCACTTGAAAAAGTTGGTAGTGTTATTGGAAAAAAATGGAAGCATTTAAAAATATAGATTGGTTGGTCTCATTTTGAAAATTGTGGATTTAATCAATAAAACCAGGTGGATGCACCTGGGAATATGGGGATGTTTTGAAATTTGTGTGCATGCATTTAATAATATGGTGGGGTTTTGAAAAAGTGGTGATTGTATTTAAAAATATAGAGACACAAAAAAGGGTGAAGGCAATTTAAAAAAAGAATGGATGAGCTTGAAAATTATGGTGTATTGAAAAAAAATGTTGGAAGCATTGAAAAATATGCAGACAATTTGAAAAAGTGATGATGAAAAATATGGTAGTGTTTAAAAAAAGTGGTTGTATTTGAAATGTGGTGAGGGCAACTTGGAAAAATGGTATAATATGCACTTTGAAAATATTGTAGAGGCATTATAACAAAATGGTGGACACTTTGAAATAGGAGGGGCGATTAAAAAAATTGTAGATGCACTAAAGATGGTAATGTTTGGAAAAATGGTAGATGCATTTAAAAACATAATGGAACCATTTATAAATATAGTGGATATGGTGAACCATTTTGGAAAAACTGGAGCATTTAAAACAATGATCAGTGTTGTGGCAAAATGATGGATTTATCTAGACATTATATTGTAAAGTCATTTTAAAAGATTGATATTTAAAAAAAAGGTGGATGCACATCCAATGACAAGTGTTATGTTAGTTTCACATAAATAAATATGTATTCTACATAGCATATGATTCTAAAATTATCAGTTGATGCAACCTTACCCTACCTGTCAAACATTATCAATTTATCTGTGAATATATTTCAACTATATTTTTTATTGGTCCTTCACCAGAAGCAAAAAGTTCTACACTGAATATAAGAAAGCTGTTAGGTAGTTTTTAAGTTAAAACTTTGTCATCTACTTGTATGAAGGCACGTTCGTCCCACACCAAAAATTCATAGTAAAAATAAAATCTACTAATCTAAAAATACAACTTACACTAGTCTGTATTCTTCTGTCTTTAGGGGGAATTTTCAGCTTGGCTTTCCATCCCAGATCGTCAGCTTTGTTGTCCATATCTCTGTAATAGTTGTATCCCATGATCAACTTGCCACAGATAAGATAAAAAAAATACTTACAGTTTATGCTGTAGACCTCCCATATGATTGTTTGATTTTAACGTTTCCGTCATCATGATTATGCCGTCTCAAGTTGATGTGTAACAAAATAGGGTTTATAAAACCCAACTTTAGACTTCTACAATGTGTAGGACAAGATATTTGTACGATTCCAGGCGATCGTATAAATATGAAAATTGTTTCTGGAACAAAGAAACGTTGGTTTCACTTCACCCAGTACGACGTGAAAAGTAGTGTACTAGTATGTACTAGCTCCCGGAACTACAGCAGAGCATAATTTCAAATGAAAATAAGGGCATAAACAGATTATAAATTTGAAATCATAGGCAGTTACAGCAGAAAAAAGTCATAAAAGCGAACGATGTAGTAAAAATTAAAAGATTGGAAATCAAGTGACTTTCATCTAAACATGGCCGCTTTTATGTCGCTATCTTTCTACTTCACACATCAACACAGATGTTATTTACGCTGAAAATCGAAATTTACCTGGAATAGAACACTCTAAAGGACGTTTGGATATACTGAAATACCGCACATGTCTTCTAGCAATCTCATTTAAAGTTTTTTCCAATAAATCGCATGAATATGTTAACGTGAACACTTTACTCTTTACTCTTCGTATTCGCAAAGAAAATGGAAATCGCATCCGATTCGCCAATGGCTTCCGTCCACAACGCAGGTACAAAAAATCGAGTCAAAGCGACCTCTCGCGGTGAAAACGCTTCTTATATCGCGCACGTGATCAACATTTATGTGCTCATTGGTCGATTGGCCATTCTCCATTCTAACTTCTACCTCCCTTCTACCAGACTTTGCGCTTCTACCTCTTCCACTTGTACCTTCTACCGCCGCCACTTTCCAGGAAATGAAAAATATAAATTCTTTTGCATATATATTTTTTATACTAATTATACATAGAGAGAGTTTTAAGATCTCTTAAAAACGGAAAAATTCGTAAATATACGTTTGAAATAGTCCCCCTCCTAAATTAACAGCTGATTTTTTTGACATTTCTGACAGATGGTAATGCGATAAACAGAGAGAGATAATGCATTTTGCATTTGTCGAAATGAAATGGAAATAGAAACACGTCAGTTGTCTGTCAAATTCATTTGAGGTTCATTTCATACGTGTCTAATGTGTTTTTCCAATGTACAAAAATCTGAAATACTGCATACTAATATCCTTCTTCCAATTTTGGTGATAAAGTTATGAAGGTGATACAATTAAAACCAAAGGAAGTATATTCTATATTCAAACAGGCATTACCTATGCTGTAGTTGCTGTTAAAGCACCTAACAACATATGCCAGTGGATTAAAGATAGGAAAACTATTAATTTAATAATGCAATGCTTCCTAGAAGACGTCGTACTGGTTCAGATTCAGAAAATGGACCCACGGTCGTTGTAGGAAATGACAGATATTGGACACAAAGTCATTCACAAGAAAAAACTTTCACACAGGTGAACAATGTTTCTTTAGATTACTATCTAGAGGAGGATTTGATAGAAGATTACAGTGATCCAGAACCGATCATGACGGCGAGAGACAGAACCAGCGAATTTGTCAACACAATCCAAATGCTTCAAGGCAGAAACATACAAAGGGCTGTGGCTGCTAGGGATCCGAAAAAGTCTAAAGCAATACAGAGCCATTCAGAGTTTATGTTAGTAGCAAAAAACATAGGGAAAAATATTGCCAGCACATATGCCAAACTGGAAAAATTAACATTGTGTAAGTAAAATATTTGTACCATAAAATGAGAAAACAAGTTTTTGTAGAGGTTACAAATACACACAGTGGCATACATAGAACTTGAGTTGAGGTGGGGTCCATAGGTCATAGAGGGGGATAGACAAAAAAATCACTAGAGTATGCCTGACTTTTTTTGAAATGATTAATGCTTAACATAACAAAAAAATATTTATATCTTCTATTTTGGAGTGGCAGGTTACAAGTAATTATGGCACTGTTCAGCCAATATAAAGCAGTACAGTGCTTTAATGATAAATTGTACTAGTCAAAAATAGCTTAGTCAGGTTGATAGCAGTTTTCACTTGACTGACAGATTTGATAGTCGGTTAGATTGACTTGTCATTCTGCGGATAGAAAACCAGCAACTACAAAATCATGCAGAGTTGTTTACCCCTCAAAGAGTTTGAAAATAGTATGTCTGCTTTTTTTGAAGAAAGAACATGAAATTTTACTTTTGCATAACTGAAGAAAATATTGGAGAAAACAATAGAAAATAAATATGTATCTCACAAGGAAAATGACCAAGGATTAATTTCCATGTTTTAAAGAGACAAAATAATGTTTGTTTACATATATTTTGTGACCCATTACAAAATAACTATGTATGTCTCTTTATATGCTATGGAATAAGTATTGAGTCTTTGAAAACAGTTTTTAAATGTTTGATGCTAACAAGTTTGAAAAAAAATTTCACAAAGTTTGTCACATAAATTGGGAAAAAAAGATAAAAATAATAGTGTCTCTAGGTTCCTAGCCGGAACTAATTTTTTAGACCTAGACAACAAATACTTTTTCACATTTAGAATATTAAAACAAATTAAGATACAGTGCTTCTGTTTTTTTTTGGACTTAGAACACTACTTTTAGAGCACTAACAAATCTTCCATGTAAATATGAAAACTGTAGGTTGGTACCCTTATATACACACCACTGAATAGACATCAGTTTTTGGACTTTAATGCATAGTCCAATGCTAGTCCAAAATATCCATTATTGCCAGTTATGAGCAAATTAAACTTGATACAACAAGGCAATTTGGAGTGTTGAATTCGATAATGAGCCTCAAGCATTGGGGGGGTGAAATTGGGGAAGAATATTGTCACTTGAAGACCACTCTCCCAATGGGTCCTAGTACCTATTTCACCCTATTTCACGAGTATCCATCATGGTACAATGACAGCTGATTATCTAGTAATATTTCAAAATTCCCCATACCGGAAAAGGACACATAATTCTGACAGATCCATCATCATCAGGTAGTCAGAGCTGTATTTTGTTTTGGTTTTTTGTATGTTACAGATTCATTTTGTACTTGCTAACAGCTCTTTTATTTAGAAAAGTTCATGTGCATACAAAAAACAAAACGCTACATATAAGTTTTACTAGATTTACACCCCATTTGTTGAAATGTCACTTGCTGATCAGCTATTCACCTCGGCAGACGTCAAAGCGTGATGGATACTCGTGAAATAGGGTATAGTTGACAGTCGATGCTGAATTGAGTTTCTGAAAATTCTCTGTTAAAAAACCTAAAAATAGACAATGTTTCTATTTTCGCCTGCTAATATTGCAAGTGAACTAAACTTGGCATAATTAGGTAATTTAGAGCACTGAATAAGATCATCAAAGATTCTGGAGTGAAATTAAGGGTAGATAAAGATCATTTGGTACTTTATGGGTTTTAGCATCAAACTACTGTAGAATTCAGAATATTCATAGCACTTACAGGATTTACTCAAGAAATGAGTTTTGAATTTTTAAAAATAGCCTAGAAAGGAACCTATATATATTGTAGGATTTTTCAGGTCCAAATCTCTATTTTCTCAAGGTTATACAAATATATGAAATTTAGTACAAGTAGGTATTTTTTTTTTGATGAATGCAATTATCACCATCGACAAATTCTGACGTGTTGTAAGGTCTAATTTGGGGTAGAGTATTGTTCAAGGCTCCTGTGGATCCTAGTGAAGAATTCAGGATACACAGCAGATATATCCAAGAAAACAGTTTTACAAATACACGAAATATAAGACAGAGCATGCCATAATTTCTGTTTTCATATCAAACTTTTCACATTTAGATAATTTGGGGTGCTGAATTCTAGTGTAATCATCAAAAAAATCGTGTGAATGTCGGTTCTGAGCAGCCAATTTACCATGAAAATGTGTTTCCTGCATTCACAGATATGTAAGGACTTTCTAAAATCATCGATTTTTTTTCTAGTGGCAAAAAGGAAGTCGTTATTCGACGACAGAACGGCAGAGATTCAGGAATTGACCTATATAATAAAAGGAGATCTTAGTAGTTTAAACCAACAGATAGCTCAGCTTCAAGATATTTCCAGAAGACAGAAGCAAAATACAAATGGCAGGCATTTACAGTCATATTCAAGCAATGTTGTTCTGGCCTTACAATCGAAGCTTGCTACCATGTCTACTGACTTTAAGCAGATATTGGAGGTCAGAACCGAGAATTTGAGGCATCAGAAAAATAGAAGGGACCAATTCTCACATGGTTTGCCTCCGCCGTCGGTTCCACAAAGTTCACAAGGTAAAATGTAGTTTCTTTTAACTTCCTACACCTAAACCAGACTACTTTGTGCCCTGTATCAGCCTTCCTATTTTTCTTGGTGGATGTCCGACCATTCTGTTGGATATATCTTCTTATTTGCAGCTCGCACACAAGCATTCTTTCCTACCATTCAATAATACCAATCTTTCTTGTCACAAAAGCTCGTTGTTCCATCACAAGAGGAATATTTCCGTGAGGATTGTTGACTTGCCAATTATAAACGCACAAATTCGTACTGAGGTTACACAATATCAACTGTAAAATATTCCGGAAGAAAAGACTGGAGGGATTACTTTCCTACCATAACAAAGTCAGTATGAAAGATTGGCATTTTTATTTTACATTCGCACTTTTGGCAGGAAAGAATGACTTGGAGTGAATAGCAGCAAAGAACGTTCGTATATGGGCTGCATATCATGGCTCAAGATCCCATTTTTGCACGCATTTTTTTCGCTGAACAACATCTTACGACGTCGCTCGATTTGAACATGTTACGACGTCGCACGATTTGACCAACACTCGTACGACATTTCTTATCACGCGACAGCGGTATATGGATTTCACTGTATTCATGGATAAACTGTGGCAATCCTGTTCGTGCTGTAAAAACGACCCCGAAAACATGACGCCTGGAGTACCAGTGGTGCTTTGACAGGGTTGCCATGTTGGGAATATCCCCAAATTTGGGGATTTTCAATTGGGGTGAATTTTTTGGGAATATAATTTTCTGGTGGAAACCACACCTCTCGCAGATAGAAAGCTTCCTACCGCTCTTTGAACCAAACCTGCCCCTTTCCATTAAATAACTGAATTTTTTGCTTGTTTTGTGGAAATTCTGTACGATCCAGCTGGCAACGCTGTACTTTGACAGATACTCCACATGAATACTTTCCTAATTCTTCGACGTCAGTGTTGCCACCTCTTGACTGTTTGCCGCAGATTATGGAATTTCATGTTCCGTCGTTCACAGATTTTAAGAATATACAATCTGTACTCGGATGGTTGATGATGTCATGCTAAAGAATAAACAATTTTCTTTACACGCAAAATGAAGTCTGTTTCAATTTACTTCATGCTGTATTGGAGATCTGTCATTATCGAATGATACCAAGGAACCAAAAACAGGTGCTAATGTATTCATTGATTTTCAGGAAGTTTGCTGTTGCAAGAACAAGACCAAGTGAGCATTAATCTGGAGGGTTCAGCTCTGGTTCCAAAGCAGCAAAGTCAAATGCAAGCTGCCTTGATGTACGACGAAACAGATCAGTATTTGCAAAACCGAGCCGAGACCATGCAAAATATCGAGTCGACGATAGTCGAACTAGGCGGAATCTTCCAGCAGCTTGCCCACATGGTGAAAGAACAAGAAGAAATGGTGGAAAGGATAGACACTAACGTGGAACACGCTGAGATGAATATTGAGGCTGCGCACGCGCAGATTGTTAAATATTTCAATACGATTTCATCCAACAGGTGGTTGATGATTAAAATCTTCGGAGTGCTTATATTTTTCTTTGTATTCTTCGTTGTATTTTTGGCCTAGGATTTTTATATTGTAAGAAATTTTATAAAATGCCTATTAAAATAAAATATTTTGACATTTATCGTTTTATTGCGCCTACTATTTCAATATCATCGCCCATATTGTTACTACCTACACCATTATGAGCGACAAATTTTTATAACGTTGCCTAACTCTGTTTTTCTAAGTTTTTGAAGTAAAATGACTAAAAAGTTCAAGCTGTAAATATCGGAAACTCCGTTTTTCGACGTGTTTTAAGTATAGCAGTAACAAAATTTTTACGGGTTTCGATATTTTCAATCGGGCATTTCTTTACTTCACTAACGCTTAGAATGTTCATATAGCTAGAATGTGTTGAAAACTTCATGATATTAATGGTGGGATGAACTGAATAAATTTGACTTGGTTGACCTCTGTATTGGTTCAATAATAAATTCCTGTAACATTACAAATCCACACATTTGTATTTTTGAATTCTCTTCATGAAGGGCTAATGATTTATTAGAAAAATAATATTTTCCTTTCTTCATATCTAAAATACCTGTGCTATGAATTCAGTGTGATTCTTGTTCGACCACCTGCTATTTCCGTTATGCATCTGTCTGTCATAAGTCATTAACATATGGCAACATCGCTAACTTTATTTATTTTTATAATTTTTCACTTTTGTCTTTAGCAGCATTACGACACTTGATATTTACGATGAATTAAATGACAATGCCCATATTTTGTAGCTGATTTAAATAAAAAAACGCGAACATTTTCATACAACGAACTAGCTTTAAAGTATAAACAACAATGGGTAAGTTACTGACTAATTTAAATGTTGCTATCTCAAATGCTTATCTTATCTAAGGTGTGGTAAATAAATTAATTATTGTTACCTGATTACTCATTCATTCACAAAACATGCTTTCAAAAACAAAAGATGCAAGAAAACTGGAGATCTGAGACCAGGCCACTTGGACTGTTAGAAACAAATTTGGACAATGAACTATCTGGATCTAGAGAAAGTGTCTTTTCAGCTCAAACAGTTTTGGAGTCTATTGAGAACGAGAAGGGTGTGGAAATATACCTTTAGATTGTATACCAGCTACTCTACTACTAGAATTTTCTTATTTTTTCAGGTTGCTGTGAGAAATGTATGACCCGCATACCATATGCCACTCTTATTGCAACGATTATGTGTGCCCTAGGTGTAGTCATATTTTGTGGCACCATGTACAGAGGTGCCACATTGGCTGTACTAATGTTTAGTGAGATTTTCAACATGCAGTTATTTTGGTAACACAACAAACACTTTATCAGTATATTTGTTGTAATGAATGTTTTTGTAGGGTTGATGCTGTAAAAATGACATTTGTACTGATTGGAGCATGTATGGGGGCACTGGGATTGATGATTCTCATGGTTGGATTTCTAGCAACTGGTGCAACGAGGCACAAAGTGTATAGAGGCTGGGGATCTAGAGTTAGTGGAAGGCTCAGCTGCGCTATTGTTAGTATTTATCTTCTTTTTTTTGTAATGAAAGCAGAGTCATATTCTCTTTGATAGAAATTTATGAATGATATTATGATGAAGATAGCTGTCAAATAATATTCAAAATTCTCACAATATATCAATTTGAATATATAACAGCCTACTTCAATTATAAGTATAAGAAAGAACAATAGGATTAGGCTTCTTTGGATGTTCTTGTAGAGGTTAAAACATTAATTGGAACTGCTTAGAATCTACAACACACAAAAAGGTATCATTTCCCAAGAGTAAAATAATGAGTATCTTGTTTTCTGTCCTCCAAATGACATTTCATTTCTTTTTCACATTAATATACAAAAAAGGAGATGAAATGTCATCTGGAAAACAAAAAACAAAATATATTATCACAGGTGTCATTTGTGCTTGAAAAATACCATGGTAGTTTTTGGAACATCATGCAATAAAAACATAAAAACCACAGCATAAGTTTCAGGAGTTACATTAACCTTGTTTCAAAATTTTCTCAGCAGTATTTTTTTACTCTCAGAAAAGCCATGTATTACCAAAAAGATGACTGACTGATGAAAATCAGTAAACATGGTCCATTGTGTTATGCATAATCATTTTAACATGAAAAACAATATCTCCAAATTGAACGGAGAATTGAGTTTGCATATTTTGGATTTTTAAGTATATTTATTTTCCAGCACTGAATATTGTTTTATTATATGCTTTTTTCAGTTCTTGTGCATCACATATGTTCTACAAATTGCCTGGATCTTGATGTTCTGCTTTTTGGTGCTTGTGACATTTGTATTTACAATCTTCTGGAAGATGTGTGAAAATCCCAGGGTATCTACATATCAAGACAGTATTGACTTAACACAATTTTGTAAGTTTTATTATCATGTTACTTATTGCATTGAATTTGCTAAGATTTTGTGTTTATGGATCAATCTCATATGACTTCAGGTTTCTTTTTGTAAAATTAATATTTTCATGGTTTTCATATTTCTATATAAAAAATAATAATGGATACTGTTTTTAGATTTTCTTTTTCCTGAAGGCACAAGGCAAGAGCATATGAAAGTATCGGGAGAAAGTAGTGTGAGAGCATTCTGTATTGACTATGTTGAGAAAGCTGAATTAATGTTTGTATTGGCAACTGCAGCGTCAGTTTTAGTGATACTGAGTTTGGTGAGTGATTTATCCTCAAAAAGTTTGTTATAACAAAAAATATGGCTTTATTCACTGTACAAGGTTTCTTAATCCAAGATAAATGAAAAAAGGATGTTGGATCGCTGAGCAGCAACTATGAAGGGAATTGAACCTTAATCCCATAGCAACTATGCATATCTAACCCCAATAATTCTTTGCACCTATTAGACATATTTCAAGCACAAATTTCCCTGTACATTTGCCATTCTATAAGACAGAAAAAACGAACAAAATGGGAGAATCTTGTCATCATGGAGGCTGCTGGGCAATTAGAAATTGTAACAGGTAACTTTTTTTGTTACGAATATGTATTAGCCTCAAACATTTTTGAAGAGGGGGCTAGTACATTTTCTCAGTTTAAGTCAAATCTTGAATATGGTACCAAACTATGCTAAATATGCAGATTCTGAGGGGGCCATGGCCTTAGGGCTGGAGACTAATTGTATAGACCTATTTGACTGACTTGATTCATTGAATTCCTTTATTATACATGTTTGTCGTTTACATATTTGGATGAATATATGGTCAAAAAAAGAGTATCTGAAAGAGTGAATCTGACACCCTGGTCTTCACAGATATTCAAGGAGTGTAAATCAACACGCGATGACGACTACAGAAAATTTTTAGAGAAAATGATTGGAAACAATATACAAAATCAAGAAATGAGTGTGTAGCAGTTCTCAGGAGGGAAAAGAAAAAATACTACGATAAGTTATGATGAACAGGATTTTACAAACTAATGACAGTGTGGCAAGGGAGGTGCAGAGTCAACCTAACGCCATTTTTTATTACTTATAAGGGAATTTCTGCAGTCTCATTTGGTAACATGGCAGTGACCATGGAAGTTTATGTAAATACAGCATCTTCTTGGACTAATTATTGGACAAACCAATTGCAAGTGATAAATGAAAAAATACGGATTTTTAATGATATGAATTTCAGGTACATTACCTGATGTGCCTGTCCGCAAACTACGCTCACATCCGAGACCAAGAAAAATTCCTGCAACTGCAAGATCTCCAGATGCTAAATGACAATGAGCTGTTGACAGGAAAAGACAGATTCTAGGATATGGCCCAGGAGATACACAGCATGTCTGAGTTGAGATGGCAGCATTTGACTCGTGAATCATGAACACGCAGATTCTCAAAACAACCTTACGAATGACAATCTCCTTCTTTAATGCATTGACCAAGTCATTCATGACATAAGCATAGCAACAGCTCTGACGAAGTTGTATTTGAACACGAGCTTTTAGAATCGTAGGATCATGGAAATCGTATGCTATTTCAAAATAATGACTAAATTGAGAATACTGCATTCTGAAGCCTACATAAGGCATTAGATGTGTCCATTTCTACGACATCATATTGATTTGTCATTCCTAGCTGTTTTAAACGAGGCGTACTGAAAGGGTAATTCTTCGAATATTTCTTGATAAAAATTACCCTGTGATGTGTTCTAAAAAGTGTCTTCCTTTTAGATTAAGGTCTTACTAACGCACTCAAGCATGCTGGTGTTTCCTGGGTTATTAACTATACACATATGTATTATTTTTATACGACAGTATATCAGTTTATTACTTATTTATATTGACGATTTGAAATTCAAAATTCTGCAAATTTCAACATTAGTGGATTGCAGAATGTGTAAATGAAAATTCGAGTCTTTTTTTTTGACAGGGGGAAGCTTTTATACCCAATCTCAGGCAGAAAAGTTCGAGAGTATTGGCTTGTCGGCCTTTCCCGCCCGAAGGGCGAGACTCTTCAGAGGCAAATAATTTCTTTGTGGAGGCGTCCCGCAGTACATTTTTGTATATTAGGAACATGTGACATTATTCTTTCTTTTTGGGTTCTACCATTGCACTGTATAAGTCGAAAGATACCGCTCGAATTTTGACACATGTCAAGTAAGGAAAAGCTTTGTGGTTTCGAAAATTGTTCCAGTGGCAAAAAACCGAAAATACTTGAACCTCGTTTTTCGAAAAAAAAAAGTTTGGAGATGATTGTATTTTTTTGCTACGGGAAAGCTTTCATAGCCATTCCCAGCCTCTCCTGCCTGAAGTGTAAGATTCTCCAGAAAGGCTTGGTCTCTCGTCTCTGGGTCATGAACGAAATCGTATAGCAACTACAATACACTATCAAAAGTGTGAGATCTATCGTCACGTGGTAACTGAGCCTCCAATTGCGGACAGATCTTTACAGACCCAACTGGTAGCTGCAGTTCACTGTTCGCATTGGTAGATGGCGCTTCACGCTGTCTTATTTCGATGTAAATTTGAGGGCTGAATGATTTTAAGACCCATCATATAACAATACATATTTTGCAACAAAAGGAATAACTGAACATAAATGAGTGATAAGTTGATAAACAAAAATACCTATCCGTCCAAAGACCCCCAATCATTCCAATGTTTGACACAAAGTACAGATTAGTTATGGTACAAAACCTTTGCTGGATAATCACAAGAAATACATTGCAACTAGAAACTAAGCAAAATCAGTATTTTCTTACCCACATTTGAGTATTCATGGGTATTTGGGATTCTTCTTCGGAACCAGGTTTCCTTTACGAATATTACGACCATATCAACAACTTTTGTAACTAATAATATTGACGAATATTTATTTTGGTTGCATGTTCATATATACTTTAGTTCCATCATAAAATCTAATTTTAATAGTTCAAATTTAAGCATCTGTTGCCTCAAAGGTATATTTTTTAACATTAATTTGTTCTATATGTGTAAGTATTATAAGTACAATAACATAAATGTTCCAATTTTGTAACTTATGTAAGTGATTGTATATTTGTACTTTTGACTGTAAGTAGTGAAGTTAGTGATCTTTTATGATTTATTTTGCACAACTTTTGTAAACTTGTATCTAAAAATATACTATCAGTAAGATTTGTAAAAATGTTCTTGAATCCCACTAAGCCAGAAAGACTTTAACAAATTTGACAGTTTAAGGTCGCACATCTTCTTTAACTGCCTGTTTGAGATCTGATTATTTCATGGATAGAATAGAGATGTCTAAAAAACAATGTTATCAATTTTTTTGTCAAACAATGCACTTTTGTCCATTTTTGGTTCAATCGTAACTTGTCAATTGATAAAAAATCCTTGCTTTTTTGTGAAAATCCATTTTGCAGCAAATTTATAGTCCTCCAAACAGGCTTTTGAAAAAGATATGTGCGACGTTAAACTCGCATTTTTTTTAGAGCGCCGTAATAGGAGAAACAATCTATCCAAGGGCGTATTTACCCTAAGGCAATAGCCCGGCAGGTCAAGCTTGCCTCCATTAAAAGTTTTTGCTTATTTACGTTCCAAAAATCGCCACTGAATCCATCGTTCATCTCGAGAAAAAATAGCACCAAAATTACCCAATGTCTTTTGAACAAAAGGATCTAAAAAAATATGGAGAAGAAACATTCCTAAAAGCCGAGTCTTGGGGAGCTCCAGGTGTTTACAAACACTAGATTCAAGTTGTAGTCACTGGAGAATATCGGAAAAATAAACACACATGTGCAAATGTATAACATAAAATATAATTTAAATAAATATAAATTGATTCAATTTATTGGACAAATTTAAAAAATCTTAAAATTACTTATTCTCAACAGTCATCAACGTCTGTATGTGTTCCTCGAGTAAAGTGGCAAGATGCTGCCGTTTGAACCTCAACGATTCCTTTATGATCATTTTCACTAGTTGCACTTGCACGTCAATATCACCTTTAATTGTTTTCAAATTATCAAACAGTTCCGTGAAATTTTTACCCGGTTTCCGCACTAGCTTGTTCAGCTTTTTCCTAATTTCAAAGTTCTGCATTTCAATTTCTTTCTCATCTTCTTCTTCGTATTTCTCGATCACTTTTTCTTTCTCCACCTGAAAAATAGTCGCATATTAAAACGGGTAGAATTATCATTATATAGGGTGTAAACGTTATGATAGTCATTATTTAAATGGGTGATAAAGGGGGTTAAAAGAAGCAAAAATACAACATAGGGGTCAAAACGGCATTATTTTTTTTAGAGAAAAGCGACTTTAAAGTAAAATAAAATCTGACAACACCGCAATGACAGACGCAAATTATGACGGAACGCAGTGTAAATAAAGATGGAGTACCTATATTATTTTTGGCTCTTAAGTATTATTTCATTATTTAATAACGTACTCGTAAAATGCGAACAATTTAAAAAAACGGGCGTACCATTAACTGTCTCAGCGCTTCACCTGGTGTGTGAAAGTTTATTGAACGTATTAAAAAAATCGACTTATAAATAGGGAACACAATTTTGATACATACATTGTTTTTCTTTTTAAAACCCACACTGCACTTTTTTGTATCTAAAGGTGTTCAAAATGTCGTCCTCCACTTTCCATACAAGCTTCATTACTTCCTTCACGAATGGTATGAGGATTTTCTTGGGCCCACGTGTGAGTATTATGGAAATTTGGTATCCCGTCTCGCGTAAAAGTACATTCATCCGTCGCTAGCATGTTTTTAAAAATATCCGGATTTTCAATGTTTTTGTGCAAAAACCACTGACAGAATTTTAGTCTGCTAGGATAGTCTTCTGTCTTCCGTTGTACATGGTAGGAATAAAGCAAATTTTCCCGTAGGATTCTATGGACTATGGTATATCTGCATTGATTTCCACGATATTTAAAATGTGTTCCTCCTGCTCTACAGTAACCTGTCTTTCACGAGTGCGAATATTAGTGAGCTGAACACTTCCTGTATCTCGAAGTCTTTGGTACACTTGCACAAATGTCCTTCTGTCTGTGTGGAGCCCTGTCGCGATAAATTTGAGCTGCAAGATTTGAATTCTGACGAGATTCACCGTAAGCTAACAACATGTCGGCTAACTCTTGATTAGAGAACATTGTAAATAAACATGACGACGTACGCGAACAATAACTAAACACTGTTACCGTTTGCTATCGATTGCCGGTTCGATAAGAGTGATGAAAGATCGACGCGCTGTTGTCATGTGTGTTTTAAATATTTAATTTAATGAAACTTACCGACTACAAATTTTGGCTTAACTTAGAAAAACTTAATGCCATTTATTTGTTAATTACCCAATTTAAAAAGTTTTAGATTAGATTATATGAATTAGTACTTGTGGTGATTGTGGTCGATATAAAGCACTTAAAAGTTGTAAACTATAAAGCCATTTAGACAAAAATCTATTGACTTTTCGACGATGGGTCATATGAACTTTTTGACTTGTTTTGACCCCCCGCTATTACCCATTTCATTAATGACTACCATAACGTTTACACCCTGTATTTTATAAATAATATTTCCCAACTGCCCGCCGTAGTTGCTTCAACAGATGACAGTTTTTCAGTGACCTTTTGATACAACTGCGTCTCATTTTTACCAAACGTTCGGTTTACGAATTTACCAGACAAATATCTCAAGCAGGGTTTAATTTTTGGGCAGGGGAAAGCTTTTACAGCCACTCTCGGGCAAAAACTCTACAATATTGCCCCGTCGACCCCTCCTGTCCGAAGTGTGAGATTCCCCAGAAGCGGCATACCGACTAAAACCCGCCAGTCATTTGTTACACATCCCACCGCGGTAATGTTTGTCGCATTCCTTGATAGTGGGTAGCGATGTGCGATACGGGTGTAACTTGAGGAAACGAAGATGGAGAGGGAATAAAACGACACATGAAGTTGCCAACCTACACACACCACCGGCCGCGTGGTTGTGGTAAGATGTTGCCTTGAACACTCAAGGTCTTCTGGCCATCATACAAACACGCTTAGGTTGACTCTTGAGGGTAACTACGAGTGTCGTTTGGTTCCCTCTCCATTTTCGTTTCCTCCACATCCGAATGTATGGGCATGTATCTACTTTTGTAGATATGTGCATTCATTTCGGGCCTGATGAATCTGACAAACAGAAATACGTATTGCTAGGTTACCTATACTTTTTTCTTCTCGAGTCCACTTTCCTGTCGATTTTTTTTATTTGTTATACATCTTTCTCCGCATGATCCTTTCCCTTTTTTTTATTATACTTACCGTATTGGGCTTGACATCCAATCCAGCATTGATCAGTGCTGCATTACTGTTGTGATTCATGTTGGCTTCTTTCAATATCTGCGATATCAACTTGTCGTCCGTCGGCGACATGCTCGAATAGAAATCGTTCAGCGAATTTGTAGTCATCGTGTCTGTCATTCCTGAAGAGGTGTAGCTGCAAACTATCGGTCGAGCGCCATATGACACCTAAAAAATGGCCCAAATGTAGATTGACTCTATACTTCCTACGCCTTCGTTGAAGGTTTCAAAGGTACAATGAATCTTCAGCATCTGCATATCAAACTATACAGGGTTTTTCAGTTTATTGTTGCATAACTTTAAGATTCGATAGAACTTTTAAAATTAATGCATAAAGTCTATATAAACATGGGTCGAAAAATGCGTGGCTTCCGAAATACAGGGTGTTTAAATTTACTTTCTAAAATAGTTTTTTTTTTTTAAATATTTCGAACAATATTTGATGTATAACAGTGAAAATTGGTATACAAGGGTTTTTTGGTACGACAAAACGAACCATGGGCATAGTTTTACTGTAGCCGCTAGAGGGCGCTCTCTACTGTACCTGTAGTGTATTAAAATGATAAAAATTTTTATTAGTGCAATTTTTTGCTTTTTAATAAAAAAACTGATTCTTCGCACTTTTCAACATAAAAAAGCTCTCTTGTGAATTTTCGTTATAGTTAGCCGTTTTTGAGATATTTCGATTTTTAAGGTTCGATGCATTTTTAATTATTTATGATAAAATAACGTTAAAAAGTCATAATTTTTAGAAGTAGGCTGTGCCTGCAAATATTTTTGAAATTGAAAGCAGAATAAGGTTAAACGTCAATTAGTTGACAGTTAGTTTTGTTGTCTGTTGAAACCTGAAACGTTTTTTTGCAATTGTGAATGCACGAAATTTAGTTTCTTTTACCTGTTTTTTTTTGTAAGTTTTATAAAAATGCCATTTTCGTCAGCGCAGATTTACCCGTATGATTCTGCGTGAGTTTGATAGAGATCCGACCACAAGTGTTAGGAGAGTTTCTGATGCCTTAGGAATTTCAGCAAGCCATGTTCACCGTGTTCTTAGAAATGACCATAGACGTCCTTACCATTTGCAACCTGTGCAAGGACTACAGCCAGGGGACGGAGAACGAAGAATCACATTTTGTCAGTGGATTCTTGATAGAACTGATAATAATAGGGAGTTTTTAAGTAACGTTTTATGGACCGACGAGTCATGCTTCACTAGACGTGGAGTGGTAAATTTTCATAATCAACATATTTGGTCGCATGAAAATCCGCATGCAGTTCGGGAAATAAATTTTCAGCATGAATTTAGTGTGAACGTGTGGATTGGTATCTACCGTAATCGACTATTTGTACCCTACCTTTTGCCTGCAAGGTTAAATGCTGCGACCTTCTTGGAACTTTTAAAGGCTGAACATGCAAATATGTGGGATGATGTTATGTTAGATTTAAGAAGATTGGCCTGGTTCCAGCTTGATGGTTGTCCAGCTCATTATTCGAGAATAGTTAGAAACTGGCTGGACGAAAATTATCCAGAAGGATGGATCGGCCGTGGAGGACCAGTCGCCTGGCCTCCACGATCCCTTGACCTAAATCCATTAGATTTCTTTGTGTGGGGATTTCTAAAAGAAAGTGTACCAGACTCCCGTAACCACAAGAGATATGCTAATAGACAGAATCAGGAATGCATGTGATGAAATAAGGCCTTATTTGAATAATGCTATACCACGTTCGATCATTCGTAGATGTGAATTGTGTATTGAACAATTGGGTTTACATTTCGAGCAACTAGTTTAGATTTTGTATGTTTGTCCTAACTATCCAATAGCATTTTAGTTGTAAATAATTAATTTAATTTGTTAAAAATAATATTGGAAAATTAAACAAATTAATATTCTGTTTTTTGTGTTTATTTGGAGTTATATGGAATTATTGCTGTGTTTAAAAACACAATCTAAACGATCATCTTAATTACTTGTAATGCCCAAAACGAAAATGTAAAAAAAAATAATATTTTCCCATAAATAATTAAAAATGCATCGAACCTTAAAAATCGAAATATCTCAAAAACGGCTAACTATAACGAAAACTCACAAGAGAGCTTTTGTATGTTGAAAGGTGCGAAGAATCAGTTTTTTTATTAAAAAGCAACAAATTGCACTAAGAAAAATTTTTCGGTCATTTTAATACACTACAGGTACAGTAGAGAGCGCCCTCTAGCGGCTACAGTAAAACTATGCCCATGGTTCGTTTTGTCGTACCAAAAAACCCTTGTATACCAATTTTCACTGTTATACATCAAATATTGTTCGAAATATTTAAAAAAAAATAGTTTAGAAAGTAAATTTAAACACCGTGTATTTCGCACAGTATCAGCAACTTCTTAATAATAGGTCTTTCACTGACATCAAATATGCAACAATTTACAACCATTTACCGCATACACTTTCCACCCTAAAATTTTCATCCCTTCCAAATAATTCTGAAAATGAGCAAGAATCTCTAAACCAATTTTAAAGATCTACTACAACCTAAACGATGATAGCATCTTCATCACACAAGTCTCTGTTTCTCATTTACGTCGGCTATCAGTCCTTGTCATCAGGTCAAGTCAAAGGGGTAGGTTCTCATATACAAATATTGCTAAAATGTATATTTCTCCTGTCAGTGACGACACCATCGCAGATTTACCAATTGGAGTCTGTCACCTATTGCACAGACGGCACTGGCCCCCACGACGATACTCCTTGCGTCGTGCACGAAACGCCAACGATTGCAAGTTATTTCGAATTACGAGTACATTATACATCGGACTTTATCGTTTAATTTTACCCACTGTTCCCGGGATCAGAAGTCTCTTAATGATATAACGTCTTTGACTAATACCAAGTACGTAATATTTACAGCCCCTTACCGCCTACAAGTTTCAATCTCCACAAAAAAATTTCCGAAAACGATCAGGATCCTCCGAAACGTCAAAAAGCTGCTATGAGGATTCCAAGGAAAATTTGTTAATCCGATTTTTGAACTGAAAATAATATTTCAATTTCGAAATTTTTCGCGATTACAATACTTCGCCACTTTTGACATAGGAAGTAAAAATGAGTCGATTATGTAATGAGAGAATTAGGGATATTTTGGTTACCAAGATGACCTATTGAAATCCCGCGAGATAGCAATTCAGCAGTGTAACATTGCATTGAACGCTTAACTTGCGCAAAGTTTCGATTTTTTATGTATATGTACCAATCTATAGGCCATCGGTTGTGCCTCTATCCATTTTTTGTACCGTTGCAGCCGCGTTGACAGAAACCTAATTACCAAGGCACCACGACTGCTATAAGGAGCTTAAAGACCCCCGATTTTTGAACTGCATAAGGTTAGAACTGGAAAAAACCTCCTCAGGCAGATTATTCCACAATCTCGACACCCTTGGAAGGAAGTAGCGGCAGAAGCCTGTCGGATACGTTTAGCAGGACGAACGAGCGGCGGCGTCATAAAGAAGAGCCAGAGTCACTGTTCGTTTTGTATTTGGTTATATTAGATCGAAACTGTATTATGGATCGTTAATTTGGAACCCAATTTACAACTGCTACATTTCTCTTGAGCATGTTCAAATAACGTTTTTAAATCTTTTATCTTTCAAAGTGGACTGCGTATATCTGAAAGTTTCTTATTGTTTAGCTTTCTTGCTTGTTTTTGCTTCTTTTTCTTGTTTTTTTTTTTAGATCAAATCACCTGCTTTTTGTATGTTTTTTATTTTTGTTAGTCTGATTTATATTAGGATTGTCCTGTAAATGGTTTCCTTAACTGTTGGGCAATAAATGCTATTTATTTATTTATAAGAGCCCTGAGGAGCAAAGCTTGTTGGCATAGCTGTGGAAGAGAAGCAGATCACGGACCGCCCTCAGTGTGAAAGTGTCCCAAGACCGTCTGTTAGAGAAGTGTCGTCGGTCAGACGGACAGCACCGGGTAAGAACAGTGTAGTCTAGCTGAAATCTTACCTCACTAATACTGTAGCTAGGCATTTCGATAGGTGTAGGTGAGGGAGATCGAGATCTTTCAGACATAGGACTGGATGAAGGGCTTGTTTCCACGCCGTTCACCAAAGCTGGTGGCTCCTCGAACCTCGGTAGCTCCGTTTTCTCTACTATTGTCGACCTGCAACAAATATTTCAGTTCAATACCTCATCTGAAACATTTTTCGATTGTAGACCAATACTTTTTCGCGTTGTTATAGAAAAACGGAATTTTATTTCTGAACCTTTTTTAGTTGCAAGATGCACCATTGGCAGTGAAAAAAATACTTACCATGGAACGGGAGACGGTAATGGTGATGGCGGTATGACGTATGGTGAAATACATTCCGGACTGGGTTTGGTGAACCTGTAGTTCTTAGGTAAAGGTCCTGGTTTCTTTTTGGATGGCAGTCTGGATATTTGATCGCCAGCTGGATTTGGTCGTTTGTTGTTCCTTGCTGCTCCCGTTGGAGAGCCCACCAGGTCAATGTCGGCTTCGTCCACCTTGAAAAAATATAGGAAAAAAAAATATAAATATACAATGTTACCACTGGAAACCCTACTGAAAATCTAAACAAATTTTTTTTATCAAATTCAGCATCATGATGCTTTGCATTTTTTTTGACAGTCATATTCAAATGCAGCGCCCCAAACTACGTAAGTTTAACAGGTTTTATGCATTGTGATCACGCCTGAAAATAAAAATTTTCTCCTGAAAAATCAAATGATTTGTGGGCTTCATGAGAAAAATTTCATACATCACTGTATGAAGTATGTATGTAGTCTCCTGGGTAAACCTGGCGCGTAGATTCAGAATCCGATGTTCAATTTGACACTAGAGCTCACTGGAGGTTCCATACGACACATTTTCTACCTCAAATTCGGCCGCACGATGCCATACAATTTTTTGATCGTCATATTCTTATTCTGCATCCAAAATTTTGTATGTTCATTCTTTTTAACAACGGCTGACAAAAATAAAATTTTGCCCTAAAAATTAATATTTGCAGGTTTCCTATGAGAAAAGTTTTAAGAAGCTGATGCGATAATTCCGTATCCGAGGGTTCCAAAAAACTAAATTTCCAATTCAAATTCGGCCACACGACCCTTCACGATTTTTTGGCGTCGTAAATTACCAAGTTTCATTCACTTGTACCAATGACCGGCGAACATGGATAAATTGTCCTACAAAATTAAATAATACTTCTATTTGTAGGTTTCTTATAAGAAAGTTTCAAAAACCCATGCGTATCTGTCATCTTAACAAAATCACATTTTAGTAGTCACAAAGATGATAAACATCGAAATACAGACATATCCCTACAAAAAAAATTCTTTTTACTACGTCTGATGATCATCAGAAATCCGAAAAACAGCAGAAAACAAGTGTACAATAACCACTAACCATCATTCTCTTGTCTATCTTGAACGGATTTCCGAACATGTGCTGTCTAACTGGCGCAGACTCAATTTCCCTAAGTTGAGGAGTTTGTTTCTTCAGATACTCCTGGTAGTTGCCCATCTGAGATACTGGCAATGAATGGGCGCTGTCTTGATCAAAGGATATCCAATCTGGTTGAAGGAAATTATTCCTCATTCTCACTACCTGAAAGATAAATTTGTGTCACAATGTCACCAATGTAAAGGGTGCATCAGGGGCCACGTTTACACCTTTGCTAGAGCACCAACAAATTAATCGTGTTATTGTGTGCGTTTTTGACGCTTTGCGTTCACTAAACACTTGACTAGCCGTGGTGTGAAGTGTAAACATGACCCATAAGAGCATATTTCTAATTGCAAAAAGAAAACGACGCAAAAATTTGAAATAGCCTGTCATGTAGACATATGAAAGACTTGGGCTTGAGGAAGAGAAGAACTGGTCATTTTATATCAAAACATATTTAAAAATCACACTTTGTGCAAAAAATTGTGGTTTTGTTTGTTGAAGATTTATTTAGCATGATTGCTACAATTACATTCATTTAAAAAACTACAACAACTACATAACATACAGATATTTAGAAAAACAAAATTTGCATCTCTATGAATTTTCACTGTCCATGAAATATTCCTTTAATTTTTTTTAAACATCTTTAAATTCCAAGTACACTTTATACCATTATTTAGTTTATTAAATTCAAGTAATCCTTTCTGAAATATTGATTTGCTAGTTATATTACTATTGTAATTTTGTAAATGAAAATCTATACATGTATCCTCTTGTATAATAATTGTGGTAATGATTATTCAATTCTATGTAGTGTTCTAAATGTTGTGACAAAAGATGATTTTTTATTTTAAATATAAAAATAAGAACTAAATTATATGATATGAAATTTTTTATATTCAACTACTGCAATTCTAATAACATAAATTTAGTTTTGGTGTACTTATTTTTATTCAGTATTGTTCTCATAGCTTTACTTTGAAGGACTTTTAATTTTGAGAATACAGCTTCATTGGCAGTAAACAAGATAGTAAATGCGTAGAATAATTGTATTAAAAACTATTTTTTGGAATAAGTACTAAGACTATGAGAAGCCCTATAAAAGTAATTTTGCAATTTTTGAAATCATGTACTCATAGTGATCCTCAAATTTTAGTTTACTGTCAATATATATACCTGAACCTAAATATTCAATTGATTCAACATTTTCAATTATGTCACCACTTATCCTAACTATGACAGTATTTTCATTTAGGTATTTCCCTATTAGCATACATTTTGTTTTATGAGCATTCAATCTTAGTTCATTTACATTTCACCAATTTATAGATTTTTTGAGTCAACTTTCTGTAATTTTACATTCTTGTCTATTAAAATTACATCGCTATGCATTCTGGGTACTCATAAAGTGATTTTTTTATTTCACCTCAAATATTTTTAAATTTCTTACACTGTTTAATATCATTATTCCCGTTGAAATACAGATTTGCTAGTTATGCTATTACAATTTTACACATGAAAATTTATACTGTATTGCCTCTAGCTTCATACTTATGACAATGACTGTTTAATTTTGTGAAGTTTTCTAAATGTGGCGGTAATAGATAATTTTTCAATTTCAATATGGAAATAAGAACTAAATAATATTATTGTGTACATCCAACCACTGCAGTTCTTGTAAAATTTTAGGTAGCGAATTTGTTTATATTTAAAATGATTCTCATACCTCTATTTTCTAAAATCTATCATAACTAATTGATTTTTTGAGATATAAATAATTTAGGAATACCAAAGAGGTGTCACTGCGCTGAACCATTTAAAATTTTTTTTTATCGAAAAATAGTTAACTCCTGTTTTGTTTTCCCATTTTATTACCCAAAAAGATTGTTTGTGTATGTTTTTGAGAGCCTTTTTGTAACGCCCTCTTGTAGTCATAAATTTGAATTGTATTTGAAAAAACTTTTATTTACCTGGTGAATTAACCTGCTCCGTGGTATATCAAACGGGTTTTTAAAACTAACAGTCTGTCGTTCTTTATCAAGAGTGCATGTCCAATTGTTAGTCTGTTCAACTATTTGATCCCTCTGTGCATTGAACCTGTCTGTCAGACAAGGGTGAGTTATCAAATCTTTCTTCAACGACACTTTTGGAGCCACTCTTATTTGTTCCGGATTGTTGAAGTTCGTTTTCAGACCATTCTAGAAAAACACCATGGATAGGGAAAACGTTTTCTATGACATTTTCAGCGTTCATAAAAACATCCCTGTAGTTTTGATCGCTAGAGTATCGTTATGTTCTGATGAACGCGACCGTTGCTTAAAAAACCATGAGATGAGAATTTTCTGTAAAAACCAAACTTACATTTGCTTGCCGTTGCATAATCTCATTGCACAATTTGTCGTATTCCATCTTAGCTTGGTTTTTCAGTCTTTTCAAATAATTTGATACAGAAAAACTCAAACCATTTTCTGCATTTTCCGGTATCAACGTTTGCGCAAGAGCAACTGGCGTACCTAAAAGAAAGGTTGACGTCTTATCAGTATTGTAGGACACAATTTCCATTTTCGAATCCCTCTGTTATATGCGGAAAACGCTTGGTGAACCTAGGAAATTTGGGGCACTGCATATGAATATGGTTTTGTTTAGATTGATTTAGCATTAATGTTACAATATCAATGCATATCCCATAATATTTTGTCTTCATGTCTACATATTTATATACAAAAGTTCACAACTATGAATACTAGTTTTCCTGGAAATATTTTTTCAAATTCCCTTTAAACATTTTCAAACTGGCACACATCTTGATATCATTCGCTACTGAATTTGATAAATTCGTACAACCCTTTTTGAAATACTGATTTGTATGTTATATTGCTACTATAATTTTGTAAATGAAAGCCTATACTTCCCCTAGTAGAATAACTATATAATACTCATTGTTCAATACAATAAAATTTTCTTGACGATTTGGTAGAAGATATTTTTTAACTTGAGTATGGAAATGAAAACCAAGTAGGTTATGAAATTTTTGATATTTAACCATTATAATTCTGTCAAAAAATAGTATTTTGGAAGGAAAAATGAGAAGTTTGAAGCTTTTCTGCGGTTATGACATTGACATGAATAAAAATGCTACATTGCTTGATTGCGAAAAAATGGAAATTTGAGGAGGGGAGGGGGAGTGTGTGCTGAAACATACCAAAATAACGAAAACGTAAAACTTTAAAAATACATTGTGACGAATAGCGCCATCTGTTGGGCGAGTCTCCTACTCGCCAGAGCCTAAATGCCGATCTCTGCTTTTACGCGAACCACGGCGCACAAGCCGCCTGGCGGCGTCTGTGAGGACCGTGACAGTGGATCGCCTTCTAGATCGACGCGAAGTGATCTCGAAGAGTCTAGACTTCCGCTTTGGGGCCCGCCAGACTATTCTCGACAAACGATGCGGACTATACAGGGTGACTTCGAAGTTGAGTCATTTATTTTAACAGTGAGTAGATCTGATCAAAAGAAATGCTTTTTTCCTTTAACATTTTTCTGGTAAAATTAAAGTAACAAAGTTATAGCCCTTTAGAAGTTTGAGTACCGCCCTGTCTCAATAATAATATTATGTGCTCGTGTTTGGCAACAACGAATATAATCCGCCTTATCCGTTCATCGCATCGGTAACAAAAAAGCGAAAGAATTTGAAACGATGTTTTTACTACAATGTACAATTTTATTCAGTTGTTTTCCGTCAATGTGTAAGTCGGTAACGCGTGAGTGAATGGTGGTGTTTGTTGCGTGGCTTAAACGAAATAAAAAATGCACATGTTTAGAAAATGCTGAACTTGTGGACATGACCCCTCGTGCCTTTGTTAATGTAGTACAAAGGGCTCGTGAATCAGGTGACTTAAGACCTCACAGGGGAGAGCATGCCGGTGCTCCAAGACCGCACGATCAAATACAGGTCCGCACTGAAATACTTGTCGGGAGGATACTTTATAAAACAAGGTAACATTTTTTTTAATTTTTATTTTTATTTTTACACACATATCTTTATCTTCCTTCTACAATCATTATCTGAAAATTAATGACTCAACTTCAAAGTCACCCTGTATAACCCGACGGCCGCGAGAGGGAAGGAGAGTACGGAATACGGTGGAGTAGCAGAGAGGAGAGAAGTTATAGTGCAGTCAGTGGTGTACATAAATGTTCTATTTAGTTAAGTCGATTGTGTTGTGTTGTAAATAAATTAGTGTATTTCTTTTTGTGGAATCCAGTGTTTTAATCCACACCAAAAAGAAGCCATAAAAACGCTACAATACAGGGTTTGTCCGGAAAGTAATAGGACTCATTTTCTTCTGCCATGACCGTACTTCGGAGCATGCGCGCACCGATTGGATTCGGTAGAGGGCGTTCCTAGCTAACGAATGAGCGGCTGGTCAGTTGTCTCCGAGCACTTGGAAAGTCAGGACAGGCATTTTCGCGCGACGTGTTTCTGTGAGTGGTGCAAGCCGAAAATGCGGCGTTCGTTAGAGCAGAGGTACGCGATTAAATTCTGTGCGAAACTCGGTAAATCTGCGACCGAGACGTTTGATATGATCAAGCAGGCTTACCCAGGTGTTGCTTTAGCAAGAAGTGGTGTGTTTCGGTGGCACCAGGCCTTTTTGGAGGGCCGGGAAGAGGTCGCTGATGAAGACCGTGCTAGAGGACCTTCGACTTCGACAAACACCGATAATGTGACTCGTGTGCGCAAAGTTTTGAACTCAGACCGTCGACTAAGTATTCGTTTAATTGCCCAGATGTTAAATTTACCAAAATCTGTGGTTCATGACATTGTGACACAGCATTTGAACATGCGCAAGGTGTGCGCGAAGATGGTCCCAAAAGTGCTCACTGACGACCAGAAATTGCGGCGAATGGAAGTGTGCCAAGAAAATTTGAACATGTGTGAAAGTGACCCCCAATTTTTGAATAACGTAATCACAGGTGACGAGTCGTGGATCTTTGATTATGATCCCGAGACAAAGAGGAAATCTTCCGAGTGGCACACGACGGCGTCTCCTCGCAAAAAAAAGAGGAGAATGAGCAAATCCAAAGTGAAAACGATGCTCATTGTCTTTTTTGACATGAAAGGCATCGTCCACCATGAATTTGTTCCTCCTGGACAAACCGTCAACGCCAAGTTTGACGTGGAAGTGCTCAGGAGACTCAAACGAAGGGTCAGTCGGGTCCGACAAGACATCGCAGCCGACTGGAAGTTGCACCACGACAACGCCCCGGCTCACACCACCTTTCTTGTGAACAGCTACCTGACCAAGGCCGGCATCCCAACGCTTCCGCAGCTGCCCTACAGCCCAGATGTGGCCGCCCCCGGACTTTTTTGTTTCCTCGCCTGAAAGGCAAGCATTTTGAGACGACAGAGGGGATCCAAGCAGCATGCCCCGCGGCTCTCAAGGCTATTCGCCTTCCGTGACGCCTTCAATGCTTGGAAATCGCGCTGGCAGCGCTGCATCGACGCAGGCGGAGCCTATTTTGAAAGTTTTTAAAGAATTGTAACGATTGGCTCAATACATTTTTTTAAATCGACTCAGTCCTATTACTTTCCGGACAAACCCTGTATCCTTGTTTTACGAATCCAACGTCCATGATTCTTTTTTTCCATAAAATAATAACTTTTTAAGTTGATTAGATGTTTGTTAGAAATATTCAAAGACAACTTTAGTTCATGAGTGACATGCGGATGACGTTTCTTTGTTTACAATTTGTATGACGTCACATCGTGTTTTCACCGTTTTTAAATTGGATCTATATACCCATCTTGCGCTTTTAAAAATTGAAATAGATGCATTCCGTTTCCTAAAGCAAATACTGTAAGAAATACTCATTAATTCTATGAAATTAGATATGAGTGAAGCAGCCTATTATTATGGTAGAAAAATAATGTGGAGCATGAAGCAGAAAATGGACCGCGTGGCCAATATTTTAGCCGAAGAATCGAAGATTGAAGAAAATAAGGTTCAAAATGCATACCCATTCTTGTTAGAGCTCTTCTCAGGGGAGCAGCATAATATGCAGGTAAAGTCCTTGTGTAATTTTGGAACTGAGTCCTCCATTCGTTTGTCGGTTTCCACCTATGTATCTGAAAAAACACATTAAAAACATAAATTTTAATAGACAAGAATGGAAAATCAGAGAAAACTGATTCAAAAAATGTATAAAAAATTATTATACAAAAATGACATAAATTCTCAATAAATCTTCAACAAATAAAATCTTAATGTAGAAATAAAGAACACCATAAGCTTACCTTGAACAATTCATCCAGTAGTGGTAACAGCACAGGATAGTTATACGGCATCACAAAAAGATTAACACACGTTAAATTTGTACTGGCTTTCAAGTACCCAAACGGATGTCCTACTTCGGAATTTTTATAACTATTTGCAACAAACACCTAAAAACATATTTTTAAAACGTAAATTCATACAAAACTCACAAATAACTTACCTGCCAACAAGTTTTGGGTTGCTTTCTCGATAAAATGTACTGAGTTAGAGGAGAAGGCTCCAATTCGTATTTATCAAATGGCAAATTTTCAATAACCATTGGTTCCGAGTTTGTGCAAGCAAATTTGATGTTTGGATGGGCAGACCTGGGAGGCAGGACGGCAACGTTAATTTCCGGCCAGAAAGATTCCGGAATTGGCCAATAACCTGGAATTGAATATGAATTATTTTTTTTATTTAGGGAAGAGACTCAAATAGTTCCCATGCCTAAAACACATGAGCAAAGTCAATTTTGAAAATCCCCTCTACTACCTTCTTTTCAGTTTATATTGGAGCAAGGTACATGTTATCATGCAACTTCTAGAATTTATCGTGTTTATCTCTCTGGTTTCTATGATAACAATTTTTCGAAACACGTTATTCACAAAATTATGCTATTTTCTTGAACATGCGACATGTGTGAAATAAAAGACTCCCATTACCTACGCAATACGTTTTGCTAGCTTTAGGTACATATATCATTTTTCTACAGTTGTGCCACGAGGTATTTAGAGGCACTGTTGGCATTCCTCTTTCATCTTCTATCTTCTCAATTTCATCTTTACCATCTTCTTTGTCAAATTGTGGTGGTGGAGGATCCGGTCCGATTTTTTCGAAATTAATTACTACCCCATTTTGAACCTGTAAAAAATTGTTTTTTTTTATTTTTTTCTTAACCGAAAACACATTATAGACTAGACGAAAACAAATAAAAATCCTGAGAAAAATGCAACAACTTGATTTTAATTCATAATCATGAACCAAGAAATTACTGGGCAATAATCAGATAAAAATTTTTTAATATAACTTTTTAAGCAAATGACAGACGATTGTTTTACTTCCCACGCCAGACTGTAATCGCGAAAATTTTCAAAAGTTAGATATGACGTTTTTTGGATATTATATGACATGTACATCACGAAAAACGGTGTTACTCATTTCCGTTGGTCTGTCTGTCTGCCTGTCTGCTAATTTTGGGACCGTCTATACCTTGGAAATTCATAAAAAAATCTGTAACTTTAAGAAAGGATAGCGGCAACACTGCCAACCCGCTCAGTGCGCATGCGACTAGCGACTACTCTCCCACCAACAGCAACGGTGTGCGCTTCTTTCTGTTGGAACAGGTATAGTCTAGTCTTTTATGGTCTAGTCTAGTGTCTAAATTCTGTACCAGTCCGGAGTCCACAACAAAATTTGGCTGAGAAGTGAACAAGCTGAGTTTTGTTGATCTGGTTGGAATTAACGCTATTTTCTATGTTCTATGGATTTTTTATTCTCCACGCATAAGCCAGAAAATTAATTTTTGTTTGTTTTTAATTTCTATTCTATAAAAGAATCGTGTCTACAAAAATGACAGACGGAAAATTGGAAATTTAATATAATTTCAATTAGGAAATGTTTGGTCCATACTCCAGCTGTCATTATCATCTATGTCTATTTTGTCTCGGAAGTCCCTGTATATAAGCACTTCAGTGCATTTTGTTCGTCCGAGATTGCAAATTATATATTTAGTTTTTGAAAATTGCGTGAACCTAAGAAATCTTGTTTTCCAAACAGAAAAGGTTCTTTGTTATGAGATACGTGAATGCGTGGAAACCAATAATGCCGTAAAAACTGTATGTATTTTCTACAGAAATTACTGTAACAAATTCACATGTCTGCATATGTCCATGCTTTTAATGTTAAATCATTATAACACTTCAGTATGTCACACAGATAATTTACTTTCCATTTTACCCCTCCCAGACTGAAATCCTGGGAGCGCCACTGATGCCAAGGACGGAAAAGTTTAGTAGTTATTGAAAATCGGTTCAGTAGAGGCGACCATACAAGCAATAAACAAAAAAGAAACGTTCAAACTTCGTTTTTCGACGTTTCAGAGAATCCTGATCATTTTTTAAAAACTTTTTGGGGTTTTTTATGGGGATAGAGGAGGATGTAATTTTTGATGTTAGCCTATTAATATTGTATCTTTGGTATTCGATCCGAGAAGGCGAGCAGCGCGGTGACATACGAGGTGGAGGTGATTTTATGGCTTAAAATTATATAGTACATACATAAGTATTTATCAAGAGCTATTATAATAAGTTATTCATACATTGTTGACAAGCAGTTTTACGTCAGAGCTCCAAAGAAATAAGGCTACCGCGTACGGATACGCTCACTGCATTTTTTTTTTCATGAAAAGCCCAAATAGTGCATTACTGGTTCTGACAAAATTCACGTCTTTCTGATGTCATTGACTACATGGAAAATTGTGGTAGCAGTTATTTTGAAGGCGTGGAAAATATAAAGTCAATCTACTTGACGCCTATTTTTCTTGCTCTAGAGAAAGACAAAGAATATTGCGTACGCTCAAGGACGTTCCTGCAGGTCATAGTGAACAGTTCCATAAACTAAGCCCAAAATATTTTTCAGTGTTGTAGAGAAAGGTTTAAACTCCAATTTAGGCCCGTATCGTCAGTCGACCCTACAACTGTAGGGCGCGTTTATGGCCTCCTTGATTGTCATCCTCCTTTCTCTCCTTCAAACATTTCTAGATTACACTTGTCCCGTGTCAGCGTCAGCGCTCTCCTATTGTGAAGACATGTTTTCTTTTTAAATTGTAGGAAATTTCAGGCTGATAAAACATGATATAACTCAAAAGCAAGCACAATTTGATGCAAATAGATGTTTGTGACATAACCTCAAAATAGAGTTCTGACACGGAGAAGTAGAAAACTATGACAATCAAGGAGGCCATAAAGGCGCCCTACAATTGTAGGTACGACTGACGATACGGGCCTTAGACACTCGGTACGCTCAAATATAATGATTTCTTACAGATTTTTTAGGCATCAAAGTGGTTTTTTTGATATTACAGACTTTAAGACGCACACAACACGAAAAGTTAAAGGGGCAGTTACCAAGGGCTTATTGAGAATAATCCAAATACCTATAGAAAACTTTGTTAAGATCGATTTTTTTTGTATTCGTATAAAAAAGGTTTAAATAAACTTGCACCGGGTTACTGCCTACAAATGTGATTGGAAAAATCTGTATTGGAAAATGCTTCCTGTGACTGTGAAGTTTTCCCTCTCATCTATTACTGATTTACCTTTTGCACTAAGCTGTCTATGCACTGATTTAGCATCCTATGAGATGTTATACAGTATGATCTTCCACCAGTTACCTCACACATTGCATCTATTGGGCTACCATCACTGGGAACAAGTCCTGTATCTCTCTCAACTGCAGGGGTACCTGATGATAAAAAATATTCCATAATCTAATTTCTGAATATTTTTTTTTTTACTGAAGCATCTAAGAATGTAAATATCAAGTGTTGCAAATGTTATAAGGAAGTGAAAAAAATCATGATTTCACCAAAGAGGTGGTCATATTGGCCAGATCTCAATATGCAGATCACAGCCAAGTCTAAATGTTAAGAAGATGCCCAACAAGTTTGTCTGACACCATCGTAAAGCAGAGTTTATAAGGATCAATTCTGTAGAATTGGTAAAAGAGGAAATTGATGACTGCCTATGTGAAAGTCTTCTGAAAATACCTGATAACCGCAGGACTAATGCAAATAATCTCTGGTCCCATCTGAAAGGCTCCCTTGTCATTTCAGACCCAGGTATAGGAGAATTCATGGGAAGATTAAATTCTTCTTGCACGCCATTTACTGAAAAAATAAATTTGCTATAGTAGTACATTAAAACTATTCATTGCTGTTTTAAGCCATGTAGGGTCTCCTGGGCACATGGCAGCTTGGGGCCTGCAACTAACGGGACCGTATGTCACAGTGAAATCCAGGGTACTACTTTGTCTTTGAGAAAAAGTGAACAGCGATGGTAATGAATATGCAGTACAGCTTTCTATTCTTATGAAAACAAGTAGTAGTAGTAGTAGTAGAAAGATTTATTTAGCACATTTGGCTACATAAACAGAATAATTGTAAACAACTTAGAACTAGTAAATTCAAGCCATATGGTGTATGATGTAAATGCTGGGCAACCTATAATTGTAGATTTAACAAGTGATTTCTCAATTTTACTTTAAATTTTGTCAAAGTTTTCTGATATTTTATCTCTGAGTATAATTTATTATATTCAATCAACCCTTGATGGAATACAGATTTGTAGCATATGTTATACTTTTTGGTCATTAAATGGAAGTCATCTTTATTTCTGGTATTATGTAAATGAATATCATTACAAGATATTTGATAAAATTTTTTACATTGAGCCATTTTAATTTGCTAAGCATTTGCCTAATTGGAGTATATTTATCTTTATTTAGTATTATTCTCATGCACTTATTTTGTAAAATTTGCAGTCTTTCAAAAATGGAATTATTTGATAAATATAGAATAGTCGGACAGTACAAGAAATTAGGAAGAATGATGGTATTATAGATAATTTTTCTGCTATATGAACTCAGACATCCAGAAATTCTCGATAAATATCCCACTTTACTACTAATCTTATTTATAACTTTTTCATAATGAATATCAAAAATTAATCGAGAGTCAACAAAAACCCCCAGGTATTTAAAATTTTCTACGAATTCAATATCTTCACCATCAATATTCAGTTGAACATTTGTACATTGTTTTTTTCCTATTAACAAGGCTTTCGTTTTACTTGCATTTAATTTTAGTCTGTTAGATGCTAACCATTTTGAGACAAGTTTCAAGTCTTCATTTATATAAGAGATACCAGACTGAATATTTTTAGTACTTATATAAATCATAGTGTCATCAGCGAAAATCTGAATTTTCCATTTTTTGACTATGGCAAGTAAATCATTTATGTATAAAATAAAAAGAAGTGGTCCCAGGATACTGCCCTGTGGAACACCCAACGTATTTTCAATTTTTGATGAAATAGTGTCATTAACTTTTGTAACTTGCATCCTTTTAGACAAATAATTTCTAAACCAATCTAAAACACTTCCTGTTATACCATATGCCTTCAATTGACCTAACAAAATATCTCTATCAATCGTTTCAAATGCACTCTTCAAATCCAAAAATACTGCTATGACAACTTCTATGGCTCTTCTCCAATTCTGAGTTACCAACTGGAAAGCCGTTTCTGTGGAATATTTTTTTTCGAAAGCATGCTTGCGCCTCCGCTAAAATTTTGTTTTCTTCTATAAAGTATAAACATAGGTCTGTACTACCATAGTTCCTTCATAACTTTTTTGGTATATGAATATAGTATGAAAAATTAGAGCTAAATGAAGAGAAACAATTTGTATTTTCGCAAAAAAGCTATTTTTTGTGAAAAATGTTACGTATCATGGGTCTGTGGAAAAATTTTGACAGCTCAATGTTACTTCTCAAAAATTACCTGTTGTTAGCTTTCCACCATCAGTGATTAGAACTATAACGGCAGTTTCTAAGAAAAATGGACATCTCCCTTGACCATAAGTATCAATTCCTGATGTCATCCTATTGATATTCAATATGTCAAAGGCTTGTTTCACTGCAACCCCCATTGTAGTTAATGAGTGAGCTTGTAAATTCTTCAATTCGTTCATGAATGTAGCTAAATTTTCTTTCCAGCCTACAATAAACATCAAAGACTAGTACCAAGTACAAATAATCTATATCATTTCAATACTTTATTTTGTATCATAGTGAATATTATTTTTAGGGGTAGTTGAAATAATTAAGTCAAAAATGGTTTCACAAGGGTGTGAAAATCCTAATTTTCTCCAAGGAGAAAATTCTTTATAGGTTTTTTCTAAAGAAATTCCATACTTCAGCAACTTGTCACTTTGCAGAGTAAGTATTGAAAAAAAGGATTTTTTTGCATCTATCTGAAAACTTAAATTTAATATCATGTCAAATATAACTTTTTTGGTGTATTTTGAACATTTATACCAACAAATTTTTCAAAAATCTGCATTTAATATCTTATAATACTGGCATTGAGAATAGGAAATTTTTCAGTTGTCATTTTGTTGAAAGCAGTGAAACTGGAAGCTGTAATTAAATAAAAGTTTATTCCTTAAATACCCACCTGCTTTGATGTTATTTGGAGATTCCTCAAAAGTTAACAACATGTATCGGTCTATGCGACTGTCCATACTTCTTTGCCTAATTTTAACGAAGGTTTCAACAGCTGATTTAGCAACATCCAGTAGTGTTGTTCGGCCCCCGATATATGTCCTACAAAAGAATTATAATCAAAAAAATAAGGCACATAACCTCTTAAACAATGATGATTTTAAAAGTTTACCTTTGTAACATTGACGCAGAAGTATCTATTAAAAACACTATGATAGTCATTTTTGACGAGTTTTTTCTCAGACACAACGAATTATAGTTAAAAAATTAAAAAAAAACGATAGACGTTCCTCATATAAACAAATTACAAAAATCTGTGGTCAAGTTTCCATCTTTCATCCGACAACTCACGAACTCACAACACAACAAAGTTCCAAGGTCACGTCAGGTCGCTGTCATTCGCTCTTAAACTGTCAAAAAATATGGAAAATGATCATCAAGGAATTAACAAAGCTACTTTCACTGTACTATGTCTGAGATTTGGTGGTTGCCTAGATATCACAAATTTGTATTTGCCGCTTAAATAAGGTTTCCGGCAAATCAACCAATGAAAATCTAGCAATGGCATGAACTGTTTCCGGCTCAGCACCAAAGATATTTGTCGGCTTTTCAATGGATAGGTTTCCTTGTGCTGTCAATTTTCTAATAATATAAGTGCTTCAGCTGCCTTTTTAGTGTAAAAAACACTCTTTTTTTCTCTGCTCTCGGAGAAAAACCATTGCTACTACAATTTCTTGATAAATACAACGTTAAAATGCCGTCAGCGGCGAACGTGAAGATTGACAAGCAAGTGAATCAAGAAAATGCTCTGGCGGAGTCTTCTCAAAATTTAACACCGATCAGACAAGCGATTACAATAATAGAACATAAAATAAGGAATTTGGAAAAGCGGAAGGTAAGAATTTCATCTATTTCTATTATCGTTGAAACATAAAAATTGTGTCATCCATTGTATGAAGAAATCTTTTTCATGCTGTTAACTTGTCCTCATTTCATTTTAAACAGTTTTGTAACGGCAAAGCAATGTAATAGGCGCTGTCTATATTCTAGCTTAAATATAATCGCTCCAACTGGATACAATAATGATGAAAATCTACATTTTTATTACAGACATGTCTAGTTTCTTGTGATAATTCAACAATTTGTTTATACACAATGCATAATTATTTGTTTATCAAGATAAGGTTTATTCAAAATGTCTGTGCACAAGGCTGTTGTGTAGTTCCATTTATCAATTTCAGCTTGTAACGTGGTTTGAAATTTGATCCATTTTTTTTTAATAAGGATATTGTTTTAACCCAAATTAATTGTACTTTGAATTAGCTGAATGGCATGCTATACAGGAATAGGAGTATATTAGTTGTTTAGTTTCAAAAACATGAATATTTTTTATTAGGAATTGACTGACCTCAGATATTTGGGGAAAACCAGAAATTTCATAGATCCAGAAAAAGCTGTGTGTCACGCAAGGTCTTGAAACCCAATTCAGAGCAGGAATATAAGTTTCAAGATGAAACTGATATCAGATTCCTGATTTATGCATCTGATTTAAGCAAAAAACAAGTTTTCCAATTTGTGTATACCTAAAAATTGTTGGAAATTTCGTACATAAACTTTGTAGTTTTGCAACATAAATTACACTTGTCACATTTAGATAATTTAGGCTCCAGACATGAAGACTAGATGCACATGAAAGAGAAAGAGAGATGCCACATGTACAGAATCTGAGCTGCTTTCCAGGGACCTTGATGAGTTACTCTGAGTAACTCAGTAGTGTTCAGTACCAGTACTGCCAATACTGATCCACTGCATGTTGTAATCACATGCATTGTTTTGTGGGGCAGTTCAGGAGCACTCTCAAACCAAAAACGACTGGAAAGCAGCTCTGAAATACATGAAACAATGACAATAGTAGATAGCTTATGCCTATCTTCATTCTCAACACTTTTGGCTTCACCCTCAGTCAAAGAGCCTAACCTCCTATATCTAGCCTTTATAGGTGCTGATATCAAATATGACCAAAAAAACCTAGTCTTGTAGAACCCTCATGGGTATCACCTATCTTGAAAAGTGGCATTATGCCTATTTTATTTGACATTATGTCATGAGGCTTGTTATCAATCTTTGGCTCTGATGTGATGTAAAACCTGCTTCTGAGACGGCGTTACTGGAGGTCTAAGCTGTAAGTTGTATGTGTTGATGATAATTACATTGGGTTCTTGTCTCAAATACACTTAATTGAGATTCAAAGGTAGAAATTAGTTGTGCATCCACTTTTTCTTATTGATTCATCTGCCAATGGACCAAATTTTAACAGCATACAAGTAAACGGTTTTGAAAATGAAATAAAAGAGGTACCATACACCAAATACCTTGGTGTAATAATAGATCAAAATCTTGGAAAGCAACATGTTCTTAGGTTAACTAACATTCTACGAAAACTAATTAGAAAATTTTATATGATCAGAGAAATTTTAAGCAATTACTTATTAATCTGTGTCTATAAAGCCATAGGGGAGTCATTACTCAGATACGGGGTAATTATCTGGGGAAGTTTATATGAGACAGCATTAAAACCTTTAAAAACTATCCAGAATTACATATTAAATTTAATTTTTAGAAAAAACAAAAGATATCTACTTGTCATCTTTAGAGTGAAAAAATACTTGCTGTAAGACCATTGTATATCTTAGAAGTTTGCTCCTTTATGTATAAAAATCCTTCAATAAGAGAATATGTTATGTCATCCCTATTCAACTAGAAACAATGCTGATAGAAATCTAATAATACCCAATAGTTTCACAAACATAAACTTAAGATCAATTGACTATATTGGTCCGAAAATTTACATTTTGCCTGGGACACTCAGGATGATAAATAAATCAAAATTGTTTAGTTTAGAGTGTAGATCATTTGTTGTGATTGAATTATCCATTTTCATTTTCCCCAAAATACAATTTTGTGTAGAAAAACACACAAAGTTTACTTTTCGATTACCTTTGGCTAGGAGTGAATGAAACTCTGTACACCTAGCTAATTTGAGGCTATCATGAAAAATTCTAGATTGTACTCAAGTCCAATTTGGAGTAGGAAAGTAAGATGTCAGGGCTCTCGCCAATTCCGGTATAACTAATATCAAGTTTGTGATCCACACATCTGATTTATCCAAAAACAAGTTTTCTTCCACATTGCATACAGGGTGTTTCAGTTTATTGTTGCATAACTTTAAAATTCAATAGAACTTTTAAAATTAATGCATAAAGTCTATATAAACATGGGTCGAAAAATGCGTGGCTTCCGAAATAAAGGGTGTTTAAATTTACTTTCTAAAATAGTTTTTTTTAAATATTTCGAACAATATTTGATGTATAACAGTGAAAATTGGTATACAAGGGTTTTTTGGTACGACAAAACGAACCAGTTTTACTGTAGCCGCTAGAGGGCGCTATCTACTGTACCTGTAGTGTATTAAAATGACCGAAAAATTTTTCTTGGTGCAATTTTTTGCTTTTTGAATAAAAAAACTGATTCTTCGCACTTTTCAACATAAAAAAGCTCTCCTGTGAGTTTCCGTTATAGTTAGCCGTTTTTGAGATATTTCGATTTTTAAGGTTCGATGCATTTTTAATTATTTATGGGAAAATAATATTTTTTTTTACATTTACGATTTGGGCATTACAAGTAATTAAGATGATCGTTTAGATTGTGTTTTTAAACACAGCAATAATTCCTAACTCCAAATAAACACAAAAAAAACAGAATATTAATTTGTTTAATTGTCCAATATTATTTTTAACAAATTAAATTAAATATTTACAACTAAAATGATATTGGATAGTTAGGAAAAACATACAAAATCTAAAGTAGTTGCTCGAAATGTAAACCCAATTGTTCAATACACAATTCACATCTACGAATGATCGAACGTGGTATAGCATTATTCAAATAAGGCCTCACATGCATTCCTGATTCTGTCTATTAGCATATCTCTTGTGGTTACGGGAGTCTGGTACACTTTTTCTTTTAGAAATCCCCACACAAAGAAATCTAATGGATTTAGGTCAGAGGATCGTGGACGCCAGGCGACTGGTCCTCCACGGCCGATCCATCTTTCTGGATAATTTTCGTCCAGCCAGTTTCTAACTATTCTCGAATAATGAGCTGGACAACCATCAAGCTGGAACCAGGCCCATCTTCTTAAATCTAACATAACGTCATCCCACATATTTGCATGTTCAGCCTTTAAAAATTCCAAGAAGGTCGCAGCATTTAACCTTGTAGGCAAAAGGTAGGGTCCAAATAGTCGATTACGGTAGATACCAATCCACACGTTCACACTAAATTCGTGCTGAAAATTTCTTTCCCGAACTGCATGCGGATTTTCATGCGACCAAATATGTTGATTATGAAAATTTACCACTCCACGTCTAGTGAAGCATGACTCATCGGTCTATAAAACGTTACTTAAAAACTCCCTATTATTATCAGTTCTATCAAGAATCTACTGACAAAATGTGATTCTTCGTTCTCCGTCCCCTGGCTGTAGTCCTTGCACAGGTTGCAAATGTTAAGGACGTCTATGGTCATTTCTAAGAACAAGGTGAACATGGCTTGCTGAAATTCCCAAGGCACCAGAAACTCTCCTAACACTTGTGGTCGGATCTCTATCAAACTTACGCAGAATCATACGGGTAAATCTGCGCTGACGAACATTTATGTTTTGATCCCTTTGGAGATTTCCAAAACCATTTTCAATTATTTGGCGATGCACTCTTACAAATACTGAGCGAGTTGGATATCGTCTGTTTGGAAATCTTCGTGCGTATTCTCTGGCTGCTTCTGCTGCGTTTCCATTTACAAAGCCATACACAAAATGAATATCCGCTAACTCTTGATTGGAGGATAAAAATGGCATTTTTATAAAACTTACAAAAAAAACCAGGTAAAAGAATCTAAATTTCGTGCATTCACAATTGCAAAAAAAACGTTTCAGGTTTCAACAGACAACAAAACTAACTGTCAACTAATTGACGTTTAACCTTATTCTGCTTTCAATTTCAAATATATTTGCAGGCACAGCCTACTTCTAAAAATTATCGAGATACTGACTTTTTAACGTTATTTTATCATAAATAATAAAACAATCATCGAACCTTAAAAATAAAAATATCTCAAAAACGGCTAACTATAACGAAAATTCACAAGAGAGCTTTTTTATGTTGAAAAGTGCGAAGAATCAGTTTTTTTATTCAAAAAGCAAAAAATTGCACTAAGAAAATTTTTTCGGTCATTTTAATACACTACAGGTTCAGTAGAGAGCGCTCTCTAGCGGCTACAGTAAAACTATGCCCATGGTTCGTTTTTTAGTACCAAAAAACCCTTGTATACCGATTTTCACTGTTATACATCAAATATTGTTCGAAATATTTTAAAAAAAAACTATTTTAGAAAGTAAATTTAAACACCCTGTATGTCGGAAGCCACGCATTTTTCGACCCATGTTTATATAGACTTTATGCATTAATTTTAAAAGTTCTATCGAATCTTAAAGTTATGCAACAATAAACTGAAACACCCTGTACATGCAAGAGTTTTTGGAAACATAGTATGGACATATGTCTGTGTGTTATAGAGACTTTGAATTTCAGCACTTTCTGCTTCCTTTTAGTGAATATGTTTTTCCCTGGTCAGACATCGAGCTTGATACTTTTACCTCCCACACCTACTGGCGAGTGGGGGCGGTGATTTCCCGTAGTGCTCCTCATAGTTGACGGTTGACGTGGGGTCCCCAGTAGTATAAAAATATCTTTCTTCTTCCATAGACGAAACTAGAATCATACAAAGAACTTCAAAATACCGGCAAGGAGCTCAACCCGGACCAAAAGCAAGCGGTAGCAAAGTTCGGTGAGGTGTTGAACACGTTGGACTTTGCACGCGACCTCTGCAAACAGTTCCTCGGCATCGCGTCGACCACCGAGAAGGAGGCTAAGAAATTGGCGAAGAAAGAGGCTGCCTTGAAGTACCAAGCTGAGTTGGCCAGGTTAAGGGAGATTCTGCTGGTACAGGATGCCCTGAACCAGATGGGAAATGAGGCGGTGCGGGATGACTTTTTGCATGGAAAGAACGGAGCTGCTCAATTGACAGAGGCTGATCTCAAGTGAGTTGATTACCCAGAAAATATGTACATTTGGTCGTCTCGGATTTTTTTTTGTGCCATCATGCTAAATTGGCAATCCGAGCGAGTATGCGTCACGTGGGCTAGCGAATAGCTAGTACACGTATAGGAATTAGATAGGTATCAATAATAATAATAACAATATTTATTCCAAATCTAGGATTCGAAGTTGACCATCAAACAGTTCTGAAAAATCATTTAGCCAAATCTCTGGTATAAACTTGGAATCCCTTATTCTTGAAACATTTTTTTTTTGTTTCCAGACTACTGGACGATTTTTACCCTGCAGTAACGCCAAAACACGAAGCTGGCAACGCGACGACGTTCACGAACGAAGTCCAATCAGCTGCGGAACACCTTTTGGCGGCAGTCGACGGAAAACCCAAAGAAGTATTTGGCGGTACTTATAGTCAGATTAAGGAAATCCTAGGGAAAATCCACGAAAGCGGATATTTTGATCAAGCCCAGGTACGTTTCTTACAACCGCTCGAAAAAGTATGTTTCCTTGATTCGTTTCTATTTTTGTGAGCCTAGAAACTGAACTTACCTAAAAAGGAGTAGTTTAACTGCGCGACTCGTTAGTGCAGTGAAGCCATATGACAGGGTTCTGAAGACTGATAAGTTAATAATAATAACCTTTATTTACTCTTGGAGTAATTGAACTTATTCATAGTAGGTGATGTTGCACCTTAGTATTTCACGTTATGGTTCCAGGTATTCGAAAGTTACGGCGAGGAAGTTGTGGTGGAGACTGAGGGCGTGATAGGTGATGCGAATGAAGTACCGTTGGTTGTAGTTGGGGCAGTGCTGCCAATGAACAACCATCAGCAGCCGCCCCAGGTGGGCGACGTGCCCGTCATCGAAAGCCTGACGATAGAGGCGAGGACCAGTGCGCAACCTCCAACCCAGGTAAGATTATTTTTGTCTCAAGCAGTGAATTGAGCAACACAGCAAAACATATTCCTTCGATTTTTAATTAATAAATAAGCTGGATAAGGAACTATAGCTATATTGTTTTCAACTATTTTACGTAATTTGACAGGTTGTTGTATTGCCTATAACGTTTGGTTCCAGGTTCCATTAGAAGTGGTGCAACCGAGTCTTGTGCCCAATGCAGTGCCCCCACAGCCGCAGTCTGTCCCTCCGCAGGCGGCCCCTTTAGTGGCACCAGTCGCTGTTGTGCCCCCACCGGAGCAACAGATTTACTACCAACCGACGGCAGCGCCATCTGCGGTGTTGCCGCCGCCTCCGCAACAGCAGCCGCCAAGGCCGATCACCGAGATGCTGGGCACCGGTAGCTTTTTCTTCCTTCAGGTATATCTTTTTTGAAAATAGATTTTTTTTTTGCTGTTTTACGCTACTCGTCCAGTGGATCCGATTTCGTCAGAAATCTGATGAAAATGCGTTTATGTCGTTGTACACAAAGTTACAGATCTGACAAAGATTTGATTAGTATCAGCACATAAAATGAATCGCATTCGCATATTTCATAGTGGACGAATCACATATCGTGCGAAATCTGTCGAAATAATACATTTACGTCATATTTCTGATAGAGTACATTTTTCAAAAAGCCTTTTCAAAAATATTGTTGAACTATTATTTATACAGGGTGTGAAAATATCATTATTGTATTAGGAATTACGGCTAGCTGTTTTTTATTAATACCAAGTGAAGCCTCAATGGTCAAAAGTTCATTGAAATACACAATGTTGTTCAAAAGCTATTTAAGCAGTACTGATTCGAAGTAGCATCCCTTAGGGGCCTGTATTTCCTTCATGGAGCCTGTAGGTCATTTTTTTATAGAGCTTGGGGTATTATTTAATGTGTTCTACATTCAAACAAAAGATCAATGTTAGTAGATGTCTTATGGGGATTCGGTCTCAAAACTTCCAAAATCCGCCACCAGAGGCGCTGGCGTCGCGCGCCATTGACAGGTTGTTGGACGGAATCTGTAATCGAAATTCATGAGTTGGGGATTCCGCCGCTAGATGGCGCTGTCAAACCAAACGGAATCTGTGTGTCATTGGACACCTGTCATGCGTCATTGGGCATCTCACGCATAGATGGCGTTAAAACGTCATCTGTCATACGTCATTGGACACCTGTCATTGATGGGTTGGGCATCTCGCGCATAGATGGCGCCGATTTGTTTGGCGCTGTACAAACCTAACGGAATCTATGCGTCATTGGACAGCTGCCATTGATGGGTTGGGCATCTCGCGCATAGATGGCGCCGATGTCGCACCTGTCTGGTGTTGGCGTGGATTACGGGGGGCAACGTGTATACAGGGGTGCATCGAAAAATAGCGGATCGATGGACCGACGGTATATCGTTAAATCGTATATAGCAAGGCGTGACCTAAATAGCGTGGTGGGCTCCTCTGGTCGGTCGGTCGGTCGGTCAGAATGTCTCATAACCTGTATACGATGTACTGTTATTATTATACAGGATGATACCGTTCAAAATGAAAATAGTATAATGGATATTTTATTGAAACATATAGTATATATAACAATAAGGTTGATTGGTGTGTGTGTGTGTGCCATGTTTTGAATACCCGCGCTTGAACAACTTGCAACAAGAAATTCCGACAATATTATTTCGCAAACCAGAGGTATTTTCAATAAAACTACATATCAGGGAGTACTTTAGATGTTGATACTAATCGACTCAAATCATTGTTCGACAACTGATTTGGTTCATGACAGACAAGAATCAAATTATGTATTTCACGGTTCAGTTCTGGTTGTTTTTTAATTTTTTCCCTAAACTTCAGGTAACCCAGGAAATATGTCTCTTATCCGTCCTCTGTTCAACACATCAGTAAAATCGTTAGAAAATTCTATATATGACATATTATTATAAAAGGTATAGGACCGTCCTGCGTTTGATTGAAAAATAGCATTGATTCGAGCCCTATCGGGTATATCAATTGAAAAATTATCAAGAAATTTAATGGTAGGGAATGATGCTGAGAAATAGTTGTTTGGAGACACAATGGTAATCAAGTCACCGTTTGTTGATTGGAAAATATGTTGTAAAGTGTATTGACGTAATTCTGTAGGAACATAATCGACAAGAAGTTCAGGCTGAGATGGGATAATCATTTCGTTTAAGTCTAGTTTCCATATAAACATATCATGTGCAATATATAATCGGTAATTTGAAAACTCTGGAGCAATAGCTAAAAACATAAAATCTGGAATAATATCACACAAATTTTTGAGGATCGGCTGCTTACGAGTTGTAGATCTTATAGTTGTTGTTGTTTTTGGTATTGCTGATGCGGTGGTAGACGTTGGGATTGAATCATATTTGTTTTTTCTTCCATATAGATATTGTACTGCATTTATATCATCAACATCTAGACCACGAATCTCATGCTGATAGAAGGCAAACATAATAGCATTCGGAGAAGCACTATGTGCTATGCCGAGAGCATGTCCAATTTCATGAACCAACACCTGATAGAGAATGATGTCAAAAATCTCAGATAGCAAATATAAATTCGTTTACCCCCCAATCAAAATCTTGACTGAAAAAAAATTAGGCAGCAAATATACAATAATCATACACGAATTTACTATATTTCTAAATTTCTACTCTCATGTGCAACTTGTAATTGGAATTTCCGCCGGACAAACGATACATTCATGTATTACTAAGAAATTATATAAAAAATACTGCAACCGCAATGAATGTTGTTTTCTCGATAAAAATGGTACTGAGAATATGATGCATATAATATGCATATTTACGATACAATTATCTCATGCACGCGTGTGTTATCTCAACCACGTATTTATATTTAGCGAGCGCATGCAATAGTCATCATTGTTTCACACTTAACGCACAACGCTGCAAGCTGGAACAACGGCCGCAGTACAATAGTGCTTCGAGAGAGACGAGATAGCGAAAATTTTAAAAAAAGTAAGTGCTATTTTATTTAATATTTTTCTTTTTTATGTCTCTAAGTGCAACTGTTTTTTCGTGTTATGCTTCAAAATAGTTAGACGACTCAATTTTTTTTATAGATGGATTTATCAAAAATTAATGCTGCGTCTTCGATTGTAGACCGCAAACCTATCAGAAAATTAAAGGACCTACCAGTCGGGACACCATTTGCAATCCAAGCAGCTAAAGTGGTCAAGTCGAAATTTGGGGAAGCCGTGCTACTAGATTTAGGACCGGAAGTGCTATTTCTACCACAGCGGGTGACGGAAACGTACCAGCCGGTCATCGACGAACTTTTTCACGGAAAATACTCGATCATCTTCCAAGGGGAAGTGGACGTAGGGAAAAGCCGACCGCTAGCATCATTCAAAATAGTGGAAAATTAACAAAGCAGAGAACAGGAGGAGGAGGACAGGGTGAGCATTTTTATATATTTTTGAGTAATGTGTTTGCTTGAAAAAAAAAATGTCGTCTTTTCAAATGTCTTCAAATAAGGTTAAAAAGATCATCAAACAAACAGACGGTGTTCTACTATCAATTGTTAGTCTACGGAAAATTTTATTTGATAATTTTACAATCAGAGACGCGGAAGTGTGGCTGAAACGAATAGAAAAACAAATTAGATTATGTAAACGGGTAATTCGTAGTAGAAGGCAAAATAAATTATCTGTAGGGACCTGTAGAAAAGTAGAAACAAATTTGGGGCATTTTAAACATTTTAGAAAGTTGATTTTAACTAGACATATTGGGGCAGGACTTCACTTAACATTGGGTCAGAGGGTTAGATGGGAAAATGTAGAATCGAGCTTTCAAAGTAGAATAAAAACCGGTTCCATAGCTAATTTGCGTCATAAGGACTTGAATCAATTTTTAGCAGATTGTGTAGTTGTTTTTAAAAGGAAAATTAGGAATATTTTGAACACCCATTGTGCGCTCAAAGTAAATACAACATTTTGCGGGGAGTTTATTAGGAAATCGGGGGATAATGAAATTTTGGGAATTAAATATATTAATACTAAAAATCATATTATTGATACATCAACTCAAATAGACGAGTGGTTTAAGATATATGTGAAAGATAAACTTTTAAACGAATTATCGGAATTTGCTGAAAAAGATTCGGGATTTGCGTTAAATAAAATTATTTCCTTAGTTGTTAATATCAGTAAATATCAATTGGGAAACGGTTCATCTTATATTAGACTACCAGAACCGATTATAAGGAAAAATGCTTGTATAAACATTAAAAATATAGATCAAAATTGCTTTTACTGGGCCATTGTAAGCGCTCTTCGGACTCCTAGCAAAAAAAGACATGCAGAACTAACCTCCTCATATCCACACTTTACTGACGTTTTACAAACAGAAAATTTAGATAGTCCTATGCTGCTAACAAAAATTTCAAAATTTGAAAAGATGAATAACATTTCAGTCAATGTTTACGCTTTAGAATTGATCGAAACAGAAAAAAAATCATTTTACATAGTAGTACCAGCAAGATTAACGGAAAATAAACGGGATACGCATGTTAATTTACTTTTAGCTCAAAATAAATATTATCCGCGTTTAAATGATTATGATGCTCCTCCACCAGCGCCAGCAAATGAAGATAATGATTCAATCGATGAAATTAAATATCACTATTGTTGGATTAAAAATCTTTCGCGTCTT